CTTAAAAGACTGAAAAATAAATTATTAAAATATTTACAGTCTTTCAGTCAATTTTCAGACGTAGTTCACTGCGGTAAATTCAGTACTGTTCTGACAGTTCGCAAGCAGTCAATATCAGAAGTTATTCCATATTGATAGAACTTTAGTAGGTTTTTCTATATGAATGGGATTTTGAATAAATAAGCATATTCACCTGCGGAAAAAGTATATTCACCGCGCAAAACGTCGCGTGCTTTTACGTGTATAATAACGATACAATGTTTGACGTTTAGTTGGTTTTGGTAAATAACTGTTATTTTATACATATTTTTCTCGCTCGGAACATGGAATAAAACAATTACTGTCTTTTGTTTCGGTAAATATGTGGTTTAATTGACTTTTGAAAAACCTAGTGACATTCACTTCGGCCGTTGGCCTCAGTGAATATCAGTTTTTCAAAAGTCAATAAAACCACACATTTACCTCATCAAAAGACAGTAATTGTATATTATTTTTATCTGTAAACATTAAAACATACTGACTTGTCTGAAAAGTTACCGAACAGTACTGAATTGACTGCAAGCAATTTGTCTGAACAGTACAGAATATACCGCAGTCGATTAGTCTGAAAATTTAATGGAAAACTGAACATGACTTAATAATTTAAGTTAAAAGAGAAAATTGAATATATTGTACAAACAATAAAAAAATCTCCATATTATGTACCCAAGCGTCTGTGTCTTTATCCTGTGCTGCGTGCATTTCTGTAACCAGTATTGTAATGCGGTTAAACTAATTTTGTATGTTATTAAATCATATTTTTTCGTCCAAAAATGCACAGTAAAATGGGAATCAGGATTTGCTTTTAACTTTGTTTTCCCTATTACTGGCCCTGTCTTTCTTTCCTATTACAGACACCCCCTCGACAAAAACGCGGCTGTATACAAATTTTAAAAAATACCTTATTAAAGAACACTCGTTAATGTAAGAAAACTCTGTGAATCTGCAGCTGTATGCCGTTTTACTTCTAACATAGGTCTCTGCATTTCTAAACTCATTTCATTAAGAAACGTAAAAAAAATGTTGACGTATATACCCAGATTATGATATTGAAGTCCTTATTTTAGCAGGTTTTACAAATGAAAATATTACATTTATTACCATTCCTTACTCTCTAACAAACACCTGCGCAGCTAACAAATTGATCAAATATTATCTAATGGGGTCGATACAGTTTCACACAATATAATGTTATTCTATGATTTTGTTATGTTGTATGACAAAATAAGATCTTTGAATATTCACAGAAGAGATTTATATATATATATATATACAAGTCTAAATTGAAAACAACGTTCAAACCTATATATATATGATTGCGTTGGATAAAAACCGCAATTTTTATACGTGTGCATGCAAAAACAAATTTCTTGGTAGAGTGGTCTAAATACAGCACAAACAACATTTTCCAAAAGACCAAAAAAAGTGAAAAAGTATATTTTAACAAAACGCATTTGACTAGCAGGTCGAACAACGGATGTTCTTAAACCCTGCTGACTGCCATGGCGATTGCCAAATAAACGGATCACCAGATGTAAAAATGGATCTTATTAATTAAATACCAAACAGAAAACAATAAACTTGCGGAAAAGATGGTATACCGCAAACATGAGGTGCAAAAATTTGTACACCATATCCGGATTTCGACAATTAATGTCTCTTTAGTGATGTTAGGAATCGAAACGGTATTTGGAAGGCCATATAATTTACCTCAATTTGGGATTGACTCTTGAATTTTGAAGAGTCAAAATAGGATGAACGGATCATATAAACCCGAAGGCAAATATAATACAAGCCCAAACGAAAAAATATAAACAAGTCTAAATTGAAAACAACGTTCAAACCTATGATTGCGTTGGATAAAAACCGCAATTTTTATACGTGTGCATGCAAAACAAATTATATATATATATATGCGTCACCGCGCTAGTTTTCGAGTAGATTGGAAAAATTTGGAATACTTATAAATGAAAAATATGCATTGACGCATGTATTAATGACAATCCTCGAATATTTTATAAAAAAAAATGTTTTGAAATTGCATTCATTAGTAACTAAGCAGAAGGGTGGTTGGAATATGCAAAATCGGCATTATAAAACTATATGCTGTATGCTTCAGTTAATTAGTGAAACACTTAACAAGATTTTTTAAAGTTCTTCTGCGAATGGTTCCTAAGTTTGCAGGAATTCAATAAACGAACAAGTCACTCAATTCCATGTAGCTATAATCTCTCTCTCTCTCAACTTTAATTTTTAAAATTTAAAAATATTATGGTAAGGAAATAAATTTGCAGTGCTCACGGCGTTTGTATTTTGAATAACCATCAACATGCACTCTAGAAGCATCAACACTATTTGAATTTAAAAAAGCTGAAACAGAACAACCACGCCCATTGTAAGTCCAATAGCCTAAAGGAGATACACGGTCAGATATTGGAATAAAAAAAGCGTGTTCTTCACAATATTTGTGTTTCCACTGACAAGTTATCTTACAAATATTTCAATAGACTTTCTTTTTGTCATTGCTTTAATACTGTCACGTTTTGTTCAATTAAATTGATAGCAAAACCAATGAGAAAGGAAAGCACCACCAATATTTATTTACAGGAGGAGGAATGATAAAATTATTCTGGCCCCTGAAATTGAAAAAAATAGCAAAATTATTTTGTCTTTTTAAATTATTGCTTGTTTCATTGATAAATGAATTATGATGATTCAATATGGCAACTTTGGTTAGCTAAAAAATTATTTAATGCTAATGTAAACGGAGAGCAAATTATGTCTTCCAAAATTATTACTGTAACAGCCGGGGTTAAAATTCGGGACTCGTATAGTAAGGGGACGACCATTTGATATTCTGGGGGGGGGGGGGGGGGGGGGGGGGGGGCAGGAGGATTTTGAAAATAAATAACTCAGCCTTGATAATCACAAAAATAAATGGTTTGTTCTATGGTAGTTTGAAAATAAATTACCTGACTTGCAATGTATTGAAAATAAATAACTCAGCAGGTCTAATCGAAAGTATGAGATGGCACCAGATTCTTCATAAATTCATCTTTTTTACAAAAAAAAACCGGGAAACACTTCCAATATCTTTTAATAATAAAAGTATAAATATTATTTAAATATACTTGAAATGTCAGAAAATTGGTTTCATTTAACTTGAGGTTAATTGTCTCAGGAACACTTACCTCACTTTTATTAAATCAGGGCCGTAACTACATTGAGACAAATGCCTCATGTAGGAAATTTCAAAACCAAACGCTTGTCTCCATATCAAATTGTGTTCACCGTGAGTGCCTTGCAAGAAGCAAGTTCTGTTCTCCCTCAGACGTAGCCCCTGATTTTTCGGGATCAATGTTTCTTATTTATTTGTCTTTTGTTCATTGATTGCCCTTCTGTATTCTGTTAGTGTTGCATTCATTTTGTAATTTAGTAATTTTATTATTAACTTGATCATGAGTTTAAAAAAACACAGCAGCCACAGACTTAACTATGTGAATTACATTTTTGCTTTATCATGCATATTTGTCTTTTGATGTTGTTCCTAGATTACACTGAATCTATAATGTGATTTTGCTTTGAGACCAAAATATTGTCATAAAATTATTAAAACAGAACTTGCATTTTCAGTTTAAGAAAGGGTCTGGGGAACACCCAGAAGGCATGATTTTGCATCATTTGTTCTATAGCTTCTTGGGCCTTCAGCGGTTCAAAAACCCTTCAAAAAAAATTTTGCCTAGCTCCGCTCGGCGAAACATGTTTGCCAGTACTTTTAAAAGAGCCTTAGTTACAACCAAACTTTAATACTGTGTATGTATGCAATATATGTATATGCATTGGGGAATATAGAAGATTCATTTCTGCAGAGGTTAATAATTAATTCTGATTAAATGGTACATAATGACTTGACTATACATGAATTATTTATAATAAACAAATAAATTAAAAATTGTATGTTTTCGAATATTATAAATATAGTTGTGAAAATAAATAATCAGTCCCTTGCTTTAATGAAAATGAAAAATCTTGCTTCAATAGTGCAGAAAATAGATAATCTGTCCTCTTAGTTTACAAAAATAAATAACCGATCCAAAACAAATCTTCCTGCTCCCCCCAGAATATCAAATGGTCGTCCCCTAACAGAGTGCTCAGTCCCAAACCTAAGTAGATAGAGGACGGTTATACATCTACGGCGCCTGACAGACTAATAAATGTCATGGGAAACAACTGAAAATTTATTTGTACTCCAAAGCTCGAACAGGTATAAATATTATATTTTCCAAAAATATAAAAATTAAAGAGATGTTGAGAGAACTCTCCACCAAAGTTCATATGAAGTGGTGTAAGCAAGTGTAGGCAACCGTACGGCCTTCAACAATGAGAAAAACCCATACTGTAACGTCGGCTTTAAAAGGCCCCGACATGAAAAATATGAAACAATTCAATTGAGAAAACTAACGGCCTAATTTACGTATATATTATTGAATATATCTGGAGTATATATATTTAGACATAGGTCATGATTAATATTTTTTCTAATAAACGGAATTTATTCGGATCTATTAATAAATATTGAATTTGGCCACAAACTGTGATTTGTAAAGTGCTGATATTGCAGTCGGTGCTCTGTGGGACATACTATATTGACGTTAGTTTAGCCCCAGGTGCCCTTTAGAACTTGAATGATTTCGGCAATACAATTTATTGTCGAAACGTGCACATACTACAGTACTTGAAACTTTAAAGTTATTACCAGTGGTGGATTCAGAAATATATATATATAAACTAGTTTTTGGTCATAAGGGGCCCAGTTTCCTCCCTCTGTATCCACCCTGCAAATAAAAGAAAATAGACTATAAAAGTATATTACCGTTCATCTTCTTTTTAAATTTTACCGCTAATTATAGTACTCCAAACACCATCCAATCAAATTGTATGACCTCAATGTTGACCTAAAATGTCTGCGCCCTTGTGGACAGAACGCCGATCATAATTGTTATTGTAAGTAGATATAAGAAAATGTGGTATGAGTGCCAATGAGACAACTCTCCATCCAAGTCAAAATTTATAAAAGTAAACCATTATAGGTCAAAGTACGGTCTTCAACACGGAGCCTTGGCTCACACCGAACAGCAAGCTATAAAGGGCCCGAAAAATTACTATATAGTGTAAAACCATTCAAACGGGAAAACCAACGGTCTAATCTATATAAAAAACGAGTAACGAGAAACACTTATGAACCACATCAACATAATTTTGATGTTCATAGTACGAAGTGAAAATTTATAGTAATACCAAACACTTATCAATGGTGGTATATAGATATAACCCTGAATAACATTAAATAACAAAAAAGCATTACAATTAGTATCAACAGGTCAAATAAACAAGAAAGTACGATTTGATAGTACTCGCAGTTACTGACAGCTAGTTAAAAACAATAATAAAAAATCATGCATCAGAGACTAAAATCAACTAAAACACATCCCAGGGATTTAGTATTTTAATATCATCGACAGTCAAAGAAGACATGACTTGTGCAACACCAAAAATGAATGTATCAACAGGCAGTAGGATAGATAGGAGTTTAACCTCTTTATGGATCAAAATGAACGTGGGTGTGTCTTTATATTTACCACAGTAGGTAATTATTTACCCATCCAACTGGAAATTTGAGCACATAGACATATTGAAGTATTTCATTAGCATAACTGCCAACTTTCGAAATTCTCCATTTTGGTTTATGCGATTGTGAGGGGAGTGGTTCTGGATACAGTGTAGTATATTCCAAGGCACTTTATCTAAAAATTAAAGCAGTACGACAAATAACAATTTAATGAAATGAAAGCGAAGACATAGACAATTCATACCTTTAACTTCTCAAATCAGCTAATGTATTTTCAGGCAGAAACCTTACCTTATATCATATTCAGCCATGTCGTACCCTAATATAATCATAGTGTGCAACACAGTGCACTGCAGACAGGCAACCCGTCTTTACGCAGTTAATTGATATTCAAATATTAATATTATTTCATTTTAATAAGTCCTTTCAAAATGGTATCCAAAAAATAAATAGCATTGCAAAATTATCGCAAATGTCACATACTTTTACAATGGAAATTGTGACATCACAATGCGTTCTTAATAGCACGAAAACCGTTAATACGAGGATACAATTTTCGCGGTGTTTTTGTGTTCAGAAGTGTTTTTTCACTCTTGATCTTGATATATATCATGTATATGGTACGGTGACACGCCCGATGGACATAATTACACCGCCGCATCCATCACGTAGCAATTAGTCTAACTACAACCCCCTTTTCCCTAACAATATCTGCAAATGATCTGACGGTCTGAAGAACAGTTCAAGATTCTACATTTATCTGTCGAACATGTCTTGTGGTATAGACATTATCGCTATTTGGAAATGAGAATTTGCAAAACTTGAACTTTTGTTTTCATACAACAATCACTTAAATTCCTTTGTGGCGTCAGACATTTTCTATTGTGACATCAAAATTTTACGGGAACCTTTGTGATGTCAAGTAATGGCGGACAAATAGTGATAAGGTGTATTGAGTTCCAGTCCTAAATAGTATTTGGGATAAAAATAAAATTTGAGATCTTTACTTTAACTATCAGGTTGGGGATTATCTTGGCAAATGGGTTATAATATCCCGTTTGGAATATATGTTTTCATAAAAGACAACAACTTTGGTTAGCAATTTTTCTGAATACCTGGTTGTTTTTAGATTGGTCCCTTGGAAGATGCTGTTTTTCAGAGGGATCAGTCTAGCAACTTAATAATTTTCTGGAAAAGTCTTTAACCAAAAGTTGCTACTTTTAACCTAAACATTTATGCGCTTTTTAATATTTTTGCTCTATTTAAAAATTAAGATTTTTGCACTGAAAAGTTTTCAAGATTTACATCCCATTTGGGCTATTTATAACCCCAATGGGTTATTATGACCCATTTGAGTGATTGTTCCCATCCTGTTTATTTTCAGCTCTTACAAGTCCAGGATATTCATTTTCAAAATTCTCCTGGCCACCCCAAGAAAATCTTAATGGTCGTACTTACCAGATAGTCATTACCCTATATAATGACACTCAAGACAGTGTTCTAGCTTGAGTCTCAAGATGTAATATTTCCTGTCTGAATACCCATAAAAACTTCACAATTCATATTCTTGCCCAACAATATTGATTTATAAAATCGTGGCGAAATGACTCCAGGTAAACAAGAATCAGGGCAAAATGACTTTGAGTGCAAAAGGGATTCAGGGGCAAAACAACCCTGCCATCATCAAAAGTTCTAAACAAGTTTCCAATCTTTGCTGTTTACAATGCCCAAATTAAGTAGTTAATCAGGAGCTGAAAGCGTGATAACAGGAAAAGGGATTTTTTAATTACTGCTGATCACAATTGTCTCCCTTTTGGAAGGGTTGGAAATCTGGTACTAACAATTTTTAGTGTTAATTTTCACAAAATAGTGTTATAGGGCTATTTTCATAATCAAGATTATGCAATCTGATAGGGCAAAAGGTAAAAATAGTGTAGTGCACCCCTTAAACATGTCAGTTGCATTCAATCTTCTACAAACAGCACAGCCCCTTCAAGGATTTTGATATTGAAAGTCCTAAAAATTAAAAAAATTTGAAAGGGAAGTTCCTGCTATAGGAAGATATAAAGACTTAGGTAACAGGTTTGAACTTTCACAGAATTGTATATAATTTACAGAATTATAATGTGAACTTCATGCCCAACTCAAAGTTGCAAAATAATGAGACAATTGATTGTGGTCGCTAAACAGGTAGAAGTAAGAATTTTAAGGGGGTACATTGAATCCTTGAAATCACTCCCCTAAAAAAAAAGCTTAAAATCCCAAATGGGCCAAAACAAGATGAAATTACATACATGTACAGTGTAGATGTAAATAAAACTGTAATTAGGGTTATATATCATTTCCACTAATTTCAATCCCAGCTTCACTAAAAGAGCATTAATTTTCAAATATCAGTATGTCAATCATTTGAAAATGAAAAAAAAGTTATTGACATGAATTTGACATTGTGCAAAATATCACTTTGTTACTATATTTAGGAAATAGAGACAACATGAAGTGTTTTGTTTAAAAATGTGATTTAAATTCTTCCAATCTTGAGGTTTAATTTTGCTTTTGGGGCAGTACATCATGTATGTAGTCTTTCAAACCAAATGTATTGCATTAAAAGAATTGCCTTGCTATCATTAGCTGACAAGTATTTTTTTTAAGTTTCATAACTGATGTCTGGACCAATCCTGGGTTATCACTTAGGTGAGTTCATGAGTCCTAGACTCATGAAAATCTGTCTGGACTCTTCATTTTCAAGACTGGTGAGTCCAAAGATGCAACAAGATTGAAAAATGTTGATTCAACTGAGCACACATATCATTTTATTGCAAATTTTAAGAAATAATCTAAATTTGATGTCAATTCCCTGCTCTATTTTGTTATGGAAACTGAAATAAAAAAGTATATAACAATAAAATTTCTTCTTTTCACTGTTGGACTCACCATGGCCAAAATTGACAAGTCCCTGGATGGCATTCACCTCAAAAGCTAACCAAACCTTTAAACAGACTTATTCGGAAAGGATATGTTACAATACTGTTGTCAAGTCATTAAGGATTGCATATTTTGGTATTAATATTGATTCACTCATAGGGTCTTTGCAATAAACATATTTATTCTAAAACCAGTTGTTGGCATGATACGGGTTATGTTCTTCTCATATATTTTATGATGGTATGATACTAAACCCCTAACAGGAGGGATATGATAAAGACATAATCTTTCAATCAGTTTAATTGAGGTCTGGAGCTGGCATGTCAGTAACTGCTAGTAGTCCTTTGTTAATTTATGTATCATTGTCACTTTGCTTAGTTTCTTTTGTTACCTATTCTGACATCAGACTCAGACTTCTTTTTAACTGAATTTTACTGTGCGTATTGCAATGTGTTTCTTTATTCTACATTGGCTAGAGGTATAGGGGGAGGGTTGAGATCTCACAAAACATGTTTAACCCCGCCGCATTTTTGCGCCTGTCCCAAGTCAGGAGACTCTGGCCTTTGTTAGTCTTATATGTTTTTTAATTTTGGTTCATTTATATGTTTTGGAGTTTAGTGTGATGTCCATTTTCACTGAACTAGTACACAATTTTTATTTAGGGGCCAGCTGAGGACCACCTTTGGGTGCGGGATTTTCTCGCTGTGTTGAAGACCCATTGCCATTGGTGGCCTTCGGCTGTTGTTTGCTCTTTGGTCGGGTTATTGTCTCTTTGACATATTCCCCATTTCCATTTTCAATTTTATCTCCTTCAAAAATCTTTAGTGAGAACCCTGCCATTCAGATCATCCTAAACACTGATGTTCCCCTAAATTAATGCATCACAACTTTTAATTTGATCTCTTTTTTTCTATCTATTTTAAGTATGACAGATAAAGGGAATTACCATTCATTGTCTCCAATTAATTTTCATTGTGCTCAAGACAAGATTGAAATGTATGTCATATTTATTTTTTTGTAGTTTTAAAGAACAAAATGCAGCCGATTCGGAGAATGATTACATTATGCCAAAGTTCACAATGTCAGCATGTATTGAAATTGACATATAAGCATGGTAATTGTCCCAGCATTCAACATCGGTTCTATTGCACAGCTGGAGAATATAAGTATAGAAAATCGGCTTTGTTTGCCAAAAGACAACGTAAAGTGAATCAAGAGAATATTCCAGTTGAACTTGACATTGATATTGAAGAGAGGTTAAAGGTTAAAGGTCAACTTCTTTCTGAACTGTCATCTAGGAACATCCATGATATAGATGTTGATCAGTTGGTAGGATATTTGATTTTTTTTTGGTACTGTCACATTAACGAGGTCGTATATATTCTTACTAATAATTTTTTTTCCATTTACAACCAAAAGACTAACTGCAACAGTTTAAACAGATAAAACTAGTTGTATCTGGAAAAAGAATATGGAAAGTAGGTCTTCAAGGTGGAATGATTACATTATGCCAGCAAGGCTTTTATGATAATGATTTTTTTCTCATTTTGTAGTATCAACTGTATTTTATCTAAACCATGAAATTAATAGAGAATATTATATGGCTTTTTCAAAATCACATCTGTATCAACCTGAGACACTAATATTATCCCAAGAGCTCTGCTTCGAGGGATTATATTGGTTGAGGGTTGATACAGTGTGTGATATTGAAAAAGCCATATCATATACACTTTATTATATACCTCAAGTAGATGTTTTTTATGTGATATGACATTATACAGATTAGGGGTTTGATAAAGCCTTTGCAACAGTGACTGATATCGATGATGTGACGTCATACAGTTTAAAGGTATGATAAAGCCTTTGCAACTGTGACTGATATCGATATCATCACGGATGGCTGATACAGCACTATTGACTGTATTACACATACAATTTATCTGTATTTTCTACTAAGTATGTGATAAATGACAATATTATCAGTAGGAAAGACTGATAAATGCAAAATCAAAGTTATGGGTTGTGTACAGTTATGCTGAACAAAAATTACTTCTGATAGTAGAATATTGCTGTTAAAAAGCATATACAAATATGGAGATGTTGCATGTGAAAATATTGTACTTTTTGAATTGTTATGTTTTCTAACTAGCAAGGGGTGGAAATATTCATTGTGATAAGGAAAATATTCACACATCTTATATTTAGATTGCTTTAACATTAATACTTAGCTCAATGTTAATTATGAAAAAAAACAACATTGACATAACTTATAAACACTATTGTGTTACCTTGAGATTATATACATATTTAATATGACTTTTTCAATTATCTCACAAGATTTTTCAAATGTCAAAACAAAAAGGCTCGTTTGCTATCTATGATTGATACTTATATTCATGTCCACAACTCATGTTTCTTGAATAGATAATAAATAAAGGTACACAAATATATGTTACAATAAAAAAGTTTGGAAAGATCTCTCCATCCCCCCTGTCAAAAAGAAAAAAAAGAGGGGTAGAAAAAGAAGATTAAAAATACAGAAGAAATAATTAGTTTAAGAACATTTATACCGAACGAACATAATAAAAAACAGCTAAAACCATCAAAGGTTAAATTAGCCTGAGGGAGTTTCAACCTTCTAGTTTTAGAACAATTGCATAAATATGATTTATTTACTGTAAATTTACCTAAAAAATACATGTAAATCAATATCCAAGAACTGGCTACTGGACTTAATAAATCAATAGAAAAAACTTTCAAGATAAAAATTTAATGTTCTACTCCAAACAATATTTACCAACATCTTATGAGCAATAACTTTAAAAAAAATATTTATGTAGATAATTTCATATAATGAACCATTCTTTTTCTAGGAAAGAGATTACGAAAATCTTAAAGAATTGGAAAAAAGAGAATTGGAATTAGAAGGACAAAAACGAGAATGTACAAAGAAAGTAGCAATCCTTTTTCAAGCCAAGGTATTTTATATAATCAATGAACTTTTTAGGGTAAATGTTTTTTGTATATATTTTTGTCTTTATATATCTGTGTCACATGAAGTGATCTGATGTTTCTAAAGATTCTTACAGTGAAACTCTTGGAGCAGGAGAATCTAAATGAACTTGTAAAAATACATGTTTAAATTGCACATGTTGGTTTGTCTGTCCTTGTTAAGTTTGGTTAAGTCAAGATCTAAACAAGTACAAATCATAAAGCCATTAAAGGAATTACTTTTTGTCAGTTAATGCATCATGTTTAATGACAAAGTACTTTAAAATTAGGAGACCTTCAGTTTACATACACTTGACTTTGGTTAAAATTTGCATGAAAGTCAGTCAAGTTCTAAACAAGGATGAAGGATGCAAGAATTATCTTTTGGTGGATGCATCATGGTCAGGGCTATTTTAAGAATGAATGGATCAATTTATTTAAAAAGGTTTTGCTATACAAGTTCCATATAAGCAACTTCAAATCACAGTGGAATGATCTTTGTGAATTGATGCAAAATATTAATTGATGATGGTCCACCCTTAATTTACATGACCTTGAACTTCTTTTTGATTCAAATTAAAAATCAACTAACATAAAAATTGGCAAGGGGTTAGCCATTATTCATGAACCTCCATATTATAATTTTGTATAGTAAATGTATCAAGGTTTTTTTTCACCCATATATATAGTATACAGTTAATCCAGCCAGACAAATTATGAATGTAATATTTGTCAAATGTAGTTTCAAACTTTTGCAGATTCTATCTGATCTAATAGACATCATTCAGAAGCCTGATCCAAATTTACAAATGATATTAAACTGAACAGTTTTAAACTCCACTCTGATAACAAAATATTCCAACCAAAATCTGAGGTAAAAAACTGTCTTCTATGGCAAATTGAAAATAAACAGATCATAATATTTGTACTTGGGTACCTGCAGATCTTCTTTTGTACATTGTGCTATGTAGTAGTTAGAGAATCAAATTACAGGTTCTATAAAACTATCAAAAACTGAAGAAGATGGATGAAAAGTAGCAGATAATTTTACTGAAATAAGATAACAATGGGGAACAAATACATAAAATTAAGTGGTAAATGTCTAGTCTATAATCAATGGATTAAAAATAATAATATACTATATATGAATGATATCCTGGATGATAATGGAGATATTTATCAAAATTTGATATTAAACAAACTATCATCTCATTGTAATTGGTTCTCAGAATATACAAAATTAAAAAAAGGCATTGCCTAACCAATGGTTAAATTTACTTAAAGATGAAAAATCAAAGCAAACAAAAGTTTACTTTTACATAAAATTGGAAATAGTATATAAAAATAAAAAAAAGTATGAGTTACAAAAAGTAACAACAAAAGATATATATAATATACTCATACAATAACAGAAACACCAATAGGTTTTGTAAAGTGGAAAAATATTTTGCAAGTTGAAGATATTAATTTGAAAATAAAACACAATACACCATTTATATTTAGATACTTAAAAAGATAATAAATTGAAAATATTCAATGTTAAAGAGAATTATGAACATTTCTTTATCACCTGCAAATATTTTAAAACTTTTTGGGAAAGTATTAGATTAATTCTGAATAAACTCAAAATTGGATATCACATTATAAGTTTAGAAAACCTAATACTTGGATATAAAATAACTGATGAAAAGTATTATGAAATTAATTTTTTTATAACAATAGTATTATTTAGTATAAATAAAGCATTCTACTTATCAAATAGAAAAGAAAAAGAAGTAAATGTGTTCTCTATATTTAAGTATGAATTTCTCTCAAGAGTAAACCACTACAAAGCAATGAAACAAGAAGTAAGCTTTACGCTATAGAAAATTGCAAGTATTTTAAAAAAATCTCCTTTTCCTTCTTAGCTAAAACTTGTATAACTGTTTAACCAAATGTCTCAGTGACACTAAAGTCAAAATCAATAGTTGTATTGTTATAGTAGTATTGTATAGGACGATTTATTAGACAACTTAAAGATATACGTAAAAACACTGTTATATTTCCGGAGAATTGTAAATTGTAATTTATACTTATGTTTATAGTATTAGTATCAATAGATAACCCTAAACCTATTATTTATAGTATTTAGGGCTTCTAAGGAGAGAGCTGTATCCTTAAAAGATTTATACATAGCTTTAATGTAATAAAGTATAATAAGTTTAAAAAAAAGAAAAAGAGAAGTAGCAAATACCTGTATAAAGGTTAGAAAAATAAAATACATAAATTATTCATATCTATTATGCTGTATATTTAGATTTGATAATATTTTCATTTTTTTTTTCATTTTGTAGAAAGAAAATGTAGAATCTTCAGCTGACATAGAGAAAGAGTTGAAAAATGTGGTAGAGATAGGAAGAAAAACTAAGAAACAAATCAAAGATTTATTTGTAAGAGCACAAACTGGGATATTTTTAGATTTCTAATGTGAATAACCTATAATGAAAATGATCATCTCTTCAAACATTGTAAATAACAGAATATTTTTTGTAACTACATAAACTTTAATTGGAATTGAAATGTTTCACCTTGCTGAAACCAATGTAAAAATAAGGAGACATTTTGTATTCCTCAATAAGACAGCTAACTACAGAATAGGAACTTAAAAAATTTAACTTTAAACACACACAGTATATTTTTTTCATTTACTTGTGGAAAGAGTCTATGTATACCAAAAGAACATCATTTACAATATTTTATTTTTCTATTTTTCTAATTGAAACCTACTCAATCGTCATATGGTAGTGTGCTCCCAGTCTGAGTCAAACCAAAAACATGAAAATTGGAATTTGCTACTTCTCTACTAGGCAAATTGTATTTAGGATTAAGATCAAAGACTGATCGGTTCTGTGTGAAAAATGATTCCAAGTAGAGTGACATGTCTTCTTGCAGGCATTTACCTTGTGAACTAGCATGTTAAAAATCTGACCCAGCATTTAAGTCTAGCACATTTTTTAGTATTCATGCACCCATTAACATGTTCTATCCCTGATATGCGTGTAATATTTGCCTTAAAACACCAATCAATCAATCATCATGTTTTGCTTGTCTAAGCCAAAACACATGTATGCTCATCTGGCAGCAGTAGAACATAGGTTATATAAATGAATAAAAGAAATGCTGGGTATGCAACATGTCGAGCTCTTAATTTTCTTGAGACTTTAAGACAAATTATGAGCACAAATTATTAAAGAACTACCACTAGCACTCAGTTTCTTAAAGGGAAAAAATTACAATGGTATAAACACTGACAACAACAGACCAAGTTCCTGACGTGGAATTAACATGAGGTTTAATTATTTTTTGAAATTTTAATCTTTTCCTATTTTATCTTGATCATTGGATTAACAAAAGGTTCAATGGAAGAATGCACAATGGAAATCAGTTAAGAAAAAAAAAAATCCTCACCTTTATACTATTGGTATGGCAAGAGAAAAACATCTGGTACAAATAAAACAATTACTGAAAAAAGTGTTTTTATGAACTTGGCTTTTCAAGAAATGTACACTTCATGGAAGGAATACATGCTATAAAATCTACATAAAAAACTTTGCATAGAATATTTGTAGGTCTTGTTAAATATTTATCATATTGAATACCTTCAAAGTAAAGTTGTGTTATTGATAATTCTTGTGAATTTCTTTCAGCCTGAAGTGACCAGTACAGCAGAAAGAGTGGCTATGACATCACTTAATTTACCTAACAGATTGCATCAAAATACTGTAAGTGTAGTTTGTTCTTTTGTCTTTTCTTTCACACACACAGTGTGTTTAAACCTTTAGTAATAATTTTAATTTTTAGGTTATTTCTGATGGGTCACTTGATGTCTATAGTATGCTAACTTATTCATCCATGGTATTAAAGGACATTTACCATAGAAATGATAACTTGATGGTTAATTTTTCTTTGAAATCTAATTTTCTATGAATACTTTAACTTTTAGAATAATGCAAATAACACTTTATAATTACATTACATGTATGTTTCATTATAATACGTTATTTTGATTGGCTAACAGCAATCTCGCATCATTCTGAAATTAACCTTCATTTCAAAAATGAATGTAACATTCATGATGACACGAGCTTCCACAATAAAGTGCACAGGTAAATAAAAGAAAAACTTGATAGAAATCGTGTTTTTATGATCCTAGCAAAAAAATGTAATTATAAGTATTGAATGCTTCGTTTAGTAATTTTATAGGGGTGTAAAAGCGTTGACTGTGCGTACATTGTTAGAATGAAGCGCCTTCACGCTTCATACAAAATAGTTTCGGTCAACGCTTTTACACCCCAATAAATTTACAAAAAGAAGCTTTCAATTCTTAAATAAACTTAGTGTGTCCGATGCATTCTTCAGACTTCATGAATGCTTCTATCAGGAATGCTCAAACCTTTAAATTTTGAAAGCCAAGGATGTATAACATCTTGAAAACAAGAAGAGCTCTATGACCAATAAACTCATCATAGATACCAGGCCTAAAATTTTGTATGCCAGAATCATGTTTCGTCTACAAAAGACTAATCAGTGATGCTCGAACAAAAAATGATAAAATGGCCAAATAAAGTACAATGTTGAATAGCATTTAGGACCAAAGTTTCAAAAAGGTTTTGCCAAATACAGCTAAGGTTATCAATTCCTGGGGTAGAAAATAAAAGTAAACCACAAGGGACATAAAAGAAAATGCTTTTTTACTGAAAAGTGGAAGAATTTTGTGAAGGGCTTATTTTCATTAATTAGATGATTAAAATAAAAATTTGCTGAAATATCCCCTCACATAAATTTGTCAGAAGATTAGAATCAGGGACAGGGAAAACATGAAAAAAATTAAACCTCACATACCGGATATGCTTTAGAAATCCTGAAATTTAGATTTTGTGATAATGAATTACTTTGCAGTATAAAGTAAGGATGTTAACTTTAGTGCCTGAATGTCTATTGTATAAAAATAAGGAGATGTGGTATGATTGCCAAATAAGACAACTATCCACCCAAGTTAGAAAGACGAAGACAAAAAGGTGTGTTTGTTTTCTATATGCTATTATCTTCACACTTATAATTAGAAATCAAGAAATGTATTAAAATGTAATTAAAAAAATATACTCAAACGAGACTTTTGTAATGTATAGATCTAAGAATCTGTAAGACATGCATATATTTAACCCCGTAAGTTTTTTAAAGGGGATTTAAGTTTAGTTTTCACAAGTAATTGCAGTTTTAACGATACTTTTTACATTTTTCAGCCTTTATCAGAAGACAAAGTAGAAGAAAACTTTGGCATTGGTGAGAAATGATTTTATATAAAAATAAGAAGATTTTGTATGATTGCCAATGAGACAACTCTCCACCAGAGACCAAATGATGTAGAAGTTAACAACTTTCGGTCACTCTACGGCCTTCAACAATGAGCAAAACCCATGTACATTTTATACTTCTGTCTCATTGGATTTGCAATGACATATACCCTACAATTCCTTTTATTCATTACACAATAAAACAAGGAAAGACATCAAGCGGTCAACATTTTAGAATTTAAACATTCAAGCTAGGATAACATGACAGATCATCAGGATTGTTTTAATTTTTGTGAACAGCAGAATAGCTCTGAAAGTGCTCAAAAGATGATCAATTTGATTCCTAGAACAGTGTCTATCTTCTTTTGATAGTGCTAACAAATGTTTTTCATTGAACCACTTTGAAAAGTAACTTTCTGCCAGCTGCACAGCCGGTTTGGCCATTGAAAGTATGAGACTTACAGTCAGAATTTGTTTTCATATTTTGGAAAACTTATAGTCACATAAAGACAAAAAACTGTCTTAAACAATAAAAAACAGAGAAAAATAATTGTAGTCAGAGCCAGTTTAATAAATTTGTGACTTACTCTTTCTATGACTAACAGACTTCATTTAAATTTTTCTAGGGCCTCGGTTGATGAGTGGTCTAGTAGTTTAAATACTGTATCACTAGCCTGTCAACACTGAGGTTGTGATTTCGAACCCTGCGCAGGGCAGGTGTGCTCAACTCCAATCTTAATTGACTAGGATTGTCAGTTCTCCTGTCGAACGCCATTACGGTTTCCTCTACCAATAAAAACTGACTGCCATGAAATAGCCAATAGTGCTAAAAATGGTGTTAAACACAAATCAATCAATATTTAAATTATATTCCTTTTATCAGTTTTTACATTAAACCAACATATTTTGTATACCGGGTATGTGACTTTTAGTAAAATAGCCATAATAATGATAAGATACCGGTAATTATGGAAATATTTCTTTCTTTTCAGATACAGATAAATCAGAGTCTTTGTCACACATAGAAATTGGTGAATTGTTTGATTTAATAAAATTCAGGTAAGAGAAATAAATAAGATAAAAAATATTACAGAATTAATTGTAAAAAAAGCTAACCAAACCTTTAAACAGACTTATTCGGAAGGGATATAGTTCCGATACTGTTGTCAAGTCATTAAGGATGGCATATTTTGGTATTAATATTGATTCACTCATAGGGTCTTTGCAGCTGAAATAAACACATTTATTCTAAAACCAGTTGTTGGCATGATTGGGGTTATGTTCTTCTCATATATTTTATGATGGTATGATACTAAACCCCTAACGGGAGGGATTGTACTTGATTTTCATATGATGAAGACATAATCTTTCAATCAGTTTAATTGAGGTCTGGAGCTGGCATGTCAGTAACTGCTAGTAGTCCTTTGTTAATTTATGTATCATTGTCATTTTGCTTAGTTTCTTTTGTTACCTATTCTGACATTGCTGTTTGTTTGTTTATTCTACATTGGCTAGAGGTATAGGGGGAGGGTTGAGATCTCACAAAACATGTTTAACCCTGCCACATTTTTGCGCCTGTCCCAAGTCAGGAGCCTCTGGCCTTTGTTAGTCTTAAATGTTTTTTAATTCTAGTTCATTTATATGTTTTGGAGTTTAGTATGATGTCCATTTTCACTGAACTAGTACATATTTTTATTTAGGGGCGGGGTTGTTGTCTCTTTGACATATTCCCCATTTCCATTCTCAATTTTATTTTATAGAATAGATATCCACTTTCATTTCTATCTTGCTCATTACTGAAGGTCTTACAGTGACCTATAATTGTTAACTTCTACTTCATTTGGTCTCTGGTGGAGAGTTGTCTCATTGGCAATCATACCACCTCTTCTTATTTTTATAAGATTTACAATACTGCCAAGATGTCTGAACTGTGAATTTACTCAGATACTTAATTTTTCATTCTGATCTTGTAATCTCTTTCAAAATTTATTTGAACCGCCTCAGTGGTCTTGTGGTAGCCTGCTCACCATGGAAGTGGGTGGTTTTTAGTTCGATCCACAGCCTGGTCATACAAGACTTTTTGTAATTGCTGCTTCTCTGCTAGGCACAAAACATTTTAGAATTAGAACACAGACTGGTTGGCCCAGAGTCATATTAATTTTTCCCGCATAGGTTGACATGTCTTCCTGCCAACTGTAACCTTGTGAACTAGCATGTTAAAAATCCTGCTACCCCTGTCAGTCAAGTGCAAAGCAGAGTTCATATTCATAGCACATTAACATGCTCTTGTCCTTAATATGCATTAAATTTGCAACTGTTTTTTAATAATAATGGAGGGACAAAATAAAAAAGACAAAACATTTTTCCCTAATGCACATTTATTTGTGCTGTAAAAATAAATTAAATTTCATTTTTTTTCTTAAACCATTATAGGTCAAGGTACGGCCTTCAACACCGAGCATTGGCTCACACCGAACAGCAAGCTATAAAGGGCCCCAAAATATAGCCTATTTGAGTTCTATGAATCCTCAAAACCTAAATCTTTGAAATTCCCAAATTCATATGTGGTAGATATTTAAAAAAAATCATAAATGATATTTTTCTTACTGTTATACAAACTGACAATTTTCCCCAGTTATTGATTATCAATTTTTGAAAAAAAGTTGCCCTTTAGGTCTCTGTACAAATACTTATTGCACAGTCCATCCTGTTTACAGTGAAATACAAATAAAATTCACTTGTCCATAGTGAACTTTTTTATGTTAATATAAAAAACGAGGAGATGTGGTATGATTGCAAATGAGACAACTCTCTACCAGAGTTCAAATAAAGTTGAAGTAAGCAATTATAGGCCACCATACGATCTTCAACAATGAGAAAAACCCGTACCCTATAGTCTGCAATAAAAGGCACAGACATGAAAAATCTGAAACAATTCAAACAAAAAAACTAACGGCCTAATTTATAACAATTCAATTTACGAAGGAAAAAAAAATATCACACACATGAACCAATGACAACAACTGTTCTATTTGGGACAGGCACATAAAGAATATGCAAGGTTGAAATTGTTTGTGAGTGCAGTTATTTTAAACAACATTGTAAAGAGTTATGAACAGAACATTTGACACGTTGCTGTTATGGTCAATTCTTCTACTCCATTACCTGTTATTTACCTTGTTAAATAAACTTTTAATTTTAGATGGTTACTTTTTAAATTCAGTAACAAATTATCTGGAGTTCATGTACCGTATAGACAAAGATACAATTTGAAATGTATAATGTAATTCAAAATCTTTTAAAAAAAAAATATTTTTGAAGATTTCAATAACTTAAAGAACTAGTTAGAGTGGGTGACGCATATTCGCCGCAAAATTAGTTCATTTCCACCTACATCCGACCTACTTTCGAATATTTGAAACTTTTTTTGTAGGTTTCAGAAAGTTTACTATATGAAAAAAATGTTTGATAAAGGAATTCTCTTCAAAACATTAGTTAAATATTTTAAAGATGAACGCAAACTCAAGAGGAAATTAAGTTGTTCTTGTGCCATGGGGGACACATTTTCGCCGCAATGTATGATATGACCATCCTCATTTTCCTTGTATATTATAAAAACAATTGTTTGCAATTACATGAATTAGCTTGAGAGATCATTCCTATACGATTTTTCTAACAAATATTTACTTGATGACTGCGCATGCGTGCCATATAAATTTTACATAATTGCCAAAATCGTTCAAAAACACCTGCGTATTTCTTTATATGTGCGAATAACATTGGAAATGGGGTAAAGAGGAATATCAACAGTTCGAACATTATAAACAGCGTTTAGCATCTATTTAGGCAAGTATTGGGTAAAGGCACACGAAATTTACAGAAAAAATTGCAAAAACGGCGAAAATGTGTCCACGGCGAATATGCGCCACCCACTCTACATCAAGAATAATAATGTTTGAATGTCTGATTTTGAAATATTTGTGCTTGGAGGATTTATAAGTGGGCAGATGATTTGTCTAGTATTAACAAATTATCCAACTTAAAGGATAAAAAAAAAGATTTAATAATATTTTTATGGGAGGTTTATGACAGTACATTAAAAAAAAATTGTGAACCAAATATATAAAGCATATTTTGTTCTCCTTAGTTTTAAATATTTGAATATTTCTTTTCAGTAATGTAGGAAACAGAGCATTTTATTTTAAAGACAGTTTGGCTTTGCTGGAACACGCTTTAACAAATTATTTTTGTGAAGGATTACGACATGATGGCTATACACAACTCACATGTCCAGAATTTTTTAAATCTCTGATTGTGGTAAGATTTTAAAAACCTATGAAAAGGGTATGGTCTACAAAATTTCAATTTTTGTTAACAGCACAAATAAATCCCTGAAGGCTGCTTAGGGGCCAATAAAAAGGCATAGATCATAAGCTAAAACTTGTAAATATGTATTAAGTTTCATTGTTTGTAGGCCCTGTCTGTTATAGAAGGTTGGCATTATGTTTTCCAGTCCTGTGTGTTGAAGATTTTTTATCAGGTTAAGGATTTTGGTCATGGTAGTTTACTGTGAATTTGTGGTCACATCAACTTGAAACTTTGTACACATGTTCATTGTTATGTGAACTTGATAAAATATTTGCCAAACTAGGGTTTTGACTCAGATTGCATGGTTCCCTGAACATGGAAATGTGATAGAGCGAGTGTGGCATGTGTCTTCACATATGTGAGTTGTACAGGCACATATTCCGTATTCCTTTTACATTAAGGATTTTGTTTACTTTTAAACTTCATAATGTTTTAAAAAGATATTATAATGTCCCTTCTCCTTAATGTCTTGAAATCAATCCAATGTCATGTAAATCTTAATTACAATGCTTGAGCAAACATTTATTCAAACAAAGCAAGCAAGCCAACCAAACCTTTAAACTACAAGCATTAGGAAAATAGCTCTAATGTCCATAAGATTCTTATAATTGTCACTCTTGGTGCCAATCAGAAAATAATCACAGTTTATTTTGTATGTGAGGATCCACTGGAATTGATCACTCAGTCACTATATTTTTCAGCAGGAATGATTCAGCCAGTTTTAAAGGGGGGAAACCAAGACATTATAAATAGATGAGAGTAATTTGGTCAAAGGTAGACAAATAGAAAAAAAAATTAAAATAGAAAATCAGAAAAGGTGAAAATAAACAGATGGATTACAATGCTACATACCAGGCATCTTGGAAATAACAAAGGATGACAATTGAAACAATTGCTCCATTCAGCTTAAAATGAAACATATCAAATTAACTACATTGGAAAAAACTTTTCGTTCTTTTCATTCCTCAGGAATGCTTAGAAAAACTGAGGACAATAATTAATTCTTTTTTGTTAAATTGTTGATTTTATAAATATTATTGTTTTTTTTAATGCTTACATCTCATAGTGATGTCTTCCGAGAATAATATTTTTGGAAATTTACGTTTTAAATTATGCTTTAGAATATTTTATACATTATTTGATGCATATTAATTTTCTTCTCAATGCTATACATGTATTATATTTTGTAGGAAGGTTGTGGAATAGAGTCTGAGCAGGTAAGTTTGAAATATAACCTCCCATTGTCGAAATAAGAGGTGGTGTATGATTGCTAATGAGACAACTATCCAACAAAGACCAAATGATGTGGATGTAATCCATAAAGTAAGCTATAAAAGACCTTGACATTACAAAATGTGAAACAATATAAATGAAAATCGATACACAAAAAGCAAATATGGCAAACAGCAACAAATGACAACCACAGAATTACAGGCTCCTGACTGTGGACAAAGCACATAAAGAATGTGGGGGTTTAAACATTCAAATATATCTATTATTTGTAAGAATAAGATTCATTAGCTTATCTTGACAATAAAAATAAAGTAGAAAACCACACTTATAGAATAACCTTTCTCAAGGTTAAAGGATTGTAAAACCAAATACCAAAGCAGCAAAACAACAAAAATTGAAAAGCAACTGAATGCACATTCAAAAGCGGAGGAGTTGACTAGTTTATAAGCTTTACTATCTTCTATTTTAATTTAATTTCTAGGTTTTAAAGTTGAAACAAAGACCTGAGAATCCTTCAGATGACTACTTGGCAGGGATGTCCATAATGTCTTTTATTGGTATGCTGATTTACTTTTGAGTGTTGGGATATACAAGAAAGATATTTTCACATATGGTGCTAAAGAACATTGTTTTCATGCAAGTCATTGTACCGCCGTTCCTGCCTTACATCACAACAACAGTCACAATTTTCTGGAAATTATTGGTTAAAGAATAAAAAGTCTTCATTTGGCTCGAGGTTTATGACTTGCAAAATTATCTATGTTAACTGTTGATTGTCTAGATTCAATTCTTCTTCCTAACATAGTATAATTTTAAAGTCAAAATGAATTTTCATTATTTAGGAAATGAGTTTTGGGAAAGAGTTGTTGGTTTATATATATTAATGAAAATTGTTCAAGTTTCTGGTAAAGTTTGTATGTTCTGTTAAATAGTAATGTTTATTTGTTAATGTTTTATTTATTTAAAAATAGTTTAATTTTTTTTCAGCATATGTAGCAAAAAGTAGGATAAACTTAACAAATGAACCATTAAAATATTTTTCTTGTGGGCGGAGCTACACACCAGGTATGTAAATAACTTGTTTGTATTAATTAATCTGTAGGCAATTGAAAAATTGAAATCCTTTTGTACTTGTTTACATTTGGTATATCATTTCATTTTTTAGTTCATACTTTAAAGGACAAAATTATAAAGTTATATTCCATCATTGTGTTATGAGAACAAGGAAATGTGTTTATGTTATATCTTATAAAGCATTTATAGGAAGTCCTATGTCAAAAATTACATATCTTATTCATGTATTCTATTTTATGGTATTTATGTTTCCAGAATGTAACATTGTGTACAATGCTGTAGTACTTTTCATGTTACATTGATTATATACACTCAGATAAATGATTAAATACATCTTTTAAGAGATATATTAGACATAAAATTATAAAGATTTAAGTGTTAATTGCTTTCTGTTAAAATGGCAGTTGTATAATAAAGTTAAGACTTCAGTTTCATGTTACTCAAGTTTTATACAAATATGAATAAAACAAGGTTTGGGTAATAGGTCACTGGGACAGCAAAAACAAGAACACTAATCAACTAACTAAAAAATTAACGAGATCAGCCTATGGTTTTCAATGATAGATAAGTGTTCAAACCATGTGTCAAGAAATATAAAAATCTTAAAGTCTAGCTATGAAGAAATTGAAATGAGACGAACAAAGATATGTTTTTTATCTGACAAGATTTAAAAGAAATGTTTAAAAGAAATGAAAACTGCTATATTTTTTGACAAGTCAAATAGTTTCATTTCACTATTTCCAGAAGACCATTTATTTTCTTTGGGTTGATTTTTTTCAGAAACACAGAATCATAGTTCAGGACTATTTCATGCCACACAGTCAGTAAAGGTTAGATAACAGATGGTTTGGATACTAGTAAGAAACACTTTCATTGGAAATAAAAGTTCTTAATTTAGTGCAAGCCATAGGAAAGATAGATTGATTGTTGGTTGCTTAAAGTCCAGTGGCAAATAATTCATGCATGTTCAGGAGGAGAACAAATTAACAATAAATATTATTAGATCCTGTAATAGAGGCCAGCGGGGATGAAGGTCAGAGAAATTTGAACTGACACTGGAAAATGAGGGTATATTGAATAGGAGCAGAAATTTTGCCTTGCAACAGGCCACCTACGGACCCCTCAAAGAGTTGTCGCAAAGGTTCTTGACTCACAGAGAGCATGGCACTTGCTTTACACAAGGCATCAGATTTAACGTCCCCATTCTGATAGGACGTCGCTGCATACTTGTACATCATGCACAGCCAAACGGATGCCCCACTTTAGCAAGGGTTTTACTGCCGGTCCGAAAAAGACCAAAGTAACCATATTTCTATCTCCCAGCCACCCTTGGGGAACCCTAGGAAAGACAATATAGCTTTAAAAAAAATGAACAACATAAAATTGAGAATGGAAACGGGGAATGTGTCAACAACCAGACCAAAGAGCAGAAAACAGTTCAAGGCCACCTATCGGACTTCAACACAGCAAGAAAATCCCACACCCGGAGGCGGACTTCAGCTGGCACCTAAACAAAAATGTGTACTAGTTCAGAGAACATAGAAGTCATACTAAACTCTGAAACATATAAATGAGGCAAAATTAAAAAAACATACAAAACTAACAAAGGCCAGAGGTTCCTGACTTGGGACAGGTGCAAAAATGCGACGGGGTTAAACATGTTTTGGAAGATCTCGACCCTCCCCTTATACCTCTAGCCAATGTAGAATAAATAAACACACAGCAATACGCACAGTAAAACTCAGTTTAAAAGAAGTCCTAGTCCGATGTTAAAATATGTAACAGAAGAAACTAAGCAAAATGACAATGATCAACATAAATTAACAAAGGACTACTAGCAGTTATTGACATGCCTGCTCCAGACCTCAATTAAGCTGAATGCTCTCCCTTAATTTGTTTAATCTTGTATTACTTTGTTGAATTTGAATATCTTTTATTTAAAGGAAACTTTAAAACTCAACTCTTATATCAATGCAGGTTGCATGAAGTGCATGACTTGCATTAAGCGTGTTAAGTATTGGGAATAGAAGCTGGGTGGATTTTAATCCCCTTCAGAATGATTATTACAATGTATGGTTTCTTGCTATATATATTTATTCAATATTCCTAAATGATAATGTGATTGAAATATTTTGCAGGTTAACATGTTTTCTATGTGTAGAGATTGGGAAATATGTGACAGCTTACTTCAGACAGAGAAAAATAATTTATGGAATATATACAAACAGTTTAATATTCCATGTAGGTATGTTAATTTACTTCTTGTACTTTAATTCTGGTACAGTACAGAAAGCTGTGATTCTAACCCAAAAGTTTACACAATAACGGAACAAAAGTTATTTGATTTACTTTAATAGTACAATGTACAGTATATATACGTAGTTGTTCACCTCCTGATGGGAAATGTATTTTTGTTGGGGTAGATTGCTTTCATGCAATCAAAACCCTTATGTGGCTGGCTTGATAGTTGTCAATTTTCTAGATTAGATCACTGCTTTTGATATATACAAAACATAGTGCATTAAACACAATCTATACATCCTACCAATGAAAATTTCATGAAATTTATCAATGAAATATATACTTAGATATTCAAGTTACAAAATAATGCACATTTGTATAACAATACCTGTCAAGAAATTTACACAAATTGTTCATGGAACATAAATCTACTGTTCTAAAAATATCAATTTATATGTCATTGTTAAAGTAATATTTAAAATTGAAGTTATCTTCCTTTATACATAATTGTAGCTGAAACAACTATATGTTGCAATGTTTATTTTTTAGTTTGCAATTTACCCTTCAGTGCTCACAATCACTTTGATTTAGCATATCAATTTTGGTGGATTCCAATATCATGCATTGGATATCATAATTTGTATGTTTTGGAATATTTGTTATACAAAATATAAATAAGAAGATGTGGTATGAGTGCCAATGAGACAACTCTCCATCCAAGTCACAATGTATAAACAGTTAACAATTATAGGTCAAAAGTACAGCCTTTTAACACGGAGCCTTTACATTTTAAATTGGAATGGAACAAAACTCAACAGATTTTTTCACCCATTTTATAGTTGTGTATACCTAATTTTTTTTTATCAGGTTGAAATCGGATTTAAGCAAAAGACTGACTTTACCATTCCTTCAGTGTTTACAGGAATAGAAAGAGACTTCACAGAATCACTTCCAAAAAATAGTTAGCTGTATAGAATGATTTGTTGGTTTCCCATTGGAAATCAAAGATTTTGTCATTTCTACACATGCTAAAAATATATGACGTAAAAACAAAGTTTGACAGTTTACATAATAATTAAACAAAATTTGACAGAATTGTTGTAAACATTGACAATTGTGCATTTCAAAGTATTGTTGTGATTAGATTTTCATTTCTTTGTAGCACAGCAAGAGAAAAAGGGGAGTGTACTTAGGACAAAAACAAGCTATGATTAACATTTAAACTAATTTGATTTTATTCCTATTTTTGTTGTTTCAGACTAGTGACAATATCATCACCATTATTACACAGGTCTGAGGAAATGAGAATTGAAATTCAGTTTTGGGCCAAGTCTCTACATAAATATTTAAAAGTAAGTGAACAACAACCCTTTTGTCATAACAAAGGAACATGCCCATTAAAGACTTCTGTAAAGTGCATCAATGTTTCCTGAGCAAAACACACTTTTTCTCCCCCCCCCCAAAAAAAATCAGCAAAATTGTTCAAAATACAAGGGACTGTGATATTTTCCAAGCAGAATAATCATTTGGCATGGTTTATTATTTATTCAGGCTGAGTTATTGGAATGGCAAGTACTGCTGTGAGCATTGCTGTTAACTGGCACCATGTGACTCATTTACTTCAGCAATACAATTATTTAACTGGAATCCACTTAAAATTTACAATACAGTGTAGCAATATACAGTACAGTAAAAATGGATCCTTGTCATCTAATTTGACTGTTATATTAAAAAATTTATGTGATGTACTAATTAATAGAAAGAAAGATGATTAGTGTTTGTTTGATTTAATTTGATCTCATGGCAAAATATTGAGAACTAATCACCATGCAGATTTTGTCTAAACAGAATAGCCAAACCATTTGTAGCAAACTTGGGGCCATAAACCAAAAGAAGAAAAGCTAGATTTTTTCTCAAGTGTTTTATTTGTAATATTTTTTTTATATACAGTGTATATATTAGGATTGGAAAATCTCCTTTTTTCCTCCTACTTCATTACTTTCATTCACAACGAAAACATACTCAAGTTTAACCCTGCTACATTCTTTATGTGCCTGTCCCAAGTCAGGAGCCTGTAGTTCACTGGTTTTCATTGGTTCATATTTTTTTTTGTAAATTGTTTTGTTATAAATTTGGCCGTTAGTTTTCTCATTTGAATTGTTTCACATTTTTTCATGTCAGGGCCTTTTATAGCTGTCTATACCGTATGGGTTTTTCCCATTGTAGGCTGTACAGTGACCTATAATTGCCTATATCCACTTATTTGAACTCTGGTGAATAGTTATCTCATTAGCAATCATACCACATCTCCTTATTTTTATATCAAGTGTTTTGCAAAATGAGACATGATGTAATGTCACAACAGTTATACTCAGGAATTCTTGCGCAAATATTTCAAGTCTCCTTATAAACCAAACATTATTTCCGACAACAAACCCTCTAATAGCACCAAGGCTTGTAAAGTTGTCCTATAAACGAAAAAGGGTGTCAACTAAACTATATGAAAAGTATTGAAAACAGTTGTATCAACAAAGTAAGTTTCTATTCTAGCATCACTGCTCATTGTGACTTTATGCCAACTCATGTAAAATGATACTAACATCTTCAAATATAAAATATGGCAATATTTTGTGTATTATAGGTCTCCTCCGTCTCCATGGTGAGTGACTATATCAGCAGAAGACTAATGACAAGGCATTATAAAGGAACATTACCTGTTTATATGGTAAATATTAATAAGCACTAAGCACAGCAATGAGCTCATACTGTAGTATAAAGCGTTAAGAAAAGAAACTTGAAAACTCTTTATATGATGCATTTTTATTTAAAAAAGGCATTAGTTCTTGTGGGGTGTAAAATTGGGTTTTGAATTATTGTTCTAATTTTTAGCTCACCTGGCCCAAAGGAAAGACAAGTTCTACAAATAAGTCTCATGATTGAAATTGTGAGTTGACTCCTTATTAGAGTTATTGCCCTCTGATGACGATTTTTACCAATATTTTGCGTTTTTATGCCCCCACCGTAGCGGTGGGGGCATTAAGTTTTACCCTTGTACGTCCCAAAATTGGTTTCCGTTCTCTAACTTGAGTTTGCCTCAATCAAATGTTATGAAACTTATACACCATGCTTATTATCACAAAACACAGATCAAGTTTGAATTTTGGTGGTGTCACTTTAACCGTTCTAGAGTTATGTCCCTTTATAAATGGAAAAATTGCAAAATTTTTAGTTTCCATTCTCTTTCTTAAGTTTGCCTCAACCAAATAGTATGAAACTTATACACAATGCTTGTTACCGCAAAACACAGATCAAGTTTGAATTTTGGTGGCGTCACTTTAACCATTCTAGAGTAATGCCCCTTTATAAATGGAAAAATTGCAAAATCTTTAGTTTCCGTTCTCTTACTTAAGTTTGCCTCAACCAAATGTTATGAAACTTATACACAATGCTTATTACCACAAAACACAGATCAAGTTTGAATTTTGGTGGCGTCACTTTAACCTTTCTACAGTTATGCCCCTTTATAAATGGAAAAATTGCAAAATTTTTATTTTCTTCTAAATATCAAGTTTTTTTTTAAATTGGAGTTATCTTCCTTTGTCCATGATTATAGTTGAATCAACTGCAATCAATGCTTTATACAATGCAATGTTTAATTTTGACTTCCACTGATAAAACACAGATCAAGTTGAATTTGGATAGTGTCACTTTAACCATTATTGAGTTATGCCCCTTTATAAATCGAAAGATTGCAAAATTTTTAGTTTCCATTCTGTAACTTAAGTTTGCCCCAACCAAACATTATGAAACCTATAAACAATATTCATTACAAAAAAACTAAGATCAAGTACAAGTTTTTTGTTTCCGTTTTCTAACTTTAGTTTGCCTCAACCAAATGTTATGAAACCTATACACAATGCTTAGTACTACATAAAACAGATTAAGTACGAAATTTGGTGGCGACACTTTTAACATTCTTGAGTTATGTCCCTTTATAAACATAAAAATTGCTGAATTTTTAGTTTCCGTTCTCTAACTTTAGTTTGTCTCAACCAAATGTTATAAAACTTATACACAACTGTTCTAGAGTTATGCATGTTTACAAATAGAAAAATTGCTGAATTTTTAGTTTCTGTTCTCTACTTAAGTTAGCCTCAACCAAATGTTATGAGACTTACACACAATGCTTATTACCACAAAACTCAGATCAAGTTCAAATTAGGGTGGCGTCACTTTTACCGTTCTTCAGTTATGTCCCTTTATAACTATATGATATGCAAGCGGGGGCATCATCTGTGTCCACATGTGGACACTATCCACATTTATTTTTGCCTTATATCTTAAAAATTATAATAGATAGATAGAAACTTAAATAAGCAAAATTTATCTGCAATTTAGACATATGGTGGAAATCGTCTGACGACTTCTTATTGGAGTTATTGCCCTTTTTTGTCTCGCCTTGACGGAGTCAAAAAGCGAGACATAGGTATGCTGTTTCCGGCGTCATCGACGGCGTCAACAATGTATTAGTTTGTGATTAGGTCTAGTTCATGGTGAACCACTTTTGGTAGGTCAATGATATTTGGTATGCAGTTGTATTAGCATTGGCACATCTCATTACTTTGGAGATTATTTGGCCCCGCCCCCTCAGTCAAGGTCTATTGACTTTGAAACTTTTCATAGTTTACATGTATTAGTTTGTGATTAGGTCAATTTATGGGGAACCACTAGTGGTAGGTCAATAATATTTGGTATGCAGTTGTATAAGCATTGGCATATCTCATTTCCATGGAGATTATTTGGCTCCGCCCCCTTAGTCATGGTCTATAGACTTTGAAAATTTTGCTAAGTTAACATGTATTAGTTTGTGATTAGGTCAGTTCAAGGGGAACCATTAGTGGTAGGCCAATGTTAATTGGTGTTCAGTTGTATAAGCATTAGCACATCTCATTTCCATGGAGAATATTTGGCCCGCCCCCTCAGTCATGGTCTATTTACTTTGAAACTTTTGCTTAGTTTACATGTATCAGTTTAAGATGAACTGCTAATGTTAAGTCAATGATATTTGGTATGCAAATTTATTGGCATTTGCAAATATTGTTTCCATGGAGATTATATAGCCCCACCCCTGATCATGGTTCATTGACTTTTAAACTTTTACATAGTTTACAAGTTAATGTTTGTGTTTAGGTTTGTTTAAAGGGAACGACTTATAATAAGTCAATGGTATTTAGTATGCAGTTGTATTAGCATTGGTACATCTCATTCCATGGAGATTGTTTAGCCATGTACCTTCAGTCATGGTTCATTGACTTTGAATATTTGCATAACTTACATGTTAAAGTATTGCTATTTTAATTTCAACATTTGCATTATCAAAATTACAAAAAGGCGAGACATATCTCTGTGATAACAGTTTATTTTGCGTTTTGCCTTATATGATAAAAATTATAATAGATTTTGTAAATAGTAAAATTTTGCTGATATAGTTAATAAACTAACACTCTTTATAGGAGTGATTGCCCTCAAATTAGGATTTTGTTTTAACCTCTTTTGTGTTTTGAGCAAAAACTAAAGAAGATGGAGAGAAACTAAACAGACTAAATGATCAGCAATACAAGATCAACAAAACAGAGATTTTTGTCATGAATTCTGTTCTTGTTTACAATGTTGGAGAGTGTCCTTTGTCTAATATGCACATAGACCAAGGTGAACGACACAGGCTCTTTAGATCCTCTAGTTTTATGAACTCCTTACTTTAATCAGTTGTCATATAGCTTCAAGATTTTATATTATGTATATTGAACTGTCAAATTTCATTGATTTATTATAGCTTAACCATTGCCAAAAAACAAAAAAAAAACTACCACATCTTTGGTGATCTTTTAATTCAGAGGCTTTCAACAACCTGCTGGTAATGAGTAGTGTTATTGTCATTTCACCAGTAAATAATTATAATGCATTGGTTCTATTTTAAAACACTGCATTTATGGTAACATGCTTTCAATTTACTTTTCATCAAAACAGATTTTAGAAACTAAGAGTAACCATTTTATATTTGTCAGGTTCATTGTGAGGCCCTAGATGTTACCAGGTTAATTGCCATTTTAATAGAATATGGTGCTATACAACAGGTAAATAACAACAAAAAATAAAGTATGAAACCATTGTGCTTATTGCAGGAACAAAATATCTAGTTTATGAGTATTGATTAGGTACTTATATATTTGCAACATTGTCTTTTAATGATGATGTAAAAGTTTACATACATTGTGTATAGTTTTAAAAATTTTACTCATATTTTTTTAATTTTCTGAATTATTTATGAAAAACGCAAAATCAGGTCTTACAAAAGCAATTATTTTTTTGCTAGCACTTTCTTGTTAATTACTGCGGATTCATTGTTAATTGTGGAAGACCAATTTCCATTGATTCCATGGGTCCAGGTGAACCACAATTTAAATGTTAAATGAAGTACAAAATTTCTTTAGGCTTGTAGGCAGACTTTAGCAAAACCACAAAATCAAATATCCACAAAAATATCATTTTTCTTTAATCCACGAAAATTAATGAATCTACAGTATTTCTGCTTATGGTAGAAACATCCAAAGATCTGTAATTGTTTAAAGTGTAAGTTGCATTCTATTGATAAATGATGTCTAACTTTTTCTTAATGAATGTCAGTTACTAACAAATATTAATGTTTACCATGGCTAAATACTGTTAACATGGAAATTTTGCGAGATCCATGCGTAAACTTTCAGCCTGGGTTTTAAATTCCTACCTTGAAAAAAAGCGCTCCCTTCATCTCAATATTGTTGTTTTGTACAAACTATTCATGTGTGGTACTTTTTTTGTATTTTACAAGATCTCAAAATAAGCAAAAATAACTCCTGGAAGAAAATTTTCACGTTTACAGTACACATACCTATTTTTACTGAAATAACAGTTGTAAAAATTAAAACTATTTATTGCGAACCCAATGAAAGTTTTCCACAGTGCCATCTCTATCTTGACCAGGTATTTAAACTTTTGCAAGTTCACCTGTCCTATTGAATAGATACAATAGCTATTGTTCTCTGTGTAGTTTATTCTCTGGGACCTTTAAATTTCTTCTAAGAGAAATCTATCATTCATTGATTAAATTACCTGAGTAAAAAAAATTTCTTATATATAGACAAAAATACTGTTTTTATACTCATTAACTGCGTGTGATGATGTAGTTATTCAATATTAATAATATATATTTTCATTCAGTTTAATATAAACATAGATTCAATCATAAAAATTTGATTTCTGACAAAACTTTCAACATTGTTCCTTTTAAAAAAAAATTTGTTTGACATAAATAAGAACTTGAAAATAATGATGTTTCAAATTAAGATCTTCTTAAATGTATTCTATAACTAAACAAAAAAAAATCAAATTTCAATAGGAACATTGATAAAACTTTTGTTAGAAATCAACTTTTTATGATTGAATCAATGTTTATATTAAACTGAATGAAAATATATTATTAATATTGAATAAATACATCAGCACACACAATTAATGAGTATAAAAAAAGTATTTTTGTCTATATATAAGAATTTTTTTTTACACAGGTAATTTAATCAATGAATGAAAGATTTCTCTTAGAAGAAATTTAAAGGTCCCAGTGAATAAACTACACAGAGAAAAATTGCTATTGTATTCATTCAATAGGACAGGTGAACTTGCAAAAGTTTAAATACCTGGTCAAGATAGAGATGGCACTGTGGAAAACTTTCATTGGGTTCGCAATAAAGTTCTATTTTTTTTGGTATTCAAAATATGTTTCATCTTTTTAATCTTATCAGTTAAACTATGCTAGTTAATTTGTCAGCTATTGCTTACACTATTTTATATTTTCTTTTTTATGTAGGATACATACAGTTTTCCTGATCTGGAATTCCTGGACAAATACTGGATACATCCTAAATGACATTTAGATAAATAAAAAGTTGTTTTTAAGCTATAGTATGTGTGGCTTATCAAAACAAAGAACACCACATTATTATACAAATCTGTTTGAGGAATGACTGTAATATTTTTTCTGTCTATGAAGAAATAACATAAAAAATGTGGTGCACACTAAATAACCCGCGTCACAGGTTATTTAAAAGTGTGCACCACAGTTTTTATGTTATTTTGAATAGGCAGAAAAAATATTACAGTCATTCCTTATAATTTAATTCTAAAAAGGAGTAAATCATGATAAAAACGTTGATGATGTCACGGTCACTTGACAAAATTATGTCTATGAGCTGATAGACAAAACACTTTCAGCCAATCAGAAGACGTGTTACATCCAAAATTAAATTATTCATGAATAAACACAAGTACAAAAGTAACAAATAGAATCTGTTTATTCAACGAAAACAAAATTGGCTAGTGGTAGACTGTATCTGAACTATAAATAAAAGGAGATGTGTAAACATCAATGAGAAAGCAGTCTAACAACATAAAAAATAGGTTTATTCACAAGTAGCACCTGTTATTTTGATCATGACAAATAAAATCTTGTGACCATAAAAGTCATACATGAACAAAAGAGGACAAGATTGGGGCCATGATATAAATTGATATCTATGGTCATCTGTCATCAGTGTATGGATAGACTTAGGATTAAGTCGCATAGCTTTGAAACAATAAGTCAGAAAATAATGAAATTGAAAAATGTTACATTTGTTTATTGAAATGTTGTTGTCATAAAATGTATGAAAATTAGACTCCTTTTTATCATAGATGTCACATAACTTAGTAACAATCAGTTCAGACAACCACCATGATCAAAAGGGATCCTAACATTCACAATTTCCACATTTTCAACAAAAGATCTGTACAAAAGGGGAATATTTTGTGCCATATCATTGCTTTCATAAAAGAGTCAGTTTTCCTTATCAAGTCTTCTTGAACTTACTTGACATTAAGCAATAATGAAAAGAAAGGATATGGAGTACTAATTAATGTTTCAAAATCCAATACACACCAGATTTATTGAAAAGCAGAGAAACAATGCCTTTATTGCTGTTTCTCATCCAAAAGACAATGAGGCCTTCAACTTCAACCAAATGCCCACAACTCACTGCAAGTTCAAGACAGCCCCTAGTCTCTGAGTGAAATTATGTGTTAGCTGTTGATAACCCAGTAAGAAAGAGTGTACTGTCAAATCTTTGGAGCATAACATTTTAGTTTGGTGTTGAAATCTTCCAGAAAATGTGATATTTTCATAAACATGTGCAATTAGAAAACTCAACATTTCAGCAATGTAAGATATCACTGTATAGTGAATCATATTTGGGTGACAGATAAAAGATAGATTTCAACTGAGATGAATGAATGATAATATGTATCCGCATTCTAATATCATTGAACTATTATAGGTATGTTAGTCTTAAATCTATGTTTGGCCTCAAATCTATGTCCTTTTGTCAAATCTGTGTCCTATTTTATATTGTGTCATAAACGTCAAAAATCTATGTTCTTTTTGTCCTCAAATCTATATCCTTTTTAACATGGTAAGCACTGTCCTATGTGTTGATGTCATAATTTTCAAAACATCTTCTAAGAATTATTTTTGTTGTCAAAGACATCAATACCAGTTTACAAATGTAACAGTAAAGTAGACGAAAAATGATGAGGTTTGTTTAAAAACACGATATTGAAAAAAAGTAACAGACAAAAATGGGACATTTACACTTTAAAAATTAAAAACGGATAATAATTACTGACATTATTAACAAAATTGGGAAGATTTAGGTGCTCAGGAAGTGTGATAAAGTCTTTTTTTTTTTAAAAGCTCATAAGGAAATCGTTTGCAAAGGAAGAAGGTGCGTTAAATGGAAATATATCTGTTAGATCTCCTGGCAGTCTTTGCTTACAGGTTTCTGACATTGCAAGATACTTGTTTATTAATCTTATAGCACAGGGATTGAGTAAACATTTGGACACATAATTGAAGTGTGGGTAATTAAGGCAGAGAACATAGATTTGAGTCTGATTTTAAACGGACATAGATCTGTCAATGATGTAATGATTGGACACACATTTGAGAAAAGGACATAGATTTGAGGCTGCACACGGAAAAGAGTCTTACAAGTGTTACTGAACAGTTGAATAATGTAAAGGTAGTTGCTGGAACATTACTGTGGAGGCAGGGCCTCATATACTGAATGCAATTGAGATGCAGACATGCTTACACAATTGTTACAAAATATCAATTTCTATTTTAATTTACTTTGAAGTTGACATAATAAGAAAAACTTTTTGTGTGGTTGTCTTATGTCATATCTTTTTTGGAGACTTTGGTGTTGATGGCAGATCTTATATTGTTTATGTTTTATTATTTTACAGCTTTTATAAACTTGATTTTGTGTATTGTATTGTTATAAAGACCATGTTTCATACCCTCAATGTCTTTTGGTTAATTTTGTTGTTGTGTGGCTGTCTCATTGATGTATAATCAACATCTGCTTTTATTTATACTGAATATTATATACTTACAACTATGTCAGACGAATAATAGTATGATATTGTCTCCCAAAGCTTTGTTGCAGGGGAGATAACTGCAAAAATCATTGAAGGCAAGGCAAATACTAACAATTTATATTAAAGCTCAAAACAAATACATGTACAGATAGAATACCCGTTTCATAAACATATTTTTTCTTATTTTTAATAAAATAATAATTTTTAAAAAGATGAACACTTGATGTTATGTCAAAAAATTTCAAACTGGTCAAGTATTACACTTTTCACATTCGTCAAGAATAAAATGCTGAGTTAAATTTTCTCTTCATCTCGTCAGGTACGTTTTTCTGTCCATAGGGACACTGAAAAATAAATGTTAAAATATCATTAACAAAACTTGTAGCTTATCATCTCATTACTAACACTGAAGATATATACATTTATATCTTCAAATAGTAGTTGGTAACCACAATATTAATGTTTCCAGTATATTTTTTAAACTTTTTTTTACAGTATTGAACCAAATATCATATATAAATAGGCTATATATGTATGATTAATTTCCATAGAATATCTGTTTAAAATCACTAAATTTCCAGAACACAATCATAAAAGGTCCAAAACCAATCCCATACTACTCTGATTTTCAAAGTAAGGTAAGACTGACTACGTCATTCTATATCTGCAACCATTTCAGATAATTATTCAGTTGACATGGAGACAAGAAGCAGAAGTATATATTTGGTTCGCTATACATCGAACAATTTATGTAAATAGGTTGCATCGAGTGAACCAACACCTTCTAACGGTACAGGCTGATAGAGAGTAATCAGGATGGATACCCGGAGGTATGCTGCGGTTGTCTTAAAACCTCAGGAAAATAATGCTACACAAAGACAACAACATCGTAGATTACTGCAAGGAAAATCTTTATTATGGTCTACATGTTTCGCCACTTACGGTGGCGTCTTCAGGACAAGTTAAACATAGAAAACAAATACTGAAGTACATAAAATGCGGTGCATATGGGGTTACAAAGGTTAACAAGACGTAACGTCACAATAATTAATTTGACAACGTTAAAATGAAAGTGAAAGTAAAAGTTAATAATGAATTGTCAGTGTCTTTTCCAAAATGGACAACACCTCACAGGACATTCCGTACCATTCCAAAAGGCTTCACTCGGAAAGAGGTACTACTTCCAATTGCGTCGGGAATGTTGTAAGATGTATGGTAGTCGCACATGTAGTGGGCATGGTGGAAGTTGTGGTGAATTGGTTACATTTTGCGGTTGTGGTACACTATCCATGTTGCAAGTTTATTTCAACAATAATTGTGCGGTTCTGCGGTTCAGTACGTTTTGCGGTGGTCTTCTTTTGATCTTGAGTGGTAGTAATTCATTTGTTGACTTTCTAGAATAATTCGGCAATCTCGGAAGGGGTCGATATTGTCAATGCGGTGTGGTTGTCAAATACAACGCGGGTTTGGCAAAGGTGGATCGTCTAGATGCAGGGGTTCACAAAAAAATAATAGGTTGCATCGAGTGAACCAACACCTTCTAACGGTACAGGCTGATAGAGAGTAATAGTTTAATTTTTTGTGGGGGGTTTATTTTCGTTAATTTGTGATTAAGATAGAATAGTGAAATTTCCTTTAGCAACAAATTTTATCTTTAATGTTGATCAGAATCAAAAGTTAAAAGAACACAAAAAACAACTCTAACTGGTTTGGCCTTTTAAATCGCAAAAATTTAAACTATGCAAAATATAAACCACTTAATAACAGTACATTATTTGGCGATGAAAAACTTAGAGTCTCAAAGGACCCGATACAACTACAGGGCCGGGGTGTTGAACTACCTTGACTATCCATGAAGGTCTAGCACTCAAACCAGTCTGTGTTTTTTTGTGTGCATTTGTTCAAAATTATTGATTATCATGATAATATAGCATTTTTTATGATTAAAAAAACACACTTGAAGTACACAAATGCCACAAAAAACCTTTCAAAATAAAAAATTACCCTTAAAATGCATTTAAAAACTTTGTTGATCATAGTTCTTAACCTAACTACGACAGGGTCAATACTGCTACTGGTTGACTGCTAGACCCCTAGGTATCATCAGATCAGTAGTCTGTGCTTGGGTACTGATATGATTTGTAACATTACTTTCTGCTGACAAATTTAGAAATTATTAAGAAATTAAGGTTCAAACTCCATCAGGCAAAGTTGACCTTATATGTAATTGGCTATTTCTTTTTGTCACCTCGCTCGTCATGTGTTGGAGTATTTATACATCCTTGTATTTTTATATTTTGAGTCTAAAGGTTCCTGATAAACGTTAATCCAGAAAAGTACTTTAAACACACCAAAGTGTTATTTTTAATAATAAGTATTGGCTTCGTGTCAATCCAATAAAAACTGTAAATCAAACATGTGACATGAATTAAGTATGTTACTCGCAACCACCACTTGAGATCTATATATACAATAAGAAGTTGTGGTATGAGTGCCAATGAGACAACTATCCATCCATGTCACAATGTGTAAAAGTTGTTTAACTGTTCAAACTAAATTACTGGAATCATTAATCAGCTAAGTGACAAACTTATTAGATCAAGTTGATCTCAATTTCATTCTATTTGTACATAATATATAATAAATATGATATTTTTGAATAAAAAAATAAAGTATATGTAAATAATAAGAATCAGGTTGCAGGATTGTGGAAACAAATGTTAGTAACGCTGCAGTAAGAAAATACCTTGCCCTGTCTTTCAGTTAAATATTCAGGTCTTAACATAGATGTGTTAGGGTAGGGTACCAGTAGATCAACACAAGGCGAGAACAAAGTATAACATACATATCTACAAGCATTTCAACAACATTCTCCTCTTGTTAGATGTGTAAGGGTAGGGTAAACAGAAGATCAACACAGGGTGAGGACAAAGTATTTTCTAGCTTAGGAGTAAGTATAACATACATGTCTACAAGCATTTCAACAACATTCTCCTCTAGTTAGATGTGTAAGGGTAGGGTAAACAGAAGATCAACACAGGGTGAGGACAAAGTATTTTCTAGCTTAGGAGTAAGTATAACATACATGTCTACAAGCATTTCAACAACATTCTCCTCTAGTTAGATGTGTAAGGGTAGGGTAAACAGAAGATCAACACAGGGTGAGGACAAAGTATTTTCTAGCTTAGGAGTAAGTATAACATACATGTCTACAAGCATTTCCACAACATTCTCCTCTAGTTAGATGTGATAATCTAGTCATTACCATATAACCTGTTCCTGGATCTGTGTATGACATTTGTTTATTCTGAAAGGAAACTTTATGATAAAAAGGCTTACTGTAAATTCAGAAATTATTGCATGCATTTATTATTACGATTTTTGAAAAATCGACAAAAATGCGAGATTAATTATTGCGATTTCAGGAAAATCTGCATACAGATATATGTATCAGATATCAGAATGCAAGTTCTTATTATTGTGATATTCACCCAGTCACATTATTCGCATTAATAAAAACTGTATTTCTGTATTTACAGTATATCACCAACCGATTTTTACAATTTGTTCTTATGTTGTGCTGTTACACCACTATCCCAGGTTAGCAGGAGGGTTGTGAATTCACAGACATGTTTAACTCCACCAAATTTTTTATGTGGCTGTCCCAAGTCAGTAGCCTGTAGTTCAGTGGTTGTAGTTGGTTCGTGTCTGTCATATTTGTTTTTCTTAAATTGTTTTGTTATAAATTAGGCCGTTAGTTTTCTCGTTTTGATTGTTTCACATTTTTCATGTTGGGACCTTTTATAGCCTATATATATAGCTACTATATGGTACGGGGTTTTCTCATTGTTGAAGGCTGTATGGTGGCCTATAATTGCTTACAAAAATTCCATTTTAACTCTGGTGAATAGTTGTATCATTGGCAATCATACCACATCTCCTTATTTTTATATTGATGACATGTGTTTCAGCAACCACAGACGTCTGATGTTAATTTTACAATATCAGTCATAGAATTGTAAACTAGGAAATATGCCTGGTTGTTTTATTTCATTATTAAAGCTTGATAAGCTGAAAGTGTTCTGACATCTAAATTTAATTATACTGCAGCAAAGCAAACAAGATAAAGACTGTTACCATCTAAAATGTTAAAGCATGAAAGAGTTACTGAGTGACCACTGACCAGAGATCTTTTCAATGCTGCAAAAATAAGATTGCACAAAATTTTGCAGAACACTGTATGCCTTATAGTAGTATGCCCTTGAAAGATGAATTTTTACCAATTTTCTGCATTTTTGTCAAAACTTAGAGAAAAACATTAATTGGCGAAAATTATCAGCAAAATAAGATCTACATGAAAGTGTAAAAGTGTGAAATCTCCAGACTCCTTAAAGGATTTATTGCCCTTAAATGATGATTTTTCAATACAAGTTGCTACTATATAAGATTTACACATAAGCAAACATAACTAATTGCAATAAAGGTAAAAATAAATATAAAAAAAAATGGTGTATTTTTACCAGGTAAGTGATTCAGACTCTTGAGAGCCTATTGTTTTGTTACTCTTGTTGTTATTTGATTTACAGGTCGGAGGAAACTGAAAATGACTGCTTCCTGACTTCTTACTAATGTAAGATAAAAGTGCATATCACAACTAAAAAATCAGGAAACATTTAAGATTTCCTACTTTCTTTAAACACACAGCTACTCTACTTCATACAAATAGAGTACTTGTAAATGTGAACTAACAACTGAACAAAATGTCATTTATAAATAACTTAAAAACCACATACATGAAACAGACAAAATAAGAATTGACAATGTTTTAGAGATCTGGTTACTTTGGTATACTAATAAATATTGTATCAAGTAGAATATAACCATTTTATATCGTAAGCTATACAACATTTCTCAGGTTAAATTTAGAATGCCCTTCATCCTTCAAACATATGCTTGGATGATGGGCTTACAAACTTATGTGTAATTGATTGCTTAACAAGTAATACTGTGGAATATTACCAGCATTGTCTGATTTTCAAACCAGTCATACTAAGCCGTAATGCTGTCGTCTTTCTTTTACTTATGTTTTTTGTATTGCTTCATTTAGTCATTAGTGTTTGGCTTTTATCAAAATTTATGGAAAACAAAAAAGATCTTTTAAAAGATTTGTGTACATGTACCTATTATTTGTAGAAAAAATTGAAATTTGAACTACTGTGGAATCATTATCATTTGTTGTGTACCAATTTGTGGATTTTGGGGGTAAAGGTAAGCCAAGAATTTAAATCTTCAACAAAGTTAAATTTCTTGTATCCTTGAAAGCAGAATTTGTCAAAACCACAATCTCAAGTATTCACAAAACTAGAGAATCTAAAGAGCCTGTGTCGCTCACCTTGGTATATGTGCATATTAAACAAAGGACAAAGATGGATTCATGACAAAATTGTGTTTTGGTGATGGTGATGTGTTTGTAGATCTTACTTTACTGAACATTCTTGCTGCTTACAATTATCTCTATCTATAATGAACTTGGCCCAGTAGTTACAGTGGAAAATATTTTGTAAAAATTTACAAAAATTTACAAAATTTATGAAAAAATTGTAAAAAATTGACTATAAAGGGCAATAACTCCTTAAGGGGTCAATTGACAATTTTGGTCATGTTGACTTATTTGTAGATCTTACTTTGCTGTACATTATTGCTGTTTACAGTTTATCTCTATCTATAATAATATTCAAGATAATAACCAAAAGCTGCAAAATTTTCTTAAAATTACCAATTCAGGGGCAGCAACCCAACAACGTGTTGCCTGATTGGTCTGAAAATTTCAGAGCAGATAGATCTTGACCTGATAATCAGTTTTACCCTATGTCAGATTTACTCTAAATGCTTTGGTTTCAGAGATATAAGCCAAAATCTACATTTTACCGCTATGTTCTATTTTTAGCCATTTCGGCCATCTTGGTTCGCGGACGGGGTCATCGGACACATTTTTTAAACTATATACCCTAATGATGATTGTGTAAAAGTTTGGTTAAATTTGACCCAGTAGTTTCAGAGGAGAAGATTTTTGTAAAAGTTAAAAATGTTTTTCCTCAATCCAAGAGGAAAACAAATGAATCCACAGTAAATAAAATACATTGTATACAATATACTAACCCTTACAGCTTCTACATGTTTTCGATGAATTTTGACATCCTGAGCCGTAAGTTTAGAATAATCTACTAAGGCTTCCCAAGAGAATGTTTCAGCCTCACTTTCACTAACAATGTTTTGTTTGTTCCCAACTGTATCACTGTATTTTCTGACACAATTAATACAGACATATGGATGTAACTGTCTTAATGATTTCCTAGCTGTTGCCACAATGAGAAGTTTTGCAAGATTTGACATCAATGGACTTGCAAAACTTAAACAAGCCATTCTTGTCTGAAAAAAAGTAGTGTCACAAATATGAAAACATATCAACTTCATAACAGTTAAAAGTATTAAATAAAAAAAATCAGTTGTTCTATAGCTGAATTACTTTTATCATTCAAAGACAAAGAAAAGATAAAAGTTTGTGAATTTTGCATTTAGAATTCAGAATTATTCATTAACATGATAAAATTCTTTTACATTTTATATAATTTTCTATCATTTACACAAAAGATATACTGGTAGTTTTAATAGATATAAGAAGATGTGGTATGAGTATGGTCTTTAAGGGACTTTGTTTCATTTTCATTTACAGATAAAACTTTCGTAAGCACATTCATAAATCCAACAATGGGAGATAACTCATAAATTTTCATATTAAATAATTAGAGATGACACATTTTGGAATATAATCATAATAATGTATAATAAATAAGGGAAATAACTCATTATTTTCAAATATTATAAATTGTACAATGCAATTTCAATTGGAGATAACTCCTCATTACCATTATTACATTATTGTACGAAGAGCCTATTCTAGTTTCTGTGTGACAAAGGATTGTTATTTGTATTATGTTTACTGTTAGCATGGTTAGACCTTCAAATACAATGAAAGAAGGCAGACCGAAAAAAAAATGCTCTAAATGAGATAAAATCAAGGTACTTAAAAAAAATAAAAATATGAAATGTCAAAAAGTAAATGTATTTCATATTTAAATGTTTTGCACGATTTGGAGAATGGAGCTTTAATAGCAGATCATTGTTTGATTCATCATTCTGATTAATTTATTTACATTTGTTATAGACTTTGGAAGATTTAGAGCTTGGACATATTACATAAACACCTGTCTGTTTAAGACTTAATGTTGCCATATAATAATAGATGTCTTTTAAATATTATTGTTGTTTGGTTGCAGACTCCTTGAATTATATATATATATATAAATAATCCACATCTCTTTCCATTTGTCAGAAATGACTGAGTTATAAAAGATTTTACCACTAAGGGAGCTACCATTTGATTTTTATGGGGGGGCTAGGATGAAATTTGAAAAAAATAGGCAGGACAGGAGTTTTGAGTAAAAAGAAAGGCAGGATGAGATTATTTGCAAAAAAAAAAAGGCAGGATGACAATTTATGTAAAAAAAAAGTCAGGATAAACTAAAAAAAAAAGGCAGGACCGAATAGAGTGAAAAATAAAAAGGCAGGACCAAATAGAGGGAAAAATAAATAGGCAGGACAAAATTTTTCTTCCTAGCCCCCCATAAAAATCAAATGGTAGCTCCCTAAATAAGCCTAGGTTTACTGATGTCATAATGCTGATATTATAATGTCACAGTAGGAGTAAATTGTGCAATGAAGTCACTTACGCTGACCTTGGGTCAACCAGTGTAACTCATTCATAAAACAGAACATGAAATTGGTTTATGGTACAGGTTGTTTTCATTTAGTTAAAATAAAAGAAGAATGTGTCTGAGGACATGAATGCTCCCACTCAAGCATTGAAATATTTTGTTAAAAAGGAGCATAACTTTAGAACCGTAAATGACTCACTACCTAAATTTGAAATTCTGTCTGCGTGTTGAGGTTTTTAGCATTGTGTCTGAGTTTTATAAAATTTGGATGAGTAAAACTTAAGTTACAGTGCAGAAACAAAAAAATGGGACTGACGGAAAGATGGACGGATGGACAGTCATGGGTAACACTTAATGCCCCCATTGCCTACACTCAGGGCATAAAAAAGGGACTTCATTCGTGGATACTGAACTGGTATTCTGTAACTGGGATCCTATTACAATTAGAGATAACACATTTTGGAATGTAATCTTGATAATGTACAGATAAAATAAAAGAACAGAGTTCCTATGTCCCCCGTGTTGCACATATTTTATCTATCCAAGGGCAATAACTTAAAAAATCTTTTTATTTTTGTTCTTTCAACTTTTTATAAATATCTTAACAGCAAATACAATGCAATTTCCAATATTATTAATATTTCCAAGGGGCATTACTCTTTTTAAAAATATTAGATTGGCACTGACTTACGAACTAGTCCGAGGCATTGCTTATATTAACTATATTTCTTTTATTCACCAGAAATGATGAAGTTATAAAAAATTTGTGAATGCGACATCACCAATATGAGGTCGTAAAACTCTTTTGTTATGTTAAGGTTATTATTTTTCATTTGCTTGATTCATACATACATTGTACTAGCATTTTTTGAAAGAATTCCTTTTAAAGGCCCAATTTTATTGACTGAATATATGCATAGGCACATGAATATGGGTTCCAAAGTAAAGCTTGTCTGATTTAGTATCAATACAAAGTTATCTTTTGAATTTCTTATGTGACTTTTCAAAATTAATATAATGAACACTGAGTTTAATCAATGGAGTGTCTCTTCCAATCAGAAGATTTGAGGATCACAAACCCCTCCCCAACACCCACAGTCACAACTCTAAATCTACATTTGAGTAGAAAACAGATGACTTTCACATTCATGCATTTTCCCTTTCATCTCTGATGTCATATTGCTTATATTACTACGTCACAGTAAGGGTCGTTTGTTCAATGAAGAAATTTACACAGATTGACCTTGGGTCAACCGTTGTACATGTTGTAACTCGTTCATAAAACAGAACTCAAAATTGGTCTTTGGTTGAAGTCATTTTCATTCAGTTAAACAATGTATATTTATTCCTACCAATATTTATAACATAATGAAAGGAAATATATGTACTATGAGATTTTCCTTTAAACTTAATCAAGTTGACCTAAAGGTTCTTATATTATTCATTTTAGAAAACTCAGATATGCACTATTCCTAAACTGTATATATTATGTGACGAATAAATATTAGTCCCAGACCTATATAAATTGTTGAACCCAAATAGAGTATTTATACAATGATAGCTAGGGCACCTTCTTTTTTTGGTGATGATCCCATACAGTGATTTTGAATGCCTCTATGGAGTCAGTTTTCCAGTGTGTGGTAGTAAACACACAAAATATAAGAAGTCATGTCTATCTTGTCATTTATTTAGTGATATAAATTATCTGTATACTGTTAATTAGCTATTATACCTAACTGCTGAAGCATTATGAATGTTATGTCTTAACAACATTCCATTTATTACATGTAGAAAAAATTTGGTCATTTAAAATATTGAGTGCCCTTCAGCTAATTTTAATACTTGAAGGGACTTGAAACTTCTAGCAGTAATCAACAATAACTTTATTTTCCAATGCCCAAGAGCTACTTATCCATGTTATTTGTTTGTTACTTTTGATCTACACTACATAAAATTATTCTGTAATTTATGTTTCAAAGATGAATTATTATAGATTAATCAGATGTATTTTTCAAAAAAGAAAAGATGAAAAATAGAATCTGTGTGAATAAAAGATTATGCAAGTGGGTCTATTTTACTTTAAGATCAAAGCTATATTGATGTGTAATTAATCAATAATTGTGTCACAATTATCAGTGATTCACCTGAAACATATAAGTAAAATTGCATAATTTTAATTTGTTAATTACATGTACTTGGTCTAAACTCATAAAAATGCAACAAAACGTAAACGTTTATTCCCTATTTCATTGTATTTTTAACAGTATATGTTATTTGTATATTTATATACAAGGAATCTATGTTTTTTTTTAATTAAAGAATAACTCCTACCCGCTCTTTTTAATAAAAAAAATCATTAACTGAAATTCTTATACTGATTTTGTGTCATGGATGGATACCCCACATCCTCCTTTCTTTACTATTAAAAACATGCACTTTTAATTATATGTTTTCTTAAAAACCTTAAAGCAAAGAAATCCAATAAAAAATAAACAATGTCACCCCAAGAAAAGTCCTCTTTCCAACCAATGTTTTACAACAATATTTAATGATTGATTGTCAGGTCACTCAGGATAATAGAAGATGTAAAATTTATGAACCTTCTAAAATTAAAATACTTTAAAATTTGTAAAGAAAAGTAATATTTCTCTAAATTTTCACAACTAAATAATTAAATTATGGCAATGAAAATTACCATTCGACACCCTACAATCATTCCCCTTCAATGCAATAATTTTTTAGCAATACCAACTTGCAATCCTACGAGCATTGCTAAGAGGAGTTAGTAACATTCCCTTTATATATTGGTCCCAGTCTGAGATTACTATAACACATATATAGCTATATCAGAGACACAATCTCGGTCCCAGTCTTCAGAGATGTTTGAAGGCAATTTGTTTCTTTTATTTTTAACATTTCGTGTTCATGTTGATCAGTTTGACAGTTGTAGAGGACTGTTTCTATTAGACGGTTTTCTCAAGTTTAATCAATATACAAAAAAAAGTAAAACAAGGGAGAGACAATTTGTTAAATTACTTTTCTATTTCTGCATTTGTGTACATCAAATAGCCTTCACCTTCGTCTTCGGATCTTTCGTTGATCAGAAGTTGACGTCCGAGAAGCCCGAATAGAAGATTATGGAGGACTGCCCACAACTTCCCGTCTGAATTCTGATAATTTTGATCCTGTTTCTAAACTATGGAGCAAAATACAAACCCCTAGAGATGTACAGTTAAAGACATAGTAGACAAGACAGAAACATACTGTACAATGGGGTCAAGAATAAGGTTATTTTTTGCCATTAGTAATTTGATTTGTACCAGTCACTCAGTTTGTCACCTATCATGATAATTTGTAAAATATTTTTATTTATGAATGTTATTAGACTGAAATTTCCCAATAGTTTTAATGCGACTTCTGTATATTATATCATTTCATGCATACTAGCCAATGCAAAAGCTTGGATAGAATTAGAATACCACAGTTATAGTCTATTATTATATCAGTCTCACACAAAGCTAGTAAGTTATTTCATACCCCAAATTACCATCAAATCATTGCACAGGTTAGGACCAATCACCATAATGGGATTTACATTTACTGTGTAGAAAGAATTTTGGGATTCAAGGCAGAATGTTACAAAATTGAGATTTTTTTGCACTTTAAATGTTTATGTCTCATTTGGGCTATAATACCCCAATCATGCATGGGTTATCATAACCCATTTGGGTGATTGGTCCCAACCTGTTTCATACCATGAATTTACAATTTCGTACCATATTATGGGTCAACTGCATAATCATGATAATACTAGAACATTTCATACCATTTTTGTCGAGCCTTCGACTTTAGTCGAAAAAGCAAGACATAGCGATCCTACATTCAGTTGGCGTCGTCGGCAGCGGCGTCCACAAATATTCACTCTGTGGTTAAAGTTTTTGAAATTTTAATAACTTTCTTAAACTATCCTGGATTTCTACCAAACTTGGACAGAAGCTTGTTTATGATCATAAGATAGTATCCAGAAGTAAATTTTGTAAAAAAAAAAAATCCATTTTTTCCTTATTTTACTTTTAAATGGACTTAGATTTTTTGCCAGGAAACAACACATTCACTCTGTGGTTAAAGTTTTTAAAATTTTAATAACTTTCTTATACTATTTTGGATTTGTACCAAACTTCGACAGAAGCTTGTTTGTGATCAAAAGCTAGTATCTAGAAGGAAATTTTGTAAAAAAATAAATCCATTTTTTCCGTATTTTACTTTTAAATGGACTTAGATTTTCTGCCAGGAAACAACACATTCACTCTGTGGTTAAAGTTTTTAAAATTTTAATAACTTTCTTATACTATTTTGGATTTGTACCAAACTTGGACAGAAGCTTGTTTATGATCAAATGCTAGTATCTAGAAGGAAATTTTGTTTTCTTCCAGTTTAACATTACATTCAGTCTGCAGTTAAAGTTTTTAAACATTTATTAGATTCATAAACTATCCTGGATATTTACCAAACTTGGACAGAAGCTTCTTACAATCAAAAGATAGTATCAAGAGGAATATTTTTATTGATTTACTTCCTCATTTTTGTTGAGCCTGCGATTAACAGAAAAAGTAGGCAAGACACTGGGTTCCGCGGAACCCTTACGAATTTTTCTTCTAAATCTTTGAAACTTATCATGTTTATCACATCTTAATACCACCATTTAATTTTTTTAATCAGATTTGATTTAGAAAATAGAATAAACATGTATTATATATATGAGATATATTTTAAAATGTCTTGTAATGTGACTGTACCGCCTCGGTGGTCTCATGGTAGTGTTATCGCCTCGAGTGCGGGCGGTCATGGATTTGAACCCAGGCTGGGTCAAGCCAAAGACTTTAAAATTGGTATTTGCTGCTTCTCCACTAAGATCACGACATTAAGGAGTAAGAGCAGCTCTTAAAGTATAAGCTAGGTTTTAAATTAACTATAAAAAGAATAATTTTATCGTCAGAAACACTTCTTTTTGTCATGATTAGCTTTAAAACTCCTACAAAAAATAGGCGGAAGATACATGTACCAAAGGGATAGTCAAACTCATAATTCGAAAAACGAACTGACTATGTCATGGCCAAAACTAAAAATTTATCAAAAGACAAACAACAGTCTACAAATACAACAAAGAAAACTAAAGACTGAGCAACAGGAACCCCACCACAAAACTGGGGGTGATCTCAGGTGCTCTAGAAGGGTAAGCAGATCCTGCTCCACATGTGACACCTGTCGTGTGTTACTCCTAAATACAATACATTGATAAGTACATTTGTAGTATCAAGTGATGAGACATCACACAATAGCAGATTGATAATTGACAGTGACTGATCTCACCCTAAGAGAGCACCATATTAATATATCGGTCATGTATATTTTCTAACCCTGAAACTTGACCAAACGTGAAAATTTGAAATTGAAACCCATTTTTGTCTCGCCTTGACAGTGTCAAAAAGCAAGACATAGGTATGCTGTTTCCGGCGTCGGTGGCAGCCACAGCATCGTCAACAATGTATTAGTTTGTGATTAGGTCTAGTTTATGGTGAACCACTAGTGGTAGGTCAATGATATTTGGTATGCAGTTGTATAAGCATTGGCACATCTCATTACCATGGAGATTATTTGGCCAACCCCCCCTCAGTCATGGTCTATTGACTTTGAAACTTTGCTTAGTTTACATGTATTAGTTTGTGATTAGGTCAGTTTCTGGGGAACCACTAGTGGTAGGTCAATGAAATTTGGTATGCAGTTGTATAAGCACTGGCATATCTCATTTCCATGGAGATTATTTGGCCACACCCCCTAAATCATGGTCTATTGACTTTGAAATTTTTGATTAGTTTTCATGTATGAGTTTGTGATTAGGTCAGTTTAAGGGGAACTGTTAGTGGTAGGTCAATGATAATTGGTATTCTGTTGTATAAGCATTAGCATATCTCCTTTCCATGAAGTATATTTGGTCCTTACCCCTCATTCACGGTCTATTGACTTTGAAACTTTTGCTTAGTTTATATGTATTAGTTTGTGATTAGGTCAGTTTAAGATGAACCACTTATGTTACAATGTTAGTCATTTCATTTCCAAGGAGATTATATAACCCCACCCCCTCATTATGGTTCATTGACTTTGAAACTTTTACATAGTTTACAAGTTAATGTTTGTGTTTAGGTTTGTTTAAAGGGAACGATATATGAAAAAGTCAATGCATATGGTATTTGGTATGCAGTTGTATTAGCATTGGCACATCTGATTTCCAGGGAGATTGTTTAGCCCTGTACCTTCAGTCATGGTTCATTGACTTATAATATTTGCATAACTTACATGGTAAAGTATTGATATTTTAATTTCAACATTTGCATTATCAGAATAACAAATAGGCAAGACATATCTCTGTGTTAACAGTATATTCATGAAAGGATGGTAGTCATGCAATTTAATTAAGGAATATAAAATATGCAAGAAATTTCATTGTGTTGCCGCAACTGTGAATTAAAATATAACATGTATAAATATGATGAAATACATGTATATCATTATTCTTTTGCAGAGAGAATCCAGAAAAGTTGTTTGAAGTTTTCTTAGAGATAGCAAAACCAGAAAATGATGATGGTAAGGTTGGAATGTCTCATAACTAATTATCAACTGTCAAAGAAAGAGATGACAAATTACTATTATCTTGTAGACACAAATGAGGGTACTTGACTTGTTCATTGCAGTGCACATTTGATACCCAGATTAAGTGACATTGCTCATCAAAATATTTACATTAACTTTTAATTTAGATTGATTAAATTGTCGTAATGACCAAATCTTTAAGTAAGTACCACAACTACCACCAACACAAGACTCCTCTGACAAAATATATGTACAAACAACAACAATGTACAGACAGCCTGACTTAATAACACTTTGGACATGTGGTGGAATTAAACCAGATTTATGTGAACATGTCCCCCCCTCTTTTGCCTATATATATCTTTACCTTTGTGGTTAAATAAAACACACAATGAAAAATAAAAAAACCTGTTCAGTGCAGATACAAACAGGATGACCTTAAACTTTCACAGGGAAATTCAAAATGTCACATAATTTGGAAAGCAAAGTCAAAATGTGCTCACTACCATGACTACAGGAAGCTACTGTGGAAGTACTTTTATTCGTGGGTATCAATTTTAGTGGTTTGTTAAAAATTTCCCTGTTCATTGGTTCTTACTTTTCGTGGATTTTAGTTTTCTGAAAAAAATCCGAGTTAAGAATTTGAAGCCACCAGAAACAAAAATTCTTGAAAATAATCATATGTTCTTTTATAATGATTTGTGGGAAATTGCAAGATAATGTGTTCATTTTCAGTTACTTGTTCGTTTTTCATTACTGTCAACATTCATCAAATTTTAAATAAAATAATTGTTTTCAGAAATAAGCTGATTCATCTACATGTATGCTTACACATTGACTGTGTTGAAGGAAATTGCAAAGTAAACATTTTAATCAAAGGTGTTATTTGGGTCATAAATGGTTACATAAAAAAATGCTACAAATGTACTTTGAATTATAGAATTAATTCTTCTGAAATAAAAAGGCAAGCCCATTATGAAATTATTTTTTTTCGTATGAGACATGTGAAAGTTATGAGGAAATAAAATGAACACTTTAGCATCTCACGTCATCACTGGAAGTCTGACTTTCATCAAAACTAATTTTTTATGAGAATTAAAAGGTTAAAAGTTGTACAATTAAGGTTTTTTAAAGATCAAATGGATAAAATCCTGTTTGAAGTTGTATATATAGTTCATAGTGTGTTTGCTGATATTTTATGTATTCTATAAATTATATGCCCATATCCATGTACCGGTAGTCAAACCTACATGGGATCTTTCCATATCTTGACTTAGACAAAAGTTGTTATATTTCGTGAGACATTTAAATTCTTGGATAAACATGATAAAGCCATCCACAAAAACCACGAAAATATGTACCCCACAAATAAAAGTATGTTCACAGTAATTAAAATAGCATCTTCTACCCAAATGATTTAAAGCAAGAAAATATCTTTATTTCTATACTGACATGATCATGAGTTTAAGGGATACGACATTAAAGATTGTTAAAAAATGTGTCTACATACTTTATTCTGGTTTAACCATACGTTGAACTAGTGCACATTTTTGTTTGGGGGCCAGCTGGGGTTTTCTCGCTGTGTTGGAGACCCATTGGTGGGTGGCCTTGAGCTGTTTTCTGCTCTCTGGTCGGGTTGTTGTCTCTTTGACACATTCCCCATTTCTATTCTCAATTTTATTATTTTGTTCCTCTGTTTGATCAGTCTGTCTGGACCATGTAGGAAGAAAAGAAAATGTGGGATGTACATCAATGAGACAGCAATCCAACGATAATACCCAGAAATAACTGAAGGAAATCTATAGAGCATCTATATGTGTCAAGCTCAAAATCATCCTGAGCCTCAAAAGTTGTGAATAAATTTAACAGAAACAAATATCTGCCATCAACAACAAATTCTTAAAATAACATTGATTGATTGATTGTTGGTTGCTTAACGTCCATAAAAAATAACAAAAGGCATTACATACAAGATATGGTATAAGACAACTACTGAATAAGTACCTGACTTGAGAAAAGAACATGGAAATGTGGCACGTAAAATTACTTTTTTGAGATCCCAATCCTCCCTTTCTCATTTAGTAGAGTACATAAAGGAACATACAATAAAAACCAGTTTAGGAAAAAACACCTGATTCTTAAATAACAGTATGATAGATAACAAACACAAAAACTTTTTTTTGTTTATGTGTATCTGTTTTCTTGGAGTAGACAGGTGTAGATCATGTAGATGATTGGTGTTGTCTGTTCTGTTGTACGTACTGTCCAATATTTTTGGTACTCCATGTTATCCTTTTAATGTATTACTCATAAATCATCTAAAGAATGAATTTCCAGTTTTGAGCATAACTAGTATTATATCATTAAAGCAATTAAGGACTAATTTTTAACCGGATTTCCAAAGGAAAATATCAATTATTAATTTGGTTATGACGGCGGGCAACCCGCGGGGAACTGCCAACAGTGACTGTGCAATAACTTGAAAATGCTTTGACAAAATCTTTTCAAATTAAGATATGTTGTTTCCATTGACTAAATGAAGGTCATGTTAGATTTTCACGATTTTAGCTTTTATCGTTGTTGAGTTGTAGACCTTTTAGTAGTGACAAGTGATGATTAGAGAATTGTCCGTGCAATAACTCAAAAACTCTTTGACAAAATCTTTTCATCATGTTCATACTTAGATATGTTGTTTCCTATGACTAAATCAAGGTCAAGTTCGATTTTCATGATTTTCATGATCATGATGATTTTAAATTTTATTGTTGTTGAGTTGTAGACCTTTAAAGTAAGTAGCGAAAAATGATACTTAGAGCGTTGTTTGTGCAATAACTTGAAAACTCTTTGACCAAATCTTTTCAAATTTAGATATGTTGTTCCTGTGACCAAGAGAAGGTCAAATTTCATGATCGTTCTTCCATTGACCATGCATATATTACAAGACAACAACCATTTGAAAGTGGTTTTCTGGAAAGTTATTAGAGTGACCACAAGATTCTATGATTTCATATTAAATAATTTATAAGGTTATAATCTCATAAACATATTTCTTTCATTATTGATTTCATGATTTCTGCCTACCAACCCCTGCTGAACAAATGTGTGTGTACTCATATACTCTCTTAAATTCCAATATAATGTCAGTTATAATAAATAGGTCAAGATGATTTTGGCCTTTCCATTTTTGAACCATACAAAAATTCTTTTTTTTTAATGATCCCGTTTTGGGATCCAGATTTGCATGTTTCATTTTCATGCATGAAAATCGTGTTTGCTGTCAATCTGACAGCCTCTTGTGATGTTAATCAAATACTAAAACAATTTCAGAGTCGTATACAATTGTTGTAGACGATGGTGAGTAGAAAATGCATTACCTTTATCACATTTATTGTACAATGACAGCTTATTTGAAACACACATAAAGCAAAATGATAGTAAATTATTTTCAATCATATTCCAGGCACTTTATGCAACCTATCACAAAGGAACTGTCTTGTGTTTCACTTAGTAGACCTACCTTTATGCAAGAGGCACTTTATGCAAATTCAAATGCATTTACCCATTACAGTATATGAAAGGATATAAAATGAAATTTACTGATACACTTTACTAAAGCTTGCATGAAATTCCTTTATCAAGGTGGGGGGGGATTCTGGATTTTCCCAAAACTATCAAGAATTAAAAACCAATGGTTGTTTATATATTATACTAGAACCGTTCATATACATGTTCCATATGCATTGTGTCAGTATCGAAAAAAAAATCAAGACTTTTTTATAAACTTCAATATTTGCCTAACTTTGGACCATTGTTAATCCCCACACCCCCAATAAAAAGAGCATTTACTGAAGATCTTGATTTGATGACCCTAGCATAATCAGAAAGGTACACATAGAAGTAAAATTTGTGTGGTAAGATTTAGGACCAATTTTGTATGAAACTTAATGTGATGTATCATAATAACAATATTTCACATTTGTGTCACATTTACATGTCTCTTCATTTATACATTCACGACAAGATAGATATCAAAATGCTTATTTTAATATACATTTATAAAAATGTTTCACATCAACAATTTTGGATTTTACCAATAACAAATTTTCCCTCAAATCTCAGGTGGGTTATACGAATCATTGCATTTTTTCTTACCAAACATCTGACAATCCTTTGTAGAATTTTGGGAAATCTGAGTCAAAGGCAGACTCTTGTGAGTCCAGTAAGATAAGATTATTTACTGGACCAAATATCATTAAACACAGGATGACCTATATTTTTTGCATGAGTGATTTGACCCGATTTAAAATGAAGGTGATAATCAGACAACTATCCTTTATCAAAGACCAAGCAACAAAGATGTCAAGATGACAAGAACGAATAACTCAAAAAATCCAAAGTAATTTGTCTATCAATGAAAATCAAGTCAATGAATTGATACTGGTCAGCTTTTTATAAATACAAATATTAAAATATACCTTTCAAATATGTAAAATACATAGTATATCTGAGACCTTTTGACTTTAAAGTACCATGTGCAAATGTGTATTCTATTTATTCTTCCTTATTGTGTTAAAATGAATTCTTGGTTCATCAAATTACGAATTTGTAGAAATCCTATAATAATTTGTCATAAGATGATAAGTATGATATACATTGCATAGATGATCATAGATAGACTTGTATTCAGAAGCAGGAAGTTATTCCCATTTCTGTTGTTGATGAGAAATAGATTTACTAGAAACAAGGAAGTGATATCTTATCATTTAATCAATCTCTTGACCTTTCTGACCTTGGTATTTATGTTTTTCATCAGGATACCAAAACAATCCCTCTACAAATTAACTACTGTTATTACTTTTAATTTTTCCTGGCCTAATTTTTGACACTTTTTATAGTTTTTAGTCAGTTGTAAAAATTAGGTGCTTGTTTCAAAGAGTAAAGTGTGTAGCATTATGATCAGATGTCATACATGTCATAAATAGATTTGGACTTTGGTTGATGATTGGACCCTTTTATTACTTTTCGAAAATACATGTTTTAATCTTAATTTTTAGCTTTTCCCATCACTCGGCGTCCGTCATCTGTCGTTATTGTAGTCCGTTGTCTGTTGTCAGTAAACCTTTACAAAGATCATCTCCTCTGAAACTACTGATCCAAATTGAACCAAACTTGTCCACAATCATCATTGGGGTATATAGTTTGAAAAATGAGTCTGATGACCCTGCATGCCAACCAAGATGGCCGACATGGCTAAAATTAGAAGATAGGGGTAAAATGTAAGTTTTTTCCATTATTTTGCAAACCATTGTAAATAGAGAAAATTTGACAGGGGCAGAAATGTTAAGAATGTTGAGCTGTACCTAGTGTCTATTTATGTCAAAACTGTCAGACGACTTCAAAATGACAAATTTTACTACCTTTTTTCGTTTTTGCCTATTAAACAGCTAAAGGATCAGCAAGACAAGATCTTCTAATCAGGCAACCTTATTAGAGTTATTGCCCTTTAATGATGTAAATCTTAAAAAACTACAATAGATAGATAGAAATTTTAAACAGCAAAAGTAATCAGCAATACAAGATCTACAAATAAGTCGAATGGTCGAATTTTTCAGTTGACTGGTTTTATCTCTATAATGACAATTTTCACAAATTTTTGTCCTTTTTATACGACCGCAAAAAAATTTTGCAGTCGTATATTGGTATGACGTTGGCGTTGTCGTCTATGAAATTTAATCATAAGGTTCAATACCACAAAAGGAAGGTTGGGATTGATCTTGGGGGTTATGAAACCAACAGTTAAGGAATTAGGGGCCAAAATAAGCATTATTGTAACTTCCAGACAATAACTTGTGTTAGTGTATGGATCTCTCTGACATTGTACAACAAGGTTCCATATCACAAAGTAAATGCTGGGATTGATTTTGGGGGTAATTGCCTAAAAATTTTAGGAATTAGGGCCCAAAATGGGGCAAAAAACAAGCATTTTTCTAGTTTCATGACAATAACTTGTGTGTAAGTGTATGGATCTTTCTGAAATTGTACTACAAGGTTCCATATCACAAAGGGAAAGCTGGAATTGAGTTTGGGGGTAATTGCCCAAAACGTTTAGGAAAAAGCGGCCAAAAATAAGCATTTTTCTAGTTTCCAGACAATAACTTGTGTTCAAGTGTATGGATCTCTCTGAAATTGTACTGCAAGTTACCATACCACAAAGGGAAGGCTGGGATTGATTTTTGGGGGTAATTGCCTCAAAATTTTAGGAATTAGGGGCCGAATAGGGGCAAAAAACAAGCATTTTTCTAGTTTCATGACAATAACTTGTGTATAAGTGTATGGATCTTTATGAAATTGTACTACAAGGTTCCATATCACAAAGGGAAAGCTGGAATTGAGTTTGGGGGTAATTGCCCAAAACGTTTAGGAATAAGGGGCCAAAAATAAGCATTTTTCTAGTTTCCAGGCAAGAACTTGTGTTCAAGTGTATGGATCTCTCTGAAATTGTACTGCAAGTTACCATACCACAAAGGGAAGGCTGGGATTGAGTTTGGGGGTAATTGCCTCAAAATTTTAGGAATTAGGGGCCAAAAAGGGGCAAAAAACAAGCATTTTTCTAGTTTCAGGACAATAACTTGTGTATAAGTGTATGGATCTTTATGAAATTGTACTACAAGGTCCCATATCACAAAAGGAAAGCTGGGTTTGAGTTTGGGGGTAATTGCCCTAAACGTTTAGGAATTTGGGGCCAAAAAATAAGCATTTTTGCAGTTTCCAGACAATAACTTGTGTTCAAGTGTATGGATCTCTCTGAGATTGTACTGCAAGGTACCATACCACAAAGGGAAGGCTGGGATTGAGTTTGGGGGTGATGAATCATAAGGGGGTTCAAAAAATTGGGTGGGGGGGGGTTTCCTTTTTTTTTTTCTTTAAAATTTTCCATTTTAAGTTGGTTATTTTTTTATTTATATATAAAAACAAATAATAATGATATGGTTTGATTTCATAAAAAATTGAAATATTGGGGTTCTTTGATATGCTGAATCTAACTGTGTATTTAGATTCTTAATTTTTGGTCCCGTTTTCAAATTGGTCTACATTAAGGTCCAAAGGGTCCAAAATTAAACTTAGTTTGAATTTAACAAAAATTGAATTCTTGGGGTTCTTTGATATACTGAATTTAACCGTGTATGTATTTAGATTTTGGATATTGGACCATAATAGGTAAATTAAAATTTTTAAAGTTTTTAGACCACATTCATTCTGTGTCAGAAACCTATGCTGTGTCAAATATTTAATCACAATCCAAATTCAGAGCTGTATCAAGCTTGAATGTTGTGTCCATACTTGCCCCAACTGTTCAGGGTTCGACCTCTGCAGTCGTATCAAGCTGCGCCCAGTAGAGCATTTTATTGCCTATTATCTTGAAAACTATAAGATAAATAGAAACTTTGAATAAATTAAATGATTTGCCAGACAAGATCTACAATCAGGTCAAATTCTGCCGAAAAAGTTAGTAGATAGGAGTGATAGCGCTTAGATGATGATATTTTGTTTCCCTCCTTTGTTTTATGAGCAAAAACCAAATAAGATAGAGAGAAACTGTAAGTAGTCTACAATGTTGAAGATGAACATAGACCTATGTGTGTGAGTGTGACACAGGCTCTTTAGAGCCTCTTATAAAGAGCCTCTTAGTTTACTATATGCACTGAATATCAGTGCACGATGTAAGCATTTTTGATTCAAATTTTTCATGTTATAATACCTAATTGTGAAGTTACCAATTTAGTTTTAACATTTCTTTGTAAAAATAATAAAAGGGTCAACATGGTCAACTCATCAACCAACAAAAGAAGGATTTTTTTATCTGGATTTTAATGTTAAATTTAGACCTCTTTGCCATATAACATATCACATGATCATTATTAAACAAGGAACCCAGTGCCCAGTATGCAAATTTTCATGATTTTGATTACCTTGGACACAGTGTATGATACGCTTGTTGATAATGGTTTAATATCCACATACTAACAGAATTAATAACATTATTTTGCCATCAACATGATCAACATAAGGAAGCTGGCAGCTCTGTCTATTAGCTTTGTTGTAGTTTGACTACCTAAATTACATTTCATCCTTTTCATTTTCAGAAACTATATTTGTACAGAAATATCCTAGAGATTATAATGATGAGGTCAGTATACATATTTGAAAATGTTTCACATTCATATTTTCTTTTTCATCTTGTGATTTTGATTGATCTCTTGGTATGTTCTGGCTTTTTTTTAAGATAATATTATACAGATTGTGTAAGGGAAACTGGAAACAGCTCAGTGGAAGGGATTTTTTATGCTCCCGCCGTAGCAGAGGGGGCATTAAGTTTTACCCTTGTCCGTCTGTACGTCCGTACGTCCCAAAATTGGTTTCCATTCTCTAACTTTAGTTTGCCTCAACCAAATGTTATGAAACTTACACAATGCTTATTACCACAAAACACAGATCACTTTTGAATTTTGGTGGTGTCACTTTTACCTTTCTAGAGTTATGACTCTATTTAAATGGAAAAATTGCTGAATTTTTAGATTCTGTTCTCTTAAGTTTGCCTCAACCAATGTTATGAAACTTATACACAATGCTTATTACCACAAAACTCAGATCTAGTACAAATTGGATAGCATCTTTTTTATCGTTCTTGAGTTATGTCCCTTTATAACGTTATATGCAAGCAGGGGCATCATCTGTGTCCCATGGACACATTCCCCATTTATTTTTTTATAGAAGTGGTATTTTATAAAAAAAAAAAAATTTACTGGATTGGAGGTCGACAAGTTTTCCCAGCAGTCAGGGGTTCAAATTTGGTGTGTGTCTAAGATCTGGGTCCAGTCTTTTCTGGTAGGGAACTTTTAATTTGTTTCATATTAAAAGTCCAGGGCCCCTTTACTTTACATTGAATTTTTATACAGAACCAATTATTTTCTTAAAGAGGGCCTATCACTTGCACCTTTAAATGGTCCTGGACTTTTCATTCTTTAAAGCAAAGAAAATGTGACTTTGCTGTGTTACATTTCAATCATATCAAAAGATTTTAGTATTTTCAATGTATTTTCAGGTCTTCAGTTTTTAATATTGACATTTAATTTTCATAATTTCCATTTCTTTAAAACTTAAAAAGATTTAGATTTATTTTCCCTTGTACACTTGGTAGAAACACCTGTTATGTGCAGTGAACTAGTAATAGCCTAAATGTCTTTTTTAATGGGATATTAAGTTGATGACATTTTCATTTTAAAATGCTCATCTGACCTTTACTTGATAAAATCTGTTACTGTTTAAATCAAAATTTTATTTATGATGATTTATGCAAATTTTGATGTATTTAATATTTACACCTTTAACTTGTAACAGATACATGTAATTTAACATGTTTAACAATAGAACTTGTATACATAACTGAATTTGAAGTTATTTTGTAGAGTGTGAAATTCAATACATAATTTGTAATTTCAGCAACCCCATTATTTATACATGTAGCATGTCAGAGCATACTAATTAGTTAAATACTATCAAACTGTCCATAGTATTATATAAGAATAGCATATCGGTATTTCTTTTGAAATGCAAGGAAGTGATGGTGAAATTACTTCAAAGCATATCAGTATTTCTTTTGAAATGCAAGGAAGTGATGGTAAAAATACTTCAAAGTAGCTATTTGATTCTGAGAACAATACTTGTTCAAAAGGCATTGTTTTGTTTCAGTTATATTCTGTATTATATATCATATTTTATATTAATCAACAAATTTTCATAGAAAAGTCAATACATGTACTTGTTTCTTCTATGATTTAGTCTTGTTATAATATTTAAAACAACTCTTGCCGCAATATAGCCTTTTTGTGCTGATGCGGCATAAAGCAATCAACAATCAATCAATCTTATCTGATTTTCATGATTTTTTTTCAGTTTTTATGCCCCACCTAGGGGCATTATGTTTTTCGGTCTGTGCGTCCGTCCGTCCGTCCCGCTTCAGGCTAAAGTTTTTGGTCAAGGTAGTTTTTATATGCCCGTCAATTTTTGATGGGACGTATTATGTTATACAAATGTCCAGTGTCCGTCCATCTGTCTGTCCGGCGTAAACATGTCGCACCGTAACATCAGAACGACTTATCCAAATTTCATGAAACTTTAAATAGTTGTTTCTTATTATGGTCAAACAATCTGTATACTTTTTGGTGAAAATAAGATTACAACTTTTTCAGTTACGGGACTTTGTAACTAAAACAAGGGATGTGTTTTTTTTCACATGTCACGCCGTATCTCAAAAACAATTTATGATTATTGCTTAAAACTTTACACACTTCTTAGTTATATTAATCTTAAGATCTGTATACTTTTTGGTGATGATTCAAAATTTTATTTTAGAGATATTGAGTATTTTGTTAAAAAAGGGGGAGGGGTTTTTCACATGTCGCGCCATATCTCAAAAACAGTTTATGATTATTGCTTAAAACTATACTCACTTCTTAGTTATATTAATCTTAAGATCTGTATACTTTTTGGTGATGATTCAAAATTTTATTTTTGAGTTATTGAGTATTTTGTAAAAAAAGGGGGACTTGTTTTTCACATGTCGCGCCGTATCTCAAAAACGATTTATGATTATTGCTTAAAATTTTAAACACTTCTTAGTTATATTAATCTTAAGATCTGTATACTTTTTGGTTTTAATTCAAAATTTTATTTTAGAGATATTGAGTTTCTTGTAAAAAAAAAGGGGCTTTTCGCATGTCAGGCCGTATGTCAGAAACTATTTATGATTATTGCATAAAAATTCACACACAAGACCACGGGCGTATCATGCGCTCATGGCGCAGCTGTTTATTGATGAAGTTGAAGTCCAATCAACTTGAAACTTAGTACACATGTTCCCTATGATATGGTCTTTCTAATTTTAATGCCAAATTAGAGTTTTTACCCCAGTTTCACGGTCCACTGAACATAGAAAATGATAGTACAAGTTGGGCATCCGTGTACTATAGACACATTCTTGTTTTTGTGTAAAAAATAATTTAGAAAATATTTAACAGGAATTACTTTTGTCTGCAAGCTTTACATGTACATGTATCTGTAAACATATAAATCAAAGAAATGTTTGTTTATCATCTCTACAGCAATCCTTTATTCAAGTAGCATTGTATTTCCACTTATATTTTGTAATGGCTTGCATCTTTTATTAGACTTTTTAATAGCTTGGAAGGTAATTTGCAAGAAACGATTAAACTTTACAGGAAACATCCTTTTAAGAGCAATTGAAGTCCTGTATTTACAAATTTACTTTTGAAATAAGGGTTATGGAAGTGCAAAATAATTAAGTCATGTAAATTTACAGTGGTGAAACAAGGGTGTCTTGGCCCATACTCCTTTATCTTGTCGGGTTAATAGACTGAACAAAAATAATTTTTAAACTTGATGATCCATCTTTATAAAAAAATCTGGCAACAAGTTTGTGCAGGCAGGGAATAGCAATATCATATTCTTGTTAGCTGCATAGAATTAGAAAATATATACATGATATAGTCAATTGACAAAACTTCTTATGTTTTAAGTGAATATTATTAGAAGTATATAAAATAAAAATTCAGCAGAAAACCCAATAATCTGAAAAGCTACGCTATTCAGTAGCCTAATAAAGAAAGGATGCTCTAAATGTTGCAGAGTTTCTCACTACTTAGAGAATCAATGAAACAAAAACACCAGTACAAATTAAGAAAGTTTTACTTGATAATTAGAAAGTAAAAAACCTTTGTAGTTGATCATATTTTTCCACATTAATAAGCTCTTCCAATAAATTTTGAAAAAGTGTATATGTCAATTAAATATCACTATATAAATTTTCATGAGTCTTATCTAAGAAACTGACATTATGTACATGATGCGTGGTAGTTTTATTTATTAAATAAATAAAAAATATGCAAATATTCTGGTTAGTAATTGTAAGTATTTTATAGGACAGAGTTCAGACATGTTTTTTTGTTGTTGCAGAATTTGTTGTGATTATATATGTGATCCATTTTATGAAATATATAATGTTATTAATGCAATATTATTATTTTAACAGCAAACTTTAAAACCTATTCCCATGTTTGCATTTCCATGTGACAGTGAAAGGTACACGTAAGTTTACATTAAGGCAGGCCAGTGGCTAATGGCTTTTGACTCTTTTTCTTTTAATCATTTCTGAAAAGACTTTCTCAGCATACTGTAATTTCAGATATTTTTGCATGCATTTATTATTGCTATTAATGAAAGATGGACAAAAATGTAAGATAAATTATTGAGATTTCAAGAAATTCTGCATACAATTAAGGCTATCAAAAGTTGAATGCTAGTTTAGATTTTCGCTAAACATATACGATTGCAATTTTCACAATCATAAAAACATAGCAAAAATTTCTGAGTTTACAGTTATTTAAATGTTATGTTGCTTTTCCATATAGTGTTACTTTAAACCAGGGATGGAAAGCATTCCTGACACATATTTTAATAACTCGAATGTGTTGAGAAAGTGTTGTTTGAGTCTCTATCGAAAAAATGGAGTAAAATGTCTAAAAAGCTCATATCATTGAACAGTTTATATTTTATGGGACTAAACATGCTAAATATTGTTTTTATGCATGTTTTCAATCAAAAATAATGTTGAAAATTTTGGTACATTTTATGTACTGCTTTCTCAAATCTTAATTTTAAGGACATTTTTAATTCATTTCCTTGATTAAGATATGATAAAATATATTTTTAGTGTAAAATCCAAACAATAGGATTGTTACTAAATAACAAAAAATAAACAATAAACAATACATGTACAAACATGTATAAACATTGACAAACATTTTTAAGTTTGTTTCTTCTTTTTTTCAAATGTGTAACTGTTTCTTCTTTTTTTTTCAAATGTGTGACAACATTGATTATTATAAAAAGCCAGACCCTGACAGACTCTTAAGGGAAGTCAAGGTTGATTTACACTCCTACATTTGTCCTATAGATAGTTTTCGATTGAAACAATTTAAGCCAAAGTTACTTCCCTTTTGTTGCCATGTTGGAGGTCTTTGTTCACAAATTCCTTCATAAAGACTTTAGAAAAAGTTTAATTTCTTTTAGCTTGCTTGATTCATCACTACGATCTAGAAAAGATCTCTTATCCAACTTGGTTGTACTACATGATTTAATTTAGTTAGTCAAATAAGAATCCCTCCAAAATGGCAGCCAAGGGAAATAACTCAAACTCAATTTAGGTTGTATCAAATCCTATCGATAGTAGCAATGTTGCCATTTACAAATGTGAATGCAAATAGTTTTTGTTGTCATAATTTAGACATTTTACTTCATAGTGATGTGCTAACAATTCTGATATCTTGTTTTCTGTAAAATTTCTTTCTCAAACCATGAAATAAGTACTCACAAAAATATATTAATCCACAGTACAAGACTGGTACAGACAAACTTACTCTTTTATCAATAAAGTTTGGCACAAAAGTGTGTATAAGTGTGTTATCACTGTGATAATGATAGATTTTATCGTCTAACCAGATGTTCATTTCTCAATTTAACAAGTGTGAAAAGACAGTGTTTTTAATGATTACATAGCACTGAAACTAGCTCAGTTTGTCTATAAGGCACATTGCCTTCGTTCATCTTATTTATTAGAATTTTGATTTGTAACTCAATCCATCCAATGATATTTTACTTCAAGAAAATCATTCCTGTAGAATAAATCCCATTTTCATATTTCAAAATTAGTATTAAACTTTTATGTTTCTTTTCTATGTTTAAACTCTTATGGCAATTGATTAAAGTAAATTTTCTTCTTTCTATTCTGTATGCTTGAATATTTCTCAACAATAATTGCAACAATAAGATTTACAAATGCTTTTTCATCTTTTATTTATTCTATGTCTTAGAATTTTCTTGGCCAACACTATAACAGAAATGAGCATTGTTAAGCACTAACACAAAATATAAAGGAGTTTAACAGTATACTATTAAGAGTGATGAGCTTTGTTAATGGCATAGTTATTGCTTCTGCTAAAAAATGCATCTCATTGTACATATTATAGATAACCAAAAACATGTTTCTAAAAATTGTTTAAATTTTATGTTTAAACATTTCTATTGATAGAAGTCATGTAAAAAAGTTGTATATTTAAATTATTACAAATAAGGAGAAAAATGATTGTTAAGAAATTTTACAATTAATTTTGTTTTAGAAATAAAAAAAAGCCTTTTGTATTAAAATTTATAATAATTACAATAACAATATAGAGTCAATTCCTTAGTTCTAAGAATAAAAGAAAGAAGGAAATAAAAGAAAGAAAGAAAGAAAGTAAAAAATTACAGGGTTAAAACTTACTACCAGATGAAATAATTCATTACTTTTTATATAACTAGAAAAAAAGATAGAATGAACTAATGACAAGATGAAAAATAAAAATAAAAATCCATCACAGTTGAATCAAATTAATAAAGTACCAATTAATTTTTTATTTATACTTCATACCCTTTTTCTATATATAACAACTTATATTTGTATTTTAATTACATTCATTGTGTTTTTGTTTACAGAACAAAAGTTGATCATTTTACATTTGTATTAACTGATCTTGAAAGCAAGTATAAGTTTGGATACTGTCGACAAGCACAAGGAGTTCAGACATGTCTCTGTATTGTCAGGTATGGCCATACTTTTATTCACCATTTCTCTTCTATAAAGAATGAATTAAAGATTTTTTCAAAAGTGATTTTAAGAAACATCAATTAAGAAGATTAATTTGTGTGAGGATACATTCAGGATTATTTGTAGATGTTGTTCATCATGTTCATGAATCCAAGAGCACTGTTTTAGTTCAGGCTTGTGCCACTTTGCAAAAAAAGTCCCTGAAAGTCAAAACGAAAATAAAAATTCTCCCACAACAAGGTACTTTTTGTATACAGTTACCTCATAGATTATATTGCTCTTCTATTCAATAACTTTTTTCAACAATAAATGAAGGTGTAAATATTTCAGCCGAGATGTTTCTATTCCAATTTTTAGCTAATATACCCTATAAGTAATCTAGGATTGTCTGTTATAATTTCTGTATAATATAAGGTAATAAGCTAAATTTAGCTTCCAGTACAGCCATTTCCACCTTTATTATTAGGAGCAAAATCCTCTCTGCTAAAGACAATCAAACATTTTTCTTTTTATATGCTATTTTAAATATTGTATACTTGCAGTTGTCTCCCTTGGTTCGATGTTTTCTACACAATACTTAACAAGTTGGCTGAGATGATAAATACCACTGACAATGATGATAATGTGACTGAGTTATTACGAGCTACTTATGCTAATGGTGTACCAACACCTGGGGTACCAGTTCAGATCATTGTTGGACAAGATGTATGAAAAATTTTCATCTTATTATGATAACTTTTAGTAAAGTCTTTATGTCCCCATACGGCCATTTTAAGTTGTCCGAGAGATTTTATAATATTAATTATTCCTGAATAGTTGTATTCTGATTGAAAATAGAGTTTTTAAAGAACTATGGTAGAAATTGGAATTTGATGCGACTGTCATACAAGTGAGAGGTTTAGCTAGCTATAAAATCAGGTTCAATCCACCATTTTCTACATAAGAAAATGCCTGTACCAAGTCAGGAATATGACAGTTGTCATCCATTCGTTTGATGTGTTTGAGCTTTTGATTTTGCCATTTGATTAGGGACTTTTCTTTTTGAATTTTCCTCGCAGTTCAGTATTTTTGTGATTTTACTTATTTTCAAATTAGGTTTTAGATTGTTTTGAGGGCATATAATACAGAAAAAATGTCTTTATGATTTTCTCCTTAAATTTGAACACAAAATTAATTTTGATATATATTGACTATTGAAATATGCAAATAAAAATATACAATTGCCATCTTAGATATACTACATATTCATTTTTGATTGATATTTGAATTTGGAGGGATTATTTTCGCCATTGCTACTGTATTGTATGCCCTTAATATGTATGTATGATATCTGTATGTTGGTAACTCAGAGAATTTGTATACTTAACAATGCAACAGAAAAAATCCTTAATAATGCAACAGAAAAATGAGACTATCTAAATACCGAATACATTTTTATTTTCTCTTCACCCAGTTCTTGCAAGATATTTATTTTCCATCTTAGGATATGATGTTTTTTTTATAAATCAGTTATTGCTGCTGTTTTTCAAGGATACTATTATTTGCTGCTGGTTTTATGTACTTTGACAATACTGAGCACATAATTATTTTCCAAGAAAAATTGCTGAACAACTTTAATAGTATTATACTTGAATCAGCTACTTTTACTAGTCATAATTATTACAGTTCAATCTTCTTTGTTTTAGATGTTAAATTTTACAGCTCCTGATATTAGTAAATTACCTAGTATACCTACAAATGTAAGTATGTGTTTATACAATGAAACATGTCCAAATGGAACATGATTTTGTTTGGATTATGCAGGAGTTTTTATTACATCAGTTTAATCATTGAAGACTGCACTGTATGTCCTGATACAAAACATGTCCTGAATTTAAATGAAATAGTTGCCACTGATCTTTCAGCAAACAACAATCAAACTCTTAATATGTTGCTCAATTTAGTAGCATTAGGGTTGATGATAATTTTAGATAAAACCTTTAAAAAATTCTCTAATGAAGATCAAGGCAACACATTATACTACCCTGCTGCTTGGATGCTCTGGGTGAAACATCGGATTAAATGCTAACCACTGTTGTTTATGTAGAGGCCATGAACAAAGGAAGATAGATACCAAGGGGCAATAACAAAATTATAGGTTGAAGAAAGACAAACAACACATAGCAAAAAAAAAAAAAAAAAAAATAACCATTTTCAAAATATTTCAAAAAGACTAAAGATGAATCACAAAATAGAAAAAAGTGGGGGGAAACTCAGGTTCTTATTAGTGTAAGTAGTTCTTTGAGTACCAATCATCCATTGTGCCAACTGCTTGGAAAGGATCGATAGAATTGATGAAACTGTAAAGGCAAGATCAAACTATCAAATAACAAAAACAAAAGGAACATATAAAGAACAAAGAATTGACAAACAATAAATATATAGATGGGTACGTAAAAGCATTTTTTCTCAGCTTTGCATAAGATTTTGTTTAATGTGATTGATTGATTGATTGATTGATTGATTGATTGATTGGTTGATTGATATTTCTTTGCTTTACTTCTTGTCTTGTTTTCTTCAAGTGTTTATAGGAAAAAATGTTGTATTGAAATACATGTATTGAAATGCCACATATTTTTAAGATAAAAAGTGAAAATCAAGATATGATATTTAATGTTTTAGAGAAACTTAACAGAATATTACAGTGCAGTTGATACAGAAAATATGATGAAAATATTTGCAAGGTATGTTGTCAGAGGCTATTAGATATCATTCAATGGATAAGATCTTACATTGTATGAGTTTTGTTCTAAAAAAGTGATTTACTTGTAATATAACAGTAAACAAGGTGAGTATACATGAGACAACAGTCCTATGAGATAGTTGGAAATAGTATGTCTCTGTCTTTTTATGATGTTAGGTAACTGTCAAATTGACTTATTCCTCACATCCTTTTTATGCCCCCAACGCAGCGGAGGCGGCATTAAGTGTTAACCTTGTCTTTCTGTACGTCCTTCTGTAGGACTGTACATCAGTCCGTCCAGGAATTGGTTTCCATTCTCTAACTTTAGTTTGTCTCACCAAATGTTAAGAAACTTGTACACAATGCTTATTACCACAAAACACAGATCAAGTTTGAATTTGGGTGGCGACACTTTTACTGTTCTAGAGTTATGTTCATTTACAAATGGAATAATTGCTGAATTATTCGTTTCCGTTCTCTAACTTAAGTTTGCCTCACCTTAATGTTATGAAACTTATACACAATTCTTATTATCACAAAACTCAAATCAAGTTCAAATTTTGGTGCCAACACTTTTACTGTTCTTGAGTTATGTCCCTTTATAAGGTTATATATGCAAGTGGGGACATCATCTGTGTCCCATGGACACATTCTCCATTTATTATTCATTTACAGGTATAACTAAGGAACAACTTTTTTTGCCCGTTTTAAGAAATAAAAAATGGTCAAGATTAATTGTCAGATTGACATTTTTGAAGCAAAGATCTGCATTTGAATATAAACAACAAGAGATTATAACTGCAAAGTCATCAATAATGAAAAAAAGAAAAAATATCATATTACAAGCTAAGATGGCCTTTGGTAATGGAGTGTCGGGAGCAGCTTAACAAAGATGACCCAAGCAGGGCTTCCAAAAAAATATTTGAGCCAGCCGGACATTTTATGTCTGATCCTGATTTTAATCCCTTAAGACTAAGTAACAAAAGGCAATTATAGTAATCAGTTGGCCATCATATAAACTATGATTGACATTAAAAAAACGATATTAAACTTTACTTTGATATAAATTCGATGATCTGACATAAACTGTTAAATTGACAGTGCATCATTCGAAGTGTGCAACATCAGCGTACTAATATCTGCCTTAGACTCTTTATTTGTGCAAAATAACGGTTTTACTTTTACTTTCGTTTTTAAAAAGCACATTTTCCTAATACCGGATGTTGACTTGACAATGGTAAAACATGGAGCAGTGACGGATACATAAAATCCGTGTACGTTTACAAAGCACGATTGAGTTTAAGTAGCTCTTCCCACGTTATTTCTTCAAAAAAATACTCGAAATGAATGTTAGATAAAGGTATCAATGATAATTTTAACATTTTTGAAGAATAAGGATGCATAATTTAATTTCCCACCTGCACACACGTGTACTAGTTCAAACAATGTTGTTCTGACGATTTTTCGTTTAAAACCTTTTTAAATTTCTCATCAAATCATATTTATAAATGTATTTCTGGTAATTTCAATCTTTTCGACTAAATTAATTAGATGCAGACCGCTTAAATGTAAGAAAATAACTTTGAATAGACTGATCAATGTCCGGTACAAAACAGTTAACCTGTTGCCTGAACAGGTAAATTTCAGCTGTCTGACAACTAATTAACCTTGATTAAAATGAGAAGGTATTAAAGTAGGGTTTGTTTCGATAGTACTTATTCATCATGTCGCTTTTATGACCGGAGATATGTGGTGTTTAAAGGTAAAAGGTCGGGTCAAAAAAATTGCATAAACTTTTTAAATTATGTTAAAATGTATTGACCGTCTCTTAAGAAAGCCTTGAAAACTAAAAGTAGATGTCCGTTTCATGCTTTTCCCAGACGGACAATGTCCAGTAAATTTATAAATGTCAGGAATATATGACTGTTTTGGAAGCCAAGATCTGCATATTACTACTATTTAAGTAATTTTCTGATCTGATTTTTAGTACGCAATCTACTACATATCTTTAATTTTTCCAATCTGATTGGTTAATTACCCAAATGTAAATAAAACCGAACCCCAGTTCAATTGCGGTTAAATTTTGCCAAATTTTTTTAAAAATTAACATTTTGCCAAAATTAAAAAAAAATTGATAAAGGCAAAAGTTAAAAGAATTGTCAATTTGTTTTGCCAAAATTAGAAAAAAATATATCTATTTAAAAAAAATATTTCTCCAAAATTCATCAATAATAATTTTTTTAAACGGTAATATTTGACAATATGAAGAAACATCAGTGTTGAAAAAATATGTAGTGGAAGTTCTTCATAAGAAATTTTCAATTTTACACCTGGTATAATAATGAAGAAAAGAACGCTTCATAAGAAATAGATTTGTTATCTTGGTGTAATCAGGTGTGTGCCTCTGGTTGTATGCATTTTCAACAATGTTGTAAAATTCTGTACATCCCTGATTACACCAAGATAACTAATAATTTACTGATGAAGTGTTTACCATTGAATGTTGCTGTTTAATATACATATACTTCACTTTTTCATTTACTAATTCATTTTATTTCAGTATGTTACATGAAAGACGTATCCTAATAACTTCAAAGAAATTAAGTAGACTGACATCATGTGTTCATGCTTCTACAGCTCTGCTATACCCCATGCATTGGTAGGTAGATCTTGTGCATTTCGTCATTATTGTTATATTTTGCAATGTTTAAAAGTATATTCATTTCAAGTGGTAAAGACATTGATAATTTTAAAATGAGGTGAATGTACTATTTTAAAAATATATTAAAGTTTCAATGAAAGGGAGTAAATAGAAGAAATTCTAACCATACCAAGAAAATATTATTAACATAAAAATAAGAAGATGTGGTATGATTACTGATGTGACAACTCTTCAGGGAGACCAAATGATGTAGAAGTTAGCAACTATAAGTACATTTTAGTAAAGTTAACAAGAAAACATTTGATGCATAGACCATTTACACTGCAAGAAAGATGTAGAACTTTAGAAATAAATGTAATGTTATTGTTAATGTGAAAAATTACAAATTGTAATACTGTTAATTCCGAAATTATTGGGAGGATTTTATTTATGCAAATAATGCGACTGAGTGAGTATTGCAATTATAATAACTCACATTCTGATATCTGATCGATACATGTATCTGTATGAAGCTTTTCCTGAAATCACAAAAATTAGTCTTTCATTTTAGTTCAGTCTTCAAAAATCACAATAATAAATGCACACAATAATTTCTAAGTTTACAGTTTTCTACAGAAATAATGTGTACAGGAATTGAGTTGATTGATTTGACATTACTCTTTATTCTAAAAAATTTGTTCAGTGGATTCATTATTATTCTTGGGATACAAATTTTTGTGGATTTTCTGCGTATACGTAAACCATGAATTTAAATGATCAATGAAGTACATTTGCTATAAGTTTGTATGCAGGTTTTGGCAAAACCACGAAATCAGATATTCACTAAACTACAATTTTTCTTTTAATCCACAAAATAAGTATCCATGAAAATAAAGGAATCTAAAGTACTTAAGTAAGGGCTATTCCATTAAAATGTATGTAGGAGGGTAGGAAGGGAAGTTTAATTATTGAATGTGGGTCATGGGTCTTCTTTCAGTATGCGTCTATCACCATTATGCAAAATTATTTAAAAAATGGTTCTTGGTTGTAGGGATATTTTGAAAGTCCCTTCCTACCCTCCCACATACATTTTAATGGAATAGCCCTAATTGAAATCAGATGATTAAAACACATATTAAAGTATTTATGCTTAAAATTCAGAAGCAGTCTTTCTATGTTGTGATGTTACACTATTGTTTCAGATAAGGGTGAATGTTTGGTACCATTAAAACGTTTAAACCCACTGCAATTGTATGCACCTGTCCTAAGTCAGGAATCTGATGTTCAGTAGTTGTTGTATGTTGATGTGGTTTACACTAGTAATTTTTGGGGCCCTTTATAGCTTGCTGTTCGGTGTGAGCCAAGGCTCTGTGTTGAAGACCGCACTTTGACCTATAATGGTTTACTTTTATAAATTTTGACTTGGATGGAGAGTTGTCTCATTGGCACTCATACCACATCTTCTTATATCTATATATGGTATATATTATAAGTTATGTGACTTTATAAGTGGCAATCAAAATAAATAGTACACTGATATCTTGTGTGTTCATTGTCAAATGTTGTTTTTAAGAAAGACAGTAAAACTATTAATGTATCTATAGTTTCAATATATTCATTCTTGCAGGCAACATTTATTTATACCTATATTACCGCCACATCTGTTGGACTATGTGACAGCACCAATGCCCTATGTAATTGGAATTCATTCTGCAGTCTTGGAGGTATGTTTTTTTTTTTACCAGAAATGCAAGATTTTCTGATTTCAGCACCTTTATAATACTAAAATTGCTACAGTTTAAATAGTAGAATAAAGGTAATTCTTTAATTGACAGAAATAATTCTTTCACCTTGTGCTCAAATGCTCATTTTATAATGGGTAGGCATTATATTTGTTAATATCTTTATATGTAGTGTAAGCCAGGTGTAAAATTTTGACAAATATAATGCAGGTCCATGGTAAAATTAGCATTTAGGTTTTGAGTTATTTCACATTTTGTCATGTCAGGGCCTTTTATAGCTGACTATACAGTATGAGTTTTGCTCATTGTTAACAGCCATACCGTGACCTATAGTTGCTTCAATCTGATTCTTTTGGATATCTAGCGGGAAAAAAAAGACGAAAAATGTATGCTTATTTGTTGAAATTGCTATTGTCTGAACAGTTGAAGTATTTCTGTGAAAGGTCTGTTCTTCAATGAAGCTGTATTTGTTAAATTGGTTAAAAGTGCGACAAACATAACATGAGAAAAATTAAGGTGACCTATGGTTGCTTACATCCGATTCGTTTGGACTCCGTTAAACAGTTGTCACATTTGATTTCTCCTAACTTATATAGAGCATGGAATGATAAAATTGCCCTGCCGTTATTTCCATACTATAAGAAAAATTGAGAACTTTTGTACTTTGAAGCGGACCTATAAGACACATTAAAAAAAACAACCATTTTGATTAGATGAAGCATAAACATTCTAGAATGTAGAATATATATGAAGCTGTATTTCTTAAAAAAATGGACAAGTAAAAAGTGAAAATAACAGTACAAGAATGTTTCAATGTTTTACACTTACAGTAAACCAAAAGTACTGTCAGACCAATATTCTTTAAGTCATCCAATAGTCTTGTCAGTATCTGTTTTTAATTTTAACCCTTGTATCTATGATGATTTTATTTGAGACACTAGTGAAAGTCCACTTAATCATTGCTTTATGAAATCTTTTAGAAGAAAAAAGCTGAAGTCCATTTTTAGCTCACCGGGGCCCAAAGGGCCCCATGTGAGCTTATGCCATCACTTGGCGTCCGTCGTCTGTTGTCGTCGTCTGTCGTCGTCGTCTGTTGTAGTAAACTATTTCAAAAATCTTCTCCTCTGAAACTACTGGGCCAAATACCTTCAAACTTTAACTAAATGTTCCTTAGGGTATCTAGTTTATAAATTGTATCCGAAGTTTTGATCCATCGACAAACATGGTCGCCATGGCTAAAAATAGAACATAGGGGTCAAATTCAGTTTTTGGCTTATATCTCAAAAACTAAAGCATTTAGAGCAGATCTGACATGGGGTAAAAGTGTTCAATTGGTCAAGATCTATCAGCTCTGAAATTTTCAGACGAATCAAACAACCCATTGTTGGGTTGCTGCCACCGAATTGGTAGTTTTAACAAAATTTTGCAGTTTTTAGCTCACCTGGCCCAAAGGGCCAAGTGAGCTTTTCTCATCACTTGGCGTCCCTCGTCGTCGTCATCCGTTGTCGTCCGTCTTCGTTAACTTTTACAAAAATCTTCTCCTCTGAAACTACTTGGCCAAATTAAACCAAACTTGTCCACAATCATCATTAGGGTATCTAGTTAAAAAAATGTGTCAGGTGACCCGGCCATCCAACCAAGATGGCCGCCATGGCTAAAAATAGAACATAGGGGTAAAATGTAGATTTTGGCTTATATCTTTGAAACCAAAGCATTTAGAGCAAATATGACATGGAGTAAAATTGTTTATCAGGTCAAGATCTATCTGCCCTGAAATTTTCAGATGAATCGGACAACCCGTTGTTGGGTTGCTGCCCCTGAATTGGTAATTTTAAGGAAATTTTGCCGTTTTTGGTTATTATCTTGAATATTATTATAGATAGAGATAAACTGTAAACAGCAATAATGTTCAGCAAAGTATGATCTGCAAATAAGTCAACTTCACCAAAATGATCAGTTGACCCCTTAAGGAGTTATTGCCCTTTATAGTCAATTTTTAACAATTTTTCGTAAATTTTTGTAATCTTTTACAAAAGTCTTCTCCTCTGAAACTACTAAGACAAATTTAACCAAACTTGTCCACAATCATCATTAGGGTATCTAGTTTAAAAATGTGTCCCACGACCCGGCCCGTGAACCAAGATGGCCGACATGGCTAAAAAATAGTACATAGGGTAAAATGCAGTTTTTGGCTCATATCTCTGAAACCAAAGCATTTAGAGCAAATCTGACGCGGATAAAATTGTTCATTAGGTCAAGATCTATCTGCCCTGAAATTTTCAGACCAATCAGGCAACACGCTGTTGGGTTGCTGCCCCTGAATTGGTAATTTTAAGAAAATTTTGCAGCTTTTGGTTATTATCTAGAATATTATTATAGATAGAGATAAACTGTAAACAGAAATAATGTACAGCAAAGTAAGATCTACAAATAAGTCAACATGACCAAAATTGTCAATTGACCCTTTAAAGAGTTATTGCCCTTTATAGTAAATTTTACACAATTTGTTCATCAAGTTTGCTAACATTTAAAAATCTTCTTCTCTGAAACTACTGGGCCAATTACCTTCAAACTTTAACTAAATGTTCCTTAGGGTATCTTGTTTATAAATTGTATCCGAAGTTTGTATCCATCGACAAACATGGCCGTCATGGCTTAAAATAGAACATAAGGGTCAAATGCAGTTTTTGGCTTATATCTCAAAAACTAAATCTTTTAGAGCAAATGTGACATGGGGTAAAATTGTTAAATTGGTCAAGATCTATTGGCCCTGAAATTATCAGACGAATCAGGCAACACTTTGTTGGGTTGCTGCCCCTGAATTGGTAATTTTAAGGAAATTTTGCCGTTTTTGGTTATTATCTTGAATATTATTATAGATAGAGATAAACTGTAAACAGCAATAATGTTCAGCAAAGTAAGATCTACAATTAAGTCAACTTGACCAAAATGGTCAGTTGACCCCTTAAGGAGTTATTGCCCTTTATAGTCAATTTTTAACCATTTTTCGTAAATTTTTGTAATCTTTTACAAAAATCTTCTCCTCTGAAACTACTAAGACAAATTTAACCAAACTTGTCCACAATCATCATTAGGGTATCTAGTTTAAAAAATGTGTCCGACGACCCGGCCCGTGAACCAAGATGCAGACATGGCTAAAAAATAGTACATAGGGTAAAATGCAGTTTTTGGCTCATATCTCTTAAACCAAAGCATTTAAAGCAAATCTGACAGGTTAAAATTGTTTATCAGGTCAAGATCTATCTGCCCTGAAATTTTCAGATGAATCGGACAACCCGTTGTTGGGTTGCTGCCCCTGAATTGGTAATTTTAAGGAAATTTTGCCGTTTTTGGTTATTATCTTGAATATTATTATAGATAGAGATAAACTGTAAACAGCAATAATGTTCAGCAAAGTAAGATCTACAATTAAGTCAACTTGACCAAAATGGTCAGTTGACCCCTTAAGGAGTTATTGCCCTTTATAGTCAATTTTTAACCATTTTTCGTAAATTTTTGTAATCTTTTACAAAAATCTTCTCCTCTGAAACTACTAAGACAAATTTAACCAAACTTGTCCACAATCATCATTAGGGTATCTAGTTTAAAAAATGTGTCCGACGACCCGGCCCTTGAACCAAAATGCAGACATGGCTAAAAAATAGTACATAGGGTAAAATGCAGTTTTTGGCTCATATCTCTTAAACCAAAGCATTTAAAGCAAATCTGACAGGTTAAAATTGTTCATTAGGTCAAGATCTATCTGCCCTGAAATTTTCAGACCAATCAGGCAACACGTTGTTTGGTTGCTGCCCCTGAATAGGTAATTTTAAGAAAATTTTGCAGCTTTTGGTTATCATCTTGAATATTATTATAGATAGAGATAAACTGTAAACAGCAATAATGTACAGCAAAATAAGATCTACAAATAAGTCAACATGACCAAAATTGTCAATTGACCCCTTAACGAGTTATTGCCCTTTATAGTCAATTTTTTACAATTTTCATAAGTTTTGTAAATTTTTGTAAATTTTTACAAAATATTTTCCACTGTAACTACTGGGCCAAGTTCATTATAGATAGAGATAATTGTAAGCAGCAAGAATGTTCAGTAAAGTAAGATCTGCAAACACATCACCATCACCAAAACACAATTTTGTCATGAATCCATCTGTGTCCTTTGTTTAATATGAACATATACCAAGGTGAGCGACACAGGCTCTTTAGAGCCTCTAGTTTGTTATTATTTTGAATATTATTATAGATATATATAAACTGTAAGCAGCAATAATGTTCAGCAAAGTAAGATCTACAAAAAAGTTAATATGACAAAAATTGTCAATTGACCCCTTAAGGAGTTATTGCCCTTTAAAGACAATTTTACACAATTTGTTCATCAAGTTTGCTAACATTTAAAAATCTTCTCCTCTGAAATACAGGTGAGCGATTCAGGCTCTTGAGAGCCTCTTGTTCCTTTCCCAACTTGATTTTTTGGCAAGATATTTTGTCCTGTAATCTTCCTGTAAAGTCTAAATTTGACCTTGATTCTTCTAATACCTTGCAACAGGACAAAATGTATTATAGTATGATGAGTTGAAACTCTACTAGTCTTTTGGATCACCATGTTAAATTGATTGATTGATTGTTGGTTTCTTAACGTCCAGTGGCAAATGTTTCATGCATGTTCAGGACGAGAACAAATTAATAATAAATACAATAGGTAGGTCCTGTAATAGACACCGTCTAGGATGCTTGTCAGGGAAATTTGGACTGCCACAGAAAAAGGAGGGTATGTTAATAGATTGGGAAAGAAATTTAGCCTTGCAACAGGCCACCTACGGACCCTTCAAAGAGTTGTTGCAAGGGTTCTTAACGGGCAAAGAGCGTGACACTATCTTGACACTAGGCAACGGATTTAATGTCCCATTGTGACCGGACGTGGCTGCGAACTTGTACATCCTGAAAGCCACATGGACACCTTACTTTGGCGAGGGTTTTATTGCCAGCCAGAGGAAGACCAATGGTGACCATATTTCTATTCCCCAGTCACCCTTGGGGCCACCATGTTAAACAATCTTCAAAAGTTTGGCAGATGAAATAAAGTTTATGTATGTATATGTTTTTCAAAATTTGAGATTAATTATTTAAGCTCCATACAGATGTCAGAATTGCTATACTCTCCCAGTTGCATTAAAATCCTGGCAATAATTTCGGAATTTACAGTAATGAATATGTTTATATTTGCAGAAAGCTAGAAAGAACGAGATATCTGATGCTGTGATATTGGATGTAGATACAAACACATTAACTACAGAGTATGATGACTTTGAAGATCTTCCTTCAGAAATTGTGAGTAATACATTATATGGTGTTCTCTCTAGGAATATGACTGTGTTCAAATGACATTTTTGCAATGTTGTAACAATTGAAAAATACTGTCATTTAAAAAGAGAGGCGAAAGATACCAAAGTAACATTCAAACTCATTAGTTGAAAAAAAAACTGACAACGCCATGACTAAAAACTAAATATGATCAAAAGACAAACAACAGTGTACAAAACACAACATAAAAAACTATAGACTGAGCTACACGAACCAGTACACATCAGTGAATGGTGGTGATTGTGGGTGAAATATCTCATATTATTACCAAGTAGGTCATGTATGTCAGGGTTGTAAATCGTGGTATTATAGCCTTCAGTAAAATCAGCAATCACCCTGTTTCACTGGGACTTTTGGTCCACTGGACAATCAATAATTACAATGTATAGAATATATTTGGCATTACCTTCTTTTTATTTTTTACAATATATGGCATAGGACCTATTTCGTGATTGGGCCTTTCTTTTAGCGGGAATTCAGGATAGGGCCTTTATTTTCGCGGGAATTCAGAATTTAAACTTACCGTTTTACTGTTTTGGACTATTTGACGTGTTTTTTTGCAGAATCTGTGAATTGGAATTCAATTAATTTGGATTTTTTGTAGTAGAAAAAAATAGATAACTTTAGATCTGTCAAAGAAATTCTAAATGGAATCATAATGAGATACGATGAATGTTTAGACACTTGCTTTTATTCCAGTCTTCCTATCTGAAGAGGCATCTGAAGAAAGATAAAATCATCCAGCAAATGTCTACTAATGGAGATGTTATATCAAAGGCTTTCATGCAGGCTTTAGTAAGGCTCATAGGTAAGAAAATCATCCAGTAAATGTGTACTAATGATGTTATAAGGCTCATAGGTATGAAAAGCCTAGTGTTTCACCTGTGATGAAGGCTGTCATAAAGGCTTTAAGTTAAATAATTCAAATGTGATTGTGTCATATCAATTGCTCTTACAATATAGCTGAATATAGACAACAGTCTAAGATTGCTCAGACCCCTAACAATCTTTTTATTTTTTGACTGGTAAGGACATTTTCTGTTGTAAAATATTTTTGATTTTACAAAGATATTGCTATTTCAAATTACTGTAAATTCAGAAATTATTGTGTGCATTTATTTTTGTGTTTTTTGAAGAATTAACAAAAATAATAGTTTATTTATTGTGATTTTAGGAAAAGCTACATATAGATATACGTATATGATATCAGAATGTGAGTTATTATTATTGCGATACTCAAGTAGTCGCATTATTCGCATTAATAAAAAACTCGAAATAATTTCTGAATTTACAGTATTCCTCACAGAACTTGGAATTGTGGGAGCTTATTTATGTAATGGGATGGCACAGTGTTAATTATTGATTGGATTTTAAGAATTGTCCATAGGTTACATTTGGGGTGAATTTTAAAAACAATAACGCCTGCTAATTTACTTTGAAAGACCATCCAATGTGTACTCTCGCAATTCGGCTTGGGATGATTTGCATTTATGTTAAACATTACAGGACATTTATATATGGTTGAAGAATTTTATTTGTCAATCATTTATTTTTATTATTTTTGGAAAAGAGCATTCAATTCTAATTATTATATGTTCACACGTTCAACACTCCTGTCCAGAAAATAACCTGTACAGGGCCCCTTTACCTGTTTACTGCTTTGCATATACGAAACTAACGAGGTTAAAGAAACAGTGTTACATCACTGTGCAAGCAGTAAAAACTGCATATCAAAGGCAGTTCATTACACATTTATTGTTGAAAATGATAATAAACTGTGTAGTATAGTTGAACAGTTTATTTTAATCAAAGCGTAATGATGTACATTGTACATACGGGTCATAGAAACAAATCTATTTTTAGAACAATTTGTTCTAATTTTTTATCCCAGGTAAAGGAAACGTCGGTGTGCAAATAAACTAAAACAAAATATGTTTATAAACTTTATTAAAAGAATACAAAATACAAAAACATGAATAACACTAGACTTATAACTTTTATTAGAATAAATCAACATTCAACCTGTTGTAAGTGGATTATGGCTGTTCATCTTTCTTCAGGGATTTCCTTTACTGATCTTTACTGTCGATGTTATTTGACTCTGTAATTTGGCATTTCCGATATAAGCATACCTCGCTTAACTGCATAATTTTGTCTGACAAATAGGCTATGCAAATAACCGGAATCGACTGTATTAAGATTTCAAAACGAATGTATTAAGATTTCAAAACAAAAATTTTCCGTCCCTAGTCAGGGTTTGGCAATTTCCATGATTTCTATATAGACTGAGCTCTTGATGTCCCATGTTCATATCCAGTGTCCTAAACAGACCTCCAGACATCAGAACAATCTCAAGACTATATAACCAGGTGATTCTAACATATTGGTGTCATATTGAAAGTTTTCATGCTTGCTACGCATCACCAGGTACACTCAATTTGTGACAGTAGAACTACAGATGGACATCCACAAAGCTTCAAATACAATTCAGTTATCTCTTAAGTATTGCCAGGTGATTCTAATGTGAGGTTGCCAATTAAAGACACTGTGTAGTTTTTTCTTACATGATATTTCAGCCATTAATCAATCATATTATTACATTACATGTATTATTAGTCCCCTACCGACGAAGTCGAAGGGGACTTTAAGTTTGCACTCCGTCCATCTGTCTGTCTGTCCGTCTGTCCATCTGTCCGTCCGTCAGTCCGGTAAATCAGCTTTCCACACTTTTTTTCTTCGTTCTTGAAGATATTGATTTGATATTTGGTATATAGTTTTATCATGACAAGTTATAGATCAAGTTCGAATTTTGTTCTGGTCTGATGATTTAGTCCAGAGTTATGGACCATAACTCTGGACCATATCTAATGTTAGAGTACTATGTTAAACCTTATTTCTGTACAAAGGGAGATAACTCATTTTTTAAGACATTCTTTGTTATATTATTTGAAGAATTTTTTGGCTGGTTTGTTTGTTATTTAGTATAAACTAATTTTCTGAATGCTATATATATAAAAAAAAATTATGAAGAGAAACCCTTAATTAGATAATAATCTATTTTTATTAATGTATATATTTCAATACATTACATTGTGTAGATAAAAGTTGTTGCCATTTTATAGATAAGTTACAAATCTATATTTGTTTGTGACAAATGAAAGAAAAAATATTTGGAACTATTAATTATATTTGATTATAATTTGAAAATAGATATACACTGTCTTACATCATATCTAATTTTAGAGAACGATTAATCATATCTAATGTTTTTTTCACTCATATAATCAGTTTTCCACACTGTTTTTAGTCATGCTTGAAGATATTGACATGATATTTACTTTTTGATTACACCACGACAAGTTATAGAACAAGTTAGCATTTTGTTCCAGTAAAATGAATTTTTACCCGGTAGGGGACTATGTATTGCCATGCAATACTCTCAGAATGCTTGTTTATATTATATTGAGGACATGTATTTATTGTTATATACAGGAGTTTATGTATTAACTACAGTTAACTCTCATTGTGTCGAACTTATTTGACTAGGAATTTCGGATGAGACTAGTTTTTCCTGTGGTTGTGAAATTTGTTCCATATCAACATATTTATTTTGACTCCTGATGAGTCGAAATTTGATGAGTCAAAAGGTTAACAAAAGCATTCAAATTTCATTATTAATCTCGACTAAAACACAAAACATGAACCTCTGGTCTTTAAATGGATTGACGAGGTCATCTGACAATGGGCACTGGACGTTTGCTCCTTTTTACCTGTAACACGATAGGACATTTGCGCTTTTAATTTTGATACACCTGTATCAAGTTGACCAGCATTTACGCTTTTTACATATAGCCGTCTACCTGTAATTTTAGTGGTTAGTTAGTCTTAAACATAGAGTTTAAAGTTATAGATCAGTAAAGGAAAAAAATGCATATGTCATGATGGATTCTTATCATTGAACAACAGTCGGTTAATTACATCCAAATTCGTTATATTGATGAACAGGGACCTCAGTCAAGATTTGAGAAAGAGAAACTAGAATATTTATTTGAAATGTGGCTGAAATACCAGCAAATGTCCTATAAATTGAAGCGCAAATAACCTTTAAAAAAAGCGCAAATGTCCTATGAAAATACGCAAACGTCCCATGCCGCTGACAATACACCAGTAATTAAATTTCCGGTCATTGACTGTTGTATTGATTTATGACATTCTTTTTTCAAGAGTGTTTACCTAAGATTATCTTTAATCACCATAATAAATAATTAGTGATACATTGTTATAGTTCATGAAAAATTATTTTAAATGTTTTAGGGTTTAACTTGACAAGCCTTATAATTTACATATTAATTGATCGCATTCATGACATAGCACAATATCCTTTTTTCAATATGGTATTTCAGGTGGCTACAGAGATGCATTAAGATTTCATCCTGGTGAACCTATTACTTTTGACCCTGAAGCATTTGTGCAGTCAAGACCATCCTCAATGCAGCCATTTCTGGACTCAATGTTTGAATTACAAATATTTCAACAGGTAGAAAAATTAATCTGAAGCAAAAAGAAAGTTAAAGGGGTTCCATAAGTATTAACAGGCATAGGTTTTACTCATTTCATATGAATAAAAGGAGCGGTTGCGTATTTCTGTCAATGAGACAACGCAAAAGAAAAAAACAGCAAAAAACAAAATCTAGAGATAAGCATAATTACGGTCGTTGTATACATTTAAGCAGTCTGCAGTAATGTTGACAAATCCCAAAATGTGTTGTCGTGTTTAACAGAGGTTTGGTTGATTTTATAAATATAAAGTTTGAAATTTCTTAGTTTAGCTTCTTCTTTAAGCTTATCACCAGTTAAAAGATATTGGGGTCTTCAGTTACTTTAGATAGAAGTCTTCCTAAATTCTATACTCAGACATGATGGATTTTTATATTTTTTACTTTCAGTTTATAAATGATCGACTGGACATGTTAAATCTTGGTAAAGGTTTCAGTGATCTATTTGAAGTGGAGGCCATGTTACAGGCAGACAAGCTTAATTCACAATCAAGATATAAAGAATGGTTGGGTAATATGAAGGTATGTCATAAAGTAATAGGTAGAAATACATTAATTCCAGGTTTAGTTTACAGGACATTCTGGTACTCGGTCAACATGGTCTAGTAAGAGCAACTAAAAGAAGTTAAATCATGGTTACAATTGTTGTTATCTCAGATGCGTTTGAAAATCAGGCCATATTGATTATCTTAGGGTAACTTGTCTCCCTTGGAAATAATCCCTAATTGAAGTTCAAGCAAATTTTTGTCAAAGGCTAACATCAGAAATATCTGAGATGAGTTTGAAAATCAGGACCAATCTGTTATATTTTTGGGCTTTAATCTCGCCAGTGGAAGTGTAAATAACATAAAAAAATACATATGGTAAGCACTCTCAGGCCTACATTTTACATTGGAAGTATAATAAATAAATATCTTGAACGAGTTTGAAATTCTGTGCATATCGAATATTTTGGGGAAAATGTAAACGATGTTAGAAAAAAAACATTGCTATTGCTCTTGTTTCTACATTTCTCATCAGAGGTTAATTTAATATGTGTCAATGGTTAACATCATCAATATCTCAGATGAGTTTGAAGTTTATGGGTACCAATCTTTTTATCATAGGACGTAATGTATTTTCTTTGCTGCTTGATTTAATTGTTCAAACTAATGAAATAGCTTTATGAAATTGGAACTGAGATATGACCTTTACATTTTCCTTTTTGTCTCGCCTCTATTAAGTTTGGAAGGTCCATTTAGCCATGCTGTTTCCTGTGGTCTGCTTTAAAGTTTGTGAATAGGTTTGTTTAAGGGAAACCACTTATTTCAAAGATATTTAGTATGCAGATGTATAAGCATTAGCACATTTCATATCCACAGAGATTATTTGGCCCTGCCCCCCCCCAGTCATAGTCTATTGACTTTGAATTTTTTGCATAGTTCACATGTTAAAAGTTTGTGATTAGGTCAGTTTTAGATGAAACAATAATGGTCAGTCAATTATATTTGGTATACAGTTATATCAGCATTGGCACATCTCATTTCTATGGAGATAGTTTGGCCCTTTGCCTTCTTTCATGGTTCATTGACTTTGAATGTTTTGCATAGTTTACATATTAAATGATTGCCATTTAAATATCAACAGTTGCATTTTACTCTCAGAATTACATACAGGAGAGACCTATCTCTGTGTCAACAGTTTTTGTCGCACCAGCGACGAAATTCGCAGAAAGTGAGACATATGGATTGCTTTTGCGGCGACGGCTGCGACGAAGGTGTCAACAATTATTAAGTTTTCTGCTTAAGTTAGTTTGATAGGAACTACTTGTGATAAACCATTGATATTTAATATAAAGTTGCATTACTATCAGTACATATCAGTTTGACGACTATTTTGAGGCCCTGTCCTCTAGATCATTGTCCAGCAACTTTGAATTAACTAGCTATTTTCAATAATAAGTTTTATACCTAAGTAATTTTGATAGGAACTACTTGTGATAGATCATTGATATTTAATATGAAGTTGCATTACTATCATTACATATCAGTTTGACGACTATTTTGAGGCCCTGCCCCCTAAATCATGGTCCAGTGACTTTGAATTAATAATCAATTTTCAATGTTAAGTTTTCTGCTTAAGTTAGTTTGATAGGATCTACTTGTGATAGATCAATGATATTTTGTATAAATTCGCATTACTATCAATACATATCTGTTTGACAACTATTTAGAGGCCCAGCCCCCTAGGTCATGGTCCAGTGACTTTGAATTAATTAGCAATTTTCAATGTTAAGTTTTCTGTTTAAGTCAGTTTGAAAAGAACTACTTGTGACAGATCAATGATATTTTGTATAAAGTTGCATTACTATCAGTGCATCTAAGTTTGTCGACCATTTCTAAGACCTGCCCACAAGATCATGGTCCAGTGACTTTGAATTAATAAGCAATGTGGCTGTCCATCAGATTGTCTTTTTCTGAATTTTGTACAGATAGGCGAGACATATCTCTGTGTCAACAGTTTATTTTAATAAGTTTAAAGTTTGCTGTAAAATTATCATTGTTTTCTTCACATTTGACTTGAAATTGTATTTTGAGATGTTCATTGATTGAGATTTTATGATTATTTATTTTTAGAAACAGGGTAAACAGATGCAGAAGAATTCAAAGGAATACTTCAAAGACTTTAAAGATAAGGTTTGTACTGATGTCTACTTAATTGTCCATGGTAACATACAAGATTCAAATTATAATTTTTTTTTATAAACATGAAATTCCTTGGTATTTTAAAGTTTAATAATGATTGTTTCTTTCTTAGCTTTTCAAAGACAAGGTTTGTAAAAGATGGGTACATTATTATATATGATTTCATGTACTTTTAATTGTACAGAAAATAATGAATGAATTTTATATGCATTGGTGCAATTATATTGTTTGATTTTTTTGAATATCAATCATTTTCGGCATACTCTGCAGAGCTCATTGCAATTTTGTTTCGTTATGTAGTGTATTGTTTTTCTGTCTTTTATTACACTCACTTTCTCTGTATTTGTAATAAAATTATAACTTTTATTTATCCTTCAATCTTCTTCATAAATTTTAATAGGGTCAATTTGAATTAATACAATTTGATGTCAGAAGACATATTGAGGTCAACAAATGCTCTTCATCAAAAGACAAGTGTCTATTCAATACTACAAACCAACTCATTTAAGTGTGTGGTTTTTTTTCGTGAGTAGAAAAAGAAGGTGAATGTAAACTGAGTGGAATACGTAAAACTTTGGATCTTCCTTTATAAAAATATGTCAAGACAATAAGAAAAACGCTAAAATAAATCACCATGGAGTCGTCAAAATGGGCTAAGCTGCATATCAAAGTAATATAAGTTGGTTTACAGTATGTAAAGATCTCAATTGTCCTAAGTCAAGAAAGAGAAAAATTGATAGAAACTGTCAAAGATTTCCCATTTTAATTAAATTCCCTGAATGACAAAAACATAAATATGTTACTAAACACTGCCAGTGACAAGGTTACTTGAGATTACTTGGGTTTAAAGTATATTTAGGTATCAACCCTCTCCTTTTAAATGTTGATCAGTGGAAAAACTTAAAGCACATTTAAAAAAGTACAATAAAACTCATTACAGAAAAATCACCTAACTCTATAAAAGATGTCTACCTACTTGACCAACCTGCTAACTTTTCTGATCCATGGAGTATTTCACTCATAAGAGTTGTTGAAATGACCTTAGAAATCCTTCATTAAAGAAATTATATTCTTCAAAACGCATTCTGAGGAGTAAAAATGGCATTTAAAAACATATTTACCCATTCAAAACCATAGTTTATTAGATAATAATGATATGATATTGTGGAAGTTCAATAGGTCCTCTTGTGCATAAAATCCCCCATTAAAAAAGATAGAAGTTGGCAGGTATGTCTGTTGGTTCTGATGGATTATGCCTAAATACAGATATTCTAAATGTTCCCAGTTTGGGCGTTTATTCTTGCCTGTATAATGTTATTTGCAGAGCATGTATGTTATAAGGGTAAAGGATATGTGTACTGCAGTCAAATATAACGTTGGTATCTTTCAGCATGCCAAAGTTACAATTGTGTAGGAAATTTTCAGTTACATCAACTTGACCTTGAATATGTGTATAATAGTGAAAATAGTATTTAAAAATTACCACCTGACCTTATGATTTTAGGTATGATTGGTTAGTTGTATGATTGAGTTTGATTCAAATTATAAAATGTTTGCTATTGAAATTCTAGTGGAATGAGATGGACATTAAAACCATATCTCATAAACACATAAATATTATGGCTGCCAAGGTCAGTACAGCTTCAGCAAAGGTCAGTAAAGCATTGAAGCATGCTGAAATGTAGCCTCATTCTGAAATTAAAAATAACTAATTATGATATACTGAACTTAAGAGTAGTCTCCCCTTTCTATGGTCCTCTAAAAAAATACCATCTTGTGAAAAGCTTCACCACTCGGCATTTCTGAATGTCTATAAGCTGCATAGACTTAAATTTGAAGGTGTTTTTTAACTATAGATTCATTCATTTTCATAGATACCAATTTTTGGGGATTGAGGAAAAAATGTCACGATTTGACAAATTATGTTTACAAGACATGGTTCATCTTAACCTCGTGAAATCCACAAAAGTTGGTACCCTATAAAAACATTGTAATAATGAATCAAAAATCAAAATTTGTGCAAAAAATTAACTTTTGCTTATTAAGAGGCATTCCATTATTTTCAAAGGAGACTGATGATATTTTAGGAGGGTACTACTGTATACTAAAAATGTTGATGTTATCATTCAAGCTTTTCCAATATAGAAAGAAAATGAAGGTACTTTAATCATGGTTATTCATGCGCTTCTTTTACTGACTAATTTCAGCATCAAAAACATTTATCTGAAAAGTCTTAGAATTCCCAAAATAGCAAAAATATCTGATTTCTCTGGCCATGATCAAACTTTTTATTTCAAAAATATAACAATAACATTTGTTCTTTAAAAAGCGACCAAAAACAACATGCATGTCACATGTCAGACAATAAGATTTGAAAAACAGTACCTTGTGATAATTACATGTATAAATAGATAAAGTTTGATATTAACAAATTAAATCTTTCTAATATTTGATTTACACCCAAACTTATAAAGGTGTTAACTATTTATCTGATAGTTTCTATTTAATTTCATGAAGAATTTGTTTTAAGAATATCGGGTTTGAAACCAAAACTTCTAAGGTCACCTGCAGATTAGACTGTTTCACCTGACCAATATTAAAAAGCAAATATTTAAACAGCCTTTAAACAAAATGCAAATTGAATTGAACAGTTGCTAGAACATAAGTTAACACCTGTGTAAGCTTTGGTATAAGAATCTTATTAAATGATGCTTGCTGACAACAGATACCTTATCAGAATGACATAGAAAGCTCTCTTAATATCGCTAACAAATTTTGTTGTATTTCTGCATTGTGAAGACCTGTAGGAGCCTTCATTCAAATCTTGTTACATAACAATCAGTAGATTAACATATTGACATATCGTATAGACACTTATCTGTTCTTAAAGACTGAAAGTTGATCTCGTGATGTCCTTTTTGGTTTTTGAGTTTCTTGGGTTGCTGAGATATAACAAAAGTGAGTTTTGTAACCATCTGGTCCTAATTTTTCTCTGGTCCGATATTGATATTTTTCAAAGAGGTCTTCAGACAATTGTTTGAATACTATTCTTGGTTAATTGGTCAGAGTTGTCTGTGTGTGTGCATGGAATAGAAGAGGAGGATATCTTGGGTATTGTAAACAAAAATCTTTCATGATTAACATTTTTCTTACATTATCTCAGTTGAATGTTATAGTTTCAGGTGCATGTAAAAAACTGAACATTTTTATTTTACAACCTAAACCATAAAAGTGTAAACCAATATTTTTGTAGGTGGTCAATTTTTATTTTAAATTTTTTTGACGAGTAATTTCTCTATTTTAAAAAGTCAGGTTTTGAAACCCAAATTGCTCTGGTGAACTCCAAGTTCTGTGAATTCATTATTATTCGTGGGATACAAATTTTTCATGAATTTTGTGGGTACAGATGAATCTCAGACTAAAATGTTCAACAAAGAACTAGTTTTCTATAGGACTGTATTCACACTTTTGTAAAACCACGAAATCATATATTCACAAAAATCCATGAAAAATGGTACCCACAAAAATATATGAATCCACAGTAAATTTAAGTTTTAGTCACATGAATCACTTGAGTAATATTGTTTTCAATTCAATGTTTAAATTATAAAACTGATTAACACATAACTAGTTGTTATTGTAAATGTCTCAAGTAAGATTGAAAATCTCTGGCAGCAATTTTAATATTGTTTGACATTATGGTAGTAAAATGTATATCACTATATTGAATTAAGGTCAAAAGTTTGCTTGCAATGCCTTGAGTGTTTTTGTGGTCAAGTTAGATAAAGTTTAGTACATATATTTAAACTTTTACATCAGTATGCTTTACATTATAGCTTTATTTCATGCTCTCAATATATATTATATTTCAGACATGAAGAAAACAGAATTAAAAATCATGTTTTCTGTATGCTTATTTGATATTTGTTTGAACAGCTTTAAAGGTTGACTTGGTCCATCATATATCCTAGTCATGAATTGATTTGTTTTCAGATCACAGATAGTGTTTTATTTGAAACATTAGCTATTTCAAAACAAATTGAATATGTTCTACATGTCATCTTTTTGGCAAAGTATATCATTTTCCCCTTAGTAATCACAGCTGTATAAATTTTACGTTGATTCCTCAGTGTTTTGTGAAGCCAAATAATGCTTTTTAAGTTATTAGGATCTTTTTTTCAGGGATCATATATATGTTCTTGAAAGACAGCTTCAAGCATGCCCCTAGTTTTGTCATTATAAAAGATCTTGTTATAACATTTTATGAAAAATAATAAATGCACACAATAGTTTCCGAATTTACAGTTTTTGACTGGTAGTAGTGCAAAAATACCAGACAAATCTTATTTGAAAATTGACTGAGGGGAAATATTATGATACATTTATTAAAACTGTGAATAAACATTTCTCCCCTAGAAAAATACATTAATAAGTGGTTTCAAAGAAAGGATACTTAGTGCATGTTTACAGCTTCTAAGTTATGACTAGATATATGATCCAGGAGAGACTGGGACTTTAAGAGGACAATTGTCATATTACAAAGTGACTAAGTCATCTCTTATCAGTAAAAGTGACAGAAATAAAATCATATTTAATCATCTTTGTTTGACAGGCTGCACCTGTAGTTTCTAACGCCATGCATACTGTAAGTCATTAGCATGTTGCTGTTGTCAAGTATGATTATATGCTTGGTTACCAAGTTTTCCCAATCATTGTCATCCGGCTTTGCTTGCTCATCACTTTCATTATTGTAAAAGTTTTTTTTTTTTTAAGTTTTATTTTAGTACATTGTATATACAGTGACTTGGTGTAATTTGTTCATTAATTTATATTGATTTATGATAATCTTTTTGTTCATTGCAATGTTTTTTTCTCCCCTTTTCTTCCAGTTTTAAATGAAATGAACAAGTATATGCATCTGTTGATTTAAACAAGCAGGAACTTTACCTTTTTGTTTATTTGAATGTTAGAATTATTGATCCCCCAAAATGAAATTAAGTCTTCAGGAAAGAAACCCAAACCTCAGGGAATTTGGATTAAATTGAATGCTGAAAAGGTCAAATGGTTTTTACAAAAATTTGATAAACAGAAAAATCTTTGATGGTCTTAATAAAATCCTATTTAAATGAAATCATATCAACAGACTACATCATCTGGCCATCATATTAAACAGAACATACATTGATCAATACTATCGTAGTTCATTTGTAAATAGTAATCGATAGTCTGTCATGATTTGCATCCGTCAACAATTTATAAGTGAAAAATTAACATCCTTTGTTAAAGCACTGCTAGATGAATTATATTCTATTAAAATTATTTGCATGTATATTTACTTTCGTTTGAATGTTGTATATTTTTTTTAATTTTTATTTATTTATTTTGGAATATTTGATAAAATGTTATTTTTTGCATGATATTAAACAAATGAAAATAAAATCCTGAATGATTTTATAATTCACTCTTATAAAAGCATGTGAAAAGGTTTAAACTATTCTTTTTTAACAATTTTTTTTACTAAAATAAAATATCTGAATGATGCAGTAAATATAAGCAGTATTATAACAGGGGGAATAATTTGAAAAAAACATTATCTCCCTTTTACAAAATTCATAATCCATAAAGAACAAGAAGTGCAAACATACTGTTTAGCAGAAATTCATCAGATCCAATTCACGCAAAAGCACTATACCGTAAATACCTCAATGACCTGTATCAGCCATTGATTTTCCTTTATATCTATATATAAATAAAACCCAGATTTTTTATGTGTCACATGACACTGACATTATTTCAAATCCAATATACGACCACTGCAAAAATCACATACCTGCATAAGTTTACAAATTGAGAAGATATACTTCAAAATTAAAGTGTCAAACTATTTTATTTGTAAAGATGAAAATATGTTATAATAAGTTATATGAGAATAATGTTTTAATACATAAGTTCTCTAACATGTATTCTAAATATGAAATAGATGAATTCATAATCATATCTTCTTTTCCAAATCTTATTTAAGTGGCAAATTTCTTCTGCTTTTTTCATTTTCATAAAGTTTTGAAACAACTTTTTGATATAAAATACTAGTTCATGTAAAAACTTTATCTGTTTTTTTACAGGTACGACGTGAAGGGAAGAAATTGTATTCAGGTGTACGGAAACAAGTACAGGATATAAGAAAAGTGAGTAATGGTTACCTTCTTAGAAAGAGATTGTACACTTTAGCATGCTATATTTCTGCAATAATTTTGTTGTTAATGAGAATGTTTAGTATGTAAGATATTTTGCTGCATATTGTAATAGTTTTTCATTAAACATAAATTTATATAGTATTAACCTTGCTAAAAAAAACTTAGTTCATTGGTTAAAGGTCAAGTTCAAATATAGTATAAAAGTTTAAATTGCTTACTGGTAACCTGCTGGAATTTTTAGAATTGATGAATGTTGCATTGCAATTGATTTTTCTGTTATAACTTTTTGATTTGAAGGTAGCTTATAATTTTAGCATGCTTTTTATTGAAATCCTGTATTTTATAAGTCTATGTATGCTAAGCTGTCTATAGACTGGTCTAACCACACATATTTTATTTCAGTAAATTATATATGCATGATGAGTCAGATCATGAAATTGAGTGTTACTTCTTTGAGAAAATTGAAAAACAAATTTAGTTATTACCGAAATACTTCAATTTTTACATGATGATTTGCTTAGGCATCAATTAGCATGCATTTTCTTATTGCTGACTTTAACTGACTTAACTGTTATCATTTGAAAAAAAAAATTTCCAGAACTACTGAACTGAATAAGCATCATTTTTAATTTACCATACACACTCTGACATTAGTCATTGATTTTGCAAGACCCCATTTTTAAAATCCAAATGTTAAAGGATGTATAATTTTCATAATTCAACAGATTTTAATAATTCCTTAATGTTCTTGTAGCTGAAATTAGTCACCTACCGGTAGTTTTGAAATTAAAAATGTAAAATATTCTCCAGTTTTAAAGTAACACTCTTTTTCATCATTACTGGTTTTATTTTTGGACCATGTGTTTCTTTGGTAATATTGCAGGAGGATGATCATTCTAGAACAAAAAGTATGAAACAGCCCAGGCCTGATTCAAAAGCATTATCCCGTAACAGGCCCGCCACTGTAATACATGCTGCAGAGATAATACCTATTCGAGTAAGTCTTGAAATAGTTTTCAGGACTAAATTTGCCATTGATAGTTTAGTAGTGGTTCTACATTAGAAAACTGCTAAGCCTAAGGCCTACATTAAGACACTGTTTAACAGATTTCACTGCTGGCACATCGTCGTCATGTTTTCGTGTTCTTTTGAATAACAAGGCAATACTTTCCTTTGGAACTTTTTTTCTATATTTCTACTGTAAAAAAAAATATTAAAATTTTAAATGATTTGACTTTACTCAGGAAGTCAAGGGTAAAAGTGTTACAAGCTATCTTTATTACTGGTACAGGTAAAAGTAAAAAGGTTCAATTATCTCCCTTAGTCTTCCAGATATTTTAAACTGATATTCTTCTTCTGTGATTTGTTCTTGAATATATTCCTTAATAGAGTGTTTGATTGTTACTCTATTTGATCTTATTCAATGGAAAATTTTCTCTGGAATAGATTTTTTATTCCCTCCCAACAATAGTCAGGGGCATTATGTTTTCAGGTCAGTTCATTCATTCCTCGGTCTTGGTTAAATATTTTAGTCAGGGTAGTATACCATGTACATGTAATTGGGGTCACATCAACTTGGAACTTAGTACTTTTGTTCATTATGGTGGGAACTTTTAGACAACAATTGAAAAGTATGCAGATGTCAACATACAGTTTTCAACAAGTGTTATAACCACCTGGCAAGCTCTAAATCACCTAAGAGTCTAGACAAGAATTATTTTAACTACAATATACCAAAACCATTGAGTGTGTAGGTAAAGGTAATATCTTTGGTTAGCTTGCTTGCTAGCTGAATCGTGAAGTCATTATTGCGTTAGGTAAACTACCCTCCTTTAAGCGTAGACTAGTCCGACCGATAACCTATTTTTCTGTCTACAGGACTATACAACTCCGAAAGGAGGGTAGTATACCTTACCTAATAATGACTTCACGGTTCAGCTAACAAGCAAGCTAACCAAAGATTCTACCTTTACCTACACACTCAATGCATTCTGCTGTAATCTTGGTTTTAGTGAGCACTCAAACCTTCCACTATTTATCATCACATTTTTTGGCCAATTACTGAAAGTGAAAATTTAAAGTAAGAATAAGAAAACTATATGATATGCGAATGAGACATATGCATAGGTATCCTTCTTACTGGAAACTATTGGGACCAATCCTAACATTATAAAAACACACATGAATTTGGCTTCAGTTAAAAGTGTTTATCATGAGTAGGAGGTTAACCATTATATGAATAATCACTGAAAAGAAAAATGGAAAAAATTAATATGATTAAAATATGTATTTTATAACATGGCTTGCTGCTTACAGCAATCACTTGCTTTAACACCACTGATTTCTCCTCTTATAACATTTTTCTTCCACTTTTTCAACAGGACGAGGTAATGCTGAAAACAAGGAACAGGGAAAAAAATATTTTAACCGCTAGTAGATCACTAGAATTAACACTTTTTGCCCATCAAAGAAACCTGCAACTGATCACAATTTTCTAACCCACCTTAAGCTTGCTTGTTTAATATTGTCCATTGCTATTTTTAATACATAATTTGAATGTTGAATGCATGGTACAAATTACATTTGTATGTTTCACATCTGAATGTGGATATGTTCTAACATATATATGAAACTCCAATACAGATGATAATACTTGCATTTGATAGCACGATTTGTATTTGTTATGCATGGCATGTAGTGTTTTGATATCAAGAAAATCTTGAACTGAATGAATAGTTAAATGTTAGCTGTAATCATGGGTTTATAGAGATATATAAAATCTTCAATGGTGGTTTTTATGCCTCGCTACAAGTGTAGGCATGTCTGTGTAATCATTTGTAACGGCTTCATTAAAACTTAATACCAGAAACATGCGAATATTTGAAGTCATGCATTTTTATTGCCATTTCATTAGAGCATTGCACATTAAAATTGCAGCCTGACTAATTTTTGTTTTTGGCAAATGCACAAAGTATTTAGACCTTGCACAAACATGGATGTCATTTCACTGTTCATTGCATCTCAAGCACTTAGATTGCAGGAAAATTGTACAGAAACAATGAGTTCACAATCAGTTTAAACACACAACTGAAATTTTTATGATTTGACAGCTTTGAACATCATGAAACACTATGAGTTAACTCGTGCTCCGGAAAGTGAAAGTAGTACCTGAATAAGTAGATATCTCTGAATTGTTCAGCAATAAATTGATTTAGCATTAGTATTTGGTTAGTTTGGCAACAATAACCAAGGCAACATGACAGACTGTTAAAGGATTCAGTATCAGATAGGCTGTACATGAAACAATAAAGCTATCATACAGGCTGGAAATTATTTCTTGCTACTGTTACAACAGAAATTATACATCTAATCAACAATGCTCTTTAAAGTAGTAAAACCATATGCGAGTTGAACAGTTTTCTATCAAGTTGTTAATTAGAATTTTATTTAACTGAACACTGGGTGTACCAATCCAAAATATGCTGAGGGATCCCAATCCCGAGGAGCAATTAATAAAAATTTTTTATGTTGGGTAGGTAAAATCACGATCCAATTCCCATTGGAATCGAATCCAGATTTTACTTACCCACCATTACACACTTTTCATTAATTACTGATTTGGATCCCTCCATGGTTTAGGATCGGGATACACGGTGTACTGAAGCTGTTTTGAAAAATATAGGGTGATAAAACTAAAATTGGTTAGGTTTACCTTAATAGGTACAGTCACCTAAGCAATGTTGATTTCAATGTCTAAGAATTGTTTAAAAAAGTTTTGATAAAATCCAAAATGAAGTAACCAGTATTAACATTTTATTAACCAGAGTGAGTAAATTCATCATTAATACTTAACATTTAGGTCAATTCTTCATTGATACTTATCATTTTTGATATATTACAAAAAACTGTTTTAAAACCATATTGATATAAGTACTTTATTTTTAGCCTTTACGACCTGGTAATCCACCTATGATACAGGTTACTGGTACAGACAGCAGGTAATGTTCTCAATTCCTTTATATTTTGAGTCGGATGACTAAGTTGAAAAATAAGCATGATAGAAAAAGATATTATATCTTTAGCCTCCAGAAACAGACAAGATTGAATCCAGTTGAGCATTCAAAAGTTAATGTTTGGTAGGAAATTTACAAGATGTTTCATTATCATAGTTATTATTGGTATTGTTAGGACATATACAATTAGCTTTACCCTTGTGAAACAATCCTATTGAAATTCAGTAGATACTGTGGATTCATTTATTTCTTGTGAGTACCAATTTTTGTGGATTCAGGAAGACTTGCATTTTCATGGATATTTGATTTTGTGGTTACCAGTATGCAAAATTCTGCATATATTCTTAACAAAAAATTTGTTATTTGTTGAACATTTAAATTCATGTTTCCCCTGTACCCACAAAATCCATGAAAATTGGTATCCAACTATAATAATAATCCACCCACAGTATCCACACTTTTGTCTCAGCTATTGAGTTAATTTTAAATACATGGTCAGTTGTTTAATATGTTAAGAGTTCATTTATTTGTGATAATTTAAAAGATTGCAAGTCATTTTGAGGTTGGTTTCACAAGTAAATCTCAATTTTGAAAAAAAATTATGTTTTCAGACTTAATGTATTTTATTACAAATTATATATGATTTTTAGGAGATTATTAAAAAGGTTTAAAAGATCCAGGTAAATTCTAACAGGAAAACTTACTATTCACTTTCGAATATCTGCATATCATCTGACATATAAAGTTGTATTAAATCGCTAGTATCAATATCTAAGATTATAACACTTTAAAAAAAAATTTGGGGGATATTTCATTCATTTTGTAATTCTGTTTTTTCTGGGATTTTATTCTTTTATTTTATAGGAAAAAGGGGGAGGGGGTCAATGAAAATAAGTGTTTTTTTTTAACACATGTATTTTTCATACAATGATAATGTATTGGGCTTCATCTTGACACAATTTTATTTTACACTGATGGACCTCATGTCATTAGGAAAATGATCAATGTTGAAAGTGTTTCTCTTTTATCAGCATTTTTATTTATTTGAAAACATTTTAGTCTGTTATTGTGGATATATTTGAACCTCATTCATATACATATTATAATTCCACATATATAACTAAATTTTATAACTGATCAGAGGAAAAGACTAAAAAGTTGGTATATGCATTTACAATTATGTATCCATTATACAATATTCATATTTATTAATTCTCATATATGCCATCACACTTTTACATTATTATGATTGTATATTGTTGAATATATGTTCTTCGGAAGATTTTTTTAAAAGCTTGGTATACCTTAATGGCTCCTTGTTCAAAGAAACATGTAAACTATTGTCACCTTTTTGAATAAGATATTGTTAGTTTTTGTCAACTTCTTAAAACATATTATAAAAACTTTTATTACAATCTGGACCAATTGGAGCCATTCCATGCCAGCTAAATATAATATTTGCAGTATCACTACATATGGAAACTATTTATCAATAAATGCACAATGTATTCTTTATTTTTATAGTCTCCATGTTTCGATGTCTCATTCCTGTTAAGTAACACCAGGCCCAAAGATTTACACTGCATTTCTAACTGGAGTTGTTGTAATTGACACTATAAGTTATTTTCGTGACTTCATTAAGAATTACCATGAATTAGAATATGCTTTAATATAAGCAGTTGAGACAAACTTTTCTCATTGTTGAAGGCCTTACAAGTACCTATAATTGCTAACATCCACTTCATTTGAACTTTGGTGGATAGTTGTCTCATTAGCATTCATACCATATCTCCTTATTTTTATTTTAAAAGTAAATATTCTGGAAGTAACAAGTTTTCCTTGATTCAAGATTGACGAGTAGGATTAGTTATGAATATACCTTGCTTTGTTCTATACTGCTACTGAATGATTGGATTTTAAAGGTGCTGTGTCACAAGTTATAAAACGTTGAAAGTAAATATTCTGGAAAAATCAACTTTTCCTTGGTCCAAGATTGATCAATAGGTGCATATAAACGACAAGCAGAGAATAATACATACATATTCAGGACTACGACATGTTATTGAGATATGGATATACTTTGCTTTGTACTAGACTGGTACCAAATGATCAGTTTGTAAAGGTGCTTGCTCACTAGTTAGTCTGCAGAAATCATGTCACCCTACCTGGACCCATCATTCTGACTACGACAAGTCTTTGCTCTTACTGTTTGCTCAGTGGCTAAGAAGAAAACAACAATTGTTAAAGTCTTTGGTTTGACCTAGCCAAGAACTGTACCCATGACAACCCCCAATTGAGATAGTTCCTCCATCGAAGCAGATTACTTACTGATAAAAGTTCATTTGACATTTAAGAAAGCTTGCATCAATAACAGTTGATAATACAAAAAAGAAGATGTGGTATGATTGCCAATGAGACAACTCTCCACAAGAGACCAAATGACACAGAAATTTACAACTATAGGTCACCGTATGGCCTTCAACAATGAGCAAAGCCCATACCGCACAGTCAGCTATAAAAGGCCCCGAAATGACAATGTAAAACAATTCATACAAGAAAACTAACGGCCTAATTTATGTAAAAAAATGAAAGAAAAACAAATATGTAACACATAAACAAACGACAACCACTAAATTACAGGCTCCTGACATGGGACAGGCACATACATACAGAATGTGGCTGGGTTAAACATTTTAGCGGGATCCCAAACCTCCCCCTAACCTGGGACAGTGGTGTAACAGTACAACATAAGAACGAACTATAAAAATCAGTTGAAAGAGGCTTAACTCATCAGATGGATAAAAATACAAATACTACAAATACAAGTGGACTTGGCCGGGTACTTGTACATCCAAACAACAAAAAGACACTAAGTACAGATCTGAGAGTACTCGCAGTTACTGACAGCTAGTTCAAAGCCACTAACAACTAATAAAAAAAATCATGCATCTAAGACTAAATTATCAATCCGTACACATCCAACGTCCAATGGATTTAGTGTAAAGACGTCATAAACAGTCAGAGAAAAACATGACCTTGTGCAATGCCAAGATACAGGTATCGACAGATTGTAGATCCATGAATGTGTATATGTATATAACAATAAAAATGTTTAGTTTGCTTTTAATTTACTGATAACAAAATCAATATTAGTACCAATAAAAATAATATAAATGTTGAATTGGTAACCTTTTAGAATAAGTTTATTTAAAGGATCGATAAGTTTACCAGGATCGTTTCTAAATTTCCGGGCACGGTAAACAATATTGCCGTCAAAATGAGGATGTGCAATACCAAACTTCAAAACCAAATCTTTATATCTGTGGAAGAATTTAGTAAAAGTTTTAAGTAATTTGTGGTAACGAAATCCCTGGCTCAATAATTTACCAGTAATACGTAGATTACGTTAGTTTTATTTACATTTTAGGGTATCAAAGTACAAGCTGATACATCTTGCTGATGAAAAGAGTATTGATGACTCAGAAGCAGATCTATCTTATAATCGTATAAGTGTTAATCTCTTGTCTGACCCAGACATCCAGGTGGCGCTGAACAAATCTGCCAGTGTAGAGGATCTAGGAAATTCACCAATTCATCATTCAGTCGTAAGTTTTGTGTGAAAGTAAAAGAATTTATTTCATGCTTTAATTTTTGATGAAAATTTCAGCAAAACTAATTTTTATAAAAACCATTAAAAGCAACAAGTACAATGCTCTTAGAAAATAATTTGTCATTTTGTATGTAAGATGTATGTTAAAAATCATATTGATAAATATAGGAGGTGCTGGTCAAAGCTTTTTGATCCATTGCACAGGAACAAGCTATAGGGAATATAGAATACTAAGGAAAAATGGAAAAATGTGACCTGGACCATCTTTGATATAATTAATACTGATACCATAAAGTTTTGAAAAATTTTAAATGAAGACCAGTAGTGACCATTTCATAATTTAAAGGGTTATTGGTAAATTCATTGTCTGGACACTAAAATGAAAATCATGTTATGTTATTGTTGAAATGTCCATTGTTGATTCAGCCATGCTGGATCTATGTGATCACTCAGGATTTGGAGATGGTGCAGAATTCAAAGTTGAAGACATATCATGAAAATAATAATGTGTTTCTATAACTTGCTGAAACTTTATATACCATTTTAATCATTAACTGCCAACTTTTGATATGTTATTTGTTCTTAAATTAAGAAAAGGTTGGGCGAACAACTTCTTTATTATAGGGATACACTTGCATATAGTTCCTTTGTAAATCAAAATTATATTAAATTGCCATTTATTAATTAATGTGAAAAAGTTATTTATCCAATTTAAGCAGTTGATAAGAATTATGAAAGTGTTTTATCAGTATCTTATGTTTGTGTTTTTTTGAATAATATTTGGTTCAAGCTGTATATTTGTATTAAAGTTGATTCCCACACTTTTTTGAAATGCTATTATTCCCATTCTTTCAAATAAGAGTATTGGTACAATACTAGTATGATTACCAACTGTCATGATTTTCAAACAATTACACTCAAAGGTGCAAGTATTTAATTGGAATCAACTCCATTCTAATGCAGTCTTAATTGACCATAGTTAATATCATGACAGTTGATAATCATACTGGTATTGAGGTCAAGAATTTGTGTATTCAATTTATTACACATCTAACTGAATACACAACAATGAATAGTGTACCTATTATTTATTTTGATCAACACTACATAAATTATTCTGTTACTTTTGTGTGAAAGCTGACTGAATAATGAGATATGTTTTTTTCAAAGAAAAGACTAAAAATGAAACATGTATAAAAAATGCTACCAGATTTTATTTCACTTGTAACATCAGAGTCATAATCATCTGACATAAGTTGATAATTAAGGTCTTTTTAAGTAACAATTATCAGTAATTTGGTTGAAATAATAAACACAATTGCATAACTCTTACCTGAGCATTTTCTGCAATACAATTTATTTGTATATTCCCCATTATATTGCTATTTAACAGTAATTGGAATTATCTCATTATTAGGTATTTGTACATGTATATTTGAATACAAGAAATGTATTTTTTTCTTAATAAAGAATGAACACCAATTTAGATAAAAATTAGTTATCTTCAAATGAAATACCAAAATAAATTGTATCAATATTGCAAAATTCTCCATATTTGGGCAACAGAATAGAAATTTCACATTGAGGTTATGGAAATGAAAATAACAAAAGAAATATTAAAAGTTTGGTTAGAAAAAATGTCAGACTAGCTACATAATTGGCTGGATCACAACATCCATGATGCTTTGATTTAAGAAGGTTTCAGCCAGTATCAATATTTTGTCTTACAGTTTTGAAAATATTACCCAGAATGCATTTAGATATTGAGACAAAGAATTATGGATAACAAAATTACCACGAGTCCATGTTTGTATAATAATGTTGTAAAAGTTTGCTTAGTACATTTTATAATTTTAACCAGTCAGATTAAATGCAAAACTGATTGAATTAATTCAAAAATCATTTTGCCTGCTGCTTGTTATTGGAAGAGGGTTTTTCTTCTTATGATATTTCTGCTAAAATGGCTTTGTTGAAAGTGTGCTTATACATAGTAAATTCTCTCTGATTTATCTACAAACTAATGAATGTTTTGGTTGTGTTTCTACTTTGCTTCCTAAAAGAATTAGGTGAGGATTAATTATGGAGATCAAGACATGGTTTTTGATTGCATGCTACCTTCTTTTTTATCCTTCCTTTAATTTTTAGCTCATCGGGGCCTGAAGGGCCCCATGTGAGCTTATGCCATCACTTGGCGTCCGTCGTCGTCGTCTGTCGCCGTAAACTATTTCAAAAGTCTTCTCCTCTGAAACTACTGGGCCAAATACCTTCAAACTTTAACTAAATGTTCCTTAGGGTATCTAGTTTATAAATTGTATCCGAAGTTTTGATCCATCGTGGCTTATATCTCAAAAACTAAACCTTTTAGAGCAAATCTGACGGGGTAAAATTGTTTAATTGGTCAAGATCTATCTGCCCTGAAATTTTCAGACAAATCGAACAACCCATTGTTGGGTTGCTGCCACCGAATTGGTAGTTTTAACAAAATTTTGCAGTTTTTTGTTATTATTTTGAATATTATTATAGATATATATAAACTGTAAGCAGCAATAATGTTCAGCAAAGTAAGATCTACAAAAAAGTTAATAATTGTCAATTGACCCCTTCAGGAGTTATTGCCCTTTAAAGACAATTTTACACAATTTGTTCATCAAGTTTACTAACATTTAAAAATCTTCTCCTCTGAAATACAGGTGAGCGATTCAGGCTCTTGAGAGCCTCTTGTTTATGCCCTGCTGTAGCCGAGGGGGCATTAAGTTTTACCCTTGTCAATCTGTACGTCCGTCCGTACACCCGTACCAACCAAATGTTATGAAACTTATACACAATGCTTATTGCCACAAAACACCGATCAAATTTGAATTTCGGTGGCATCACTTTTACCATTCTAGAGTTATGCTCCTTTACACTTGGAAAAATTGCTGAATTTTTCGTTTCTGTTCTTTAACTTTAGTTTGCCTCAACCAAATGTTATGAAACTTATACACAATGCTTATTACCACAAAACTCAGATCAAGTATGAATTTGGGTAGCGTCACATATACCTTTCTTGAGTTATGTCCCTTTATAACGTTATATGCAAGCGGGGGCATCATCTGTGTCCCATGGACACAAATTAAGGATGTAGTCCACATTTTAGTTTTCGCAAATTTAAATGTCCCTTGATGTAGAGGTAACTCAGTTGAAGATTAAAGGTGCAGGGGCTTTTTCTGTCCAAAGCTGTTATAAACATAAATTTAGAATCAATGCTATCATGGAACATTCTTTCTCTCAAATAGACCATATGTATTTTAATTTTAAGTATTAATTAAATTATGTATGTGGTATATAAATTTCAGACAACCCAACAATATTTTGAATTCCAATTGGGGTATGCTCAGCAAGACAACATGTGCATATATGTTTATATTTTCCTTTATTTACTTATTTATTGCTATTAGAGATATGATAATGCAGGATTGATTAGCCTAATCTGTAGGTGAACTGTTCATCTACCTAATTGCAACAAATTATTTACAAAAAGCTTGGCAAGTTCCATCATAATAATAAAAGGTCTCTACAGTCTACATTACACTATGAAAGTTGAATGCATTGATAAGAGCGTTCATAGAGAGGATGCTTGGGGCATGCTCTGAGCTTGCATTCAAAAATAGATAAATAATCCATAAAATGAACCAATGAATTTTAACAAATTTTTAAATATATTTCTTATAACTTATGCACATAAAATCTAAATTCATATTCAACTTCCTATGCTATTGCTTGATAACACATTTAGTTTTTTATATTTTACCACAAAAAAAAAAGTACAAAAAATCATTTACTGATGGGAAGGTTGTTGAAAACATTTCCTGTCTTATTTATTATGAGCTTAGGTACTGATTTATACAAATTTTATTTTAAATATTATGTAAATGTTTTTCAGCTTCTAGAAGACAGTGATGTTTCATCTATAGATTCATTTAGTATCGCTCACAGCGGACGCGCATCACCAAATCAGCAAGAAAAATCCATCATAGGTTTAGAGGAAACTAGTTCAATATCATCCACTTCCACATTTGACAGTGCTAACATTCCATACATAGATACTTCTGACGATGCTTCCAAGCATCCTATTGCACCACCTAGGAAACATAGACGGCAAAAAAATACCACTGAAGTCGGTGATAGACTCATTGGAAGAAAAAATAAACCTGCTGACAGACTAATTGGTCAAAAGAATCCACCCCCAAAACCTGCCCCCAGGAAAAGTTTATCGAAGGACATTCCACATACTGAAATAACATCAGTCCCTCTTATAGAATTAGACTCCCCAGAGTATGTAGATGTTTTTGATCCATTTAGTAGTGGTAATTCATCCACTGTTGGAAGAGTTGAAGAGATAAGAGAACTTTTTTCAAGTCCAGAAAATTCACCAGGAAAACAGGGTTCTACAGATATTAAATTCCATGAACTTAGTCGCACACATGCATTTAGGAAACAGGCTTTAGACACGCCAAAAAGGGACTTTTGTAAGGCTGATATTTCACCTTCGCCAGAAAGGGATCTGATGTCAAATAGTTCTCCTAGTGATTTACCAAACAAGACAAATGACAAAGCTACTGAATTGTTTGCAAGTTTTGATCCACTGATATCAGAAAAATGTAATTTATCAGGTTCACAAAAGAGTGAGACACAAGGAAATGATTTAATTCAAAATTGGAATATAAATCATTTAAAGACTGGTTCAAGAGTTAAATCCTCCTCACAGTTTTTGGCAGGAGGGAACAATGATCCCAGATGCCGTGATCCAGTAGGAGTAACAAATAATCCAATTTATGGAACAAAGCCTTTGCGACAAAATAAACCTGTATTGCCACCAAGACCAAAGACCGTTGTTGGTAGTTCTGTTCTATCTAGTCAGTTTAAACCTGTAGTAGTTGACAACCCTTTTTACAGTGTTGATAATTCAAGTTCAAACTCAGCCAAGGTTCAAAGTCGGAACAGTGACCCTTTTAGTGACCTCCATGAAATTAGTGTTAGTAACAGAAAAAGTCAAGAATTTGCTCAATCAAAGTGGGAAAAATTTTAGTAATTATCATTTGAAAATTTTAAATATTAAATTTTACTGGTTTTGAATAAAAACAGACTTGTTTAGCAGCTGAATTGATTTGCTGAATGTGTAGATCAAATGCTGACATCCAAATTATTTGCTCAAAAGTATACATAAATTTAAAAAAAATAAGTTTAAATTCACAATTCTTTTAATGAAATTGTTTTGACTGAAAAAATAAACTGTATATCAACTAAAATTGAATGTAGTCCTCTCATTAGTATCACACATTAATTTCATTTATCTTATTCAGAGTAATTGCTTTATTTGTTGTTTAAGTCAATCATCAAACTTTTTTTGTAAAAACAGGAATGAAAGGCATTATCATGATTTTATATTGAGAAATTTTACATTTAATGTATAATTTTGTAATAATTTAAGGTTTCTTTATATATACATGTATTTAGATGTTAAAGTTGAGATATACTAAATGATAAAAATTCTCTAGAAGTAATTCCACCACTTTTATACTTATTATTCTGGATAATTATAATGTTGCTGAAGAGTCACTGGTTAGGTAAATGAGAAACTACAATGAATGGTTCCTTTTTTTAAAATCTTTTTTACCTCCAAATATTGGATTCTTGGAAGAACAAAATGAAGTATCAATCTTTATGAATTAGATCAGGAATATTAATATTTACTTGGTTTTTCCATTAGCTAATTATTCCTTCCTCTTTTCTTTTTTTTTAATATATATAAATATTGGTAAACTTCTATTTTATCATAAGTATTTAAATTTTGCCATTTAAAGAGATTTTAGGTCTCTGTAAATGTGCATTAATATTGAAAAGATCAGAAGATTTAGACTATACTTATCCATTATTATTCTAACTCCACGTGATTATCTAAAACAATTTTATGCCAACTAAGGCCTTAATGCACACAGACCTGTTTATATAAAAAAAGAAACAATTTCAATGAACTTGAATGAAAGTAGATTGGAGTATATTGCTTGTGTTTTTAATATTATTTATGTTGTTTATGTGTATCGCAGTTGTGGCTTTCATAATATCAATTCTAAGTTTTACATTAAAATTTGTTATCTTTCTTGACATTACAAAATATTGTTGTTATGTTAGATATTATTGGTATAGATGTGTATAATTAAATCTAGTTTAATATATATTAGCATTGGTCACCTCTTGTGTATACTACTTCTTAGTAATTTTTTCTAGAAAATAATTAAAATTTTCATCTTGACATATTGCTTATGGAAGGTTTTTCAGAAATCTCTTAAATACAAGGATTTTTTCAGTATCATTGTGGTTCTAATAGTGACTTCATTTTAAATAGATTATTTTCACTATTTTTAAAGTTTATATTTAAATAAGTGCCATTGTATTTAAATGTGTTTACATGTGTTTGACTGGATGTTTCATAAACACTTGTAGAATTCCATAGCATTTCACGAACAAGAAAAAAATGTTAAGTCCACCAGAGGAGAAATAAAACATCTTTTAATACAGCTACTTCAAACTGAAATATCTCTGACAAAGTTTTAAAATCAGCTCTGTATATCATTGTGTTCAAATACTTTTAGCTAGTAGTTTTTGTCAGAATCGGAGGAACAAACTGCTGAAATTTGTATCCTGTTTTTATTTTGAGTGCTGGTAGTTAGTATTACATGAACACATTCCATGGATATAGGTCAATAGTGACCTAATTATGTATTTTAAACAAATCCTTTAATTTCTAAATAAGAATTGTAATTAGAACTGCATACTAATTTAAGTAATCAGGATTTCTAGGTCTATAATAAAGCTTACGGTGAAGAAAATTTCAAATGAATTTGATTTTATTTTTAATTACTGACAAGAATGAACTCAAATTACAAGGACAATTTGTAGTTAAGATGAAGTTTTTATGTGAAATTGTGCATGTTGTGTAGTTATAAATTTCTAGTTTAATGTAAAGCCTATTGCTGCTGAGCGGTGCTGTGTTTTAAGACAAACATACTGTGATAATTGTTACAATACTCTGGTTAGCTTGTTACAATGCAATCACAGAAAATAAATCATGTATCACTTAAATATTTGTTTGTACTTTATATCAGTAGTTCTATAAAGTCAGAAATTTGTGAAAAACCTATCCAGTCACAATTTCTGCAGTAATAAAAAAGATCGCAAAAATTTCTGAATTAAATAGGACTAGAGGTACTGCCAGCAAAACTAAAAAAAAAGAAATTCCCTGCTTCCGTATAAGGCAATGGCAAAGTATATGATTTGCACAGGGAAATCCCTAAAGTAATTTAGATCAAAATATTAAAATAGTGCACAATGGTATTACGGTATGAGGTTAAGAATCTTAAACAATTACATTGGCAAAGCTTTGTTGTATCTGCACACTACAGTACACATTTGTATCTGCTCCTCTTAATGTCCCTGATCAGAATTTAGTCATGCTAAAGTGAACTTCCAAAATCATTCCAATGAAGAAATGAAATTTAAATAAACTGTTGACACAGAGATTTGTCGCCTTTTTTTAATTTTGGTAGTATAGTGCAAATATTGAATCCAAATGGCAATATTTAAACATGTAAACTATGCAAAACATTCAAAGTCAATGAATCATGACTAAATGTGCATGACGAAAAACCTCAATGGAAATGAGATATGCCATAAAAACTGCATACCAAATACCATTAACTTATCATAAGTGGTGCCCTTTACACTAACCAAAACACAAACTTAACTTGTGAACAATGTAAAAGTTTCAAAGTTAATAATCATGATGAGGGAACGGGGCCATATAATCTCCATGGAAAAGAAACTTGTAAATGCTAATATAACTGCATACTGAATATCATTGACTTAGTATTACTGATTCCTCTTAAACTGATCTTATCACAATCTTCAACATGTTAACTATGCAAAACATTCAAAGTCAATAAACCATGACTGAGGGGGCAGAGTCAATTATCTCCATGGAAATGAGATGTGCCAATGCTAATACAACTGCATACCATATATCGTTGACCTTCAACTAGTGGTTTGCCTTAAACTGAACTTATCACAAATTAATACATGTAAAGTTACAAAAGTTTCAAAAGTCAATAGACAATGACTGAGGGGGCGGGGCCAAATAATCTCCATGGAAATGAGATGTGCCAATGCTAATACAGCTGCATACCAAATATCATTGTCCTACCACTAGTGGTTCCCCATAAACTGACCTAATCACAAACTAATACATTGTTGATGCCGCAGCCTCCAACGCTGTCAGAAACAGCATACCTAAGTCTTGCTTTTTTGAATTCTTCAAGGAGAGACAAAATTTGTGACCCTTTTTATCTCAAAATCTAAAACCTCTGAAAATTACCAGTATAAGAAATGGTCTTTATGTATATCATTAGAGATTTGCAAGTGAGTTTGATGACAATAAGGTCAAGGTCAGATAAAACCCTGGCAGACATATATGTACACCTTAAAATCATTCCATACACCAAATATAGTTGACCTTTTGCTTATAGTATAAAAGAAACAAACTAAACTGTGAAAACTTAACATTGACCAATGAACCATGAAAATGAGGTCAGGGTCAGATGATACATGACAGACATACATTGTACATGTACACCCTGCTAGACAGACATGTAAACCCTACAATCATTCCATACACCAAATACAGTTGACCTATTACTTACAGTATCTGAGAAGAGGACCAAACCACAGAAACTTAACATTAACTAATGAACCATGAAAATGAGGTCAAGGACAAGTGATATCTACCAAACAGACATGTACACCTCATGATCATTCAATGCACCAAATATAGTTAACCAATTGCTTGTAGTATTTGACAGACAAAAACTTAACTTTGACCAATGAACCATAAAAATTCGTAAGGGTTCCACGGAACCCAGTGTCTCGCCTACTTTTTCTGTTAATCGCAGGCTCAACAAAAATGAGGAAGTAAATCAATAAAAATATTCCTCTTGATACTATCTTTTGATTGTAAGAAGCTTCTGTCCAAGTTTGGTAAAAAGCCAGGATAGTTTATGAATCTAATAAATGTTTAAAAACTTTTAACTGCAGACTGAATGTAATGTTAACTGGAAGAAAACAAAATTTCCTTCTAGATACTAGCATTTGATCATAAACAAGCTTCTGTCAAAGTTTGGTACAAATCCAAAATAGTATAAGAAAGTTATTAAAATTTTAAAAACTTTAACCACAGAGTGAATGTGTTGTTTCCTGGCAGAAAATCTAAGTCCATTTAAAAGTAAAAAATTCGTAAGGGTTCCGCGGAACCCAGTGTCTCGCCTACTTTTGGTGTTAATCGCAGGCTCAACAAAAATGAAGAAAAAAATTAATAAAAATATTCCCCTCTATACTATGTTTTGATTGTAAGTAGCTTCTGTCCAAGTTTGGTAAAAATCCAGGATAAATTATGAATCTAATAAATGTTTTAAAAACTTAAACTGCAGAATGTATGTAATGTTGACTGGAAGAAAAACTAAGCCCATTTATAAGTAAAATACAGAAAAAATGGAACAAAATTTTATCAAAATTTCCTTCTAGATACTATCTTATGATCATAAACAAGCTTCTTTCCAAGTTTGGTATAAATCCAGGATAGTTTAAGAAAGTTATTGAAATTTCAAAAACTTTAACCACAGAGTGAATGTAATGTTTCCTGGCAGAAAAACTAAGTCCATTTATAAGTAAAATACGGAAAAATGGAATTTTTTTTTTACAAAATTTACTTCTGGATACTATCTTATGATCATAAACAAGCTTCTTTCCAAGTTTGGTAGAAATCTAGGATAGTTTAAGAAAGTTATTGAAATTTTAAAAACTTTAACCACAGAGTGAATGTAATGTTAACTGGCAGAAAAACTAAGTCCACTTATAAGTAAAATACGGAAAAAATGGAATTTTTTTTTTACAAAATTTACTTTTGAATATAATCTTATGATCATAAACAAGCTTCTGTCCAAGTTTGGTAGAAATCCAGGATAGTTTAAGAAAGTTATTAAAATTTCAAAAACTTTAACCACAGAGTGAATATTTGTGGACGCAGCCGACGACGACGCCGACGGAATGTAGGATCGCTATGTCTCGCTTTTTCGACAAAAGTCGAAGGCTCGACAAAAATGGAAAAAATAGATTTATTTTTTTTACAAAATTTCCTTCTAGATACTAGCTTTTGATCATAAACAAGCTTCTGTCCAAGTTTGGTACAAATCCAAAATAGTATAAGAAAGTTATTAAAATTTTAAAAACTTTAACCACAGAGTGAATGTAATATTTCCCGGCAGAAAAACTAAGTCCATTTATAAGTAAAATACGGAAAAAATGGAATTTTATTTTTACAAAATTTACTTCTGGATACTATCTTATGATCATAAACAAGCTTCTGTCCAAGTTTGGTAGAAATCAAGGATAGTTTAAGAAAGTTATTAAAATTTTAAAAACTTTAACCACAGAGTGAATGTAATATTTCCTGGCAGAAAAACTAAGTCGTAAAATACGGAAAAAATGGAATTTTATTTTTACAAAATTTACTTCTGGATACTATCTTATGATCATAAACAAGCTTCTGTCCAAGTTTGGTAGAAATCAAGGATAGTTTAAGAAAGTTATTAAAATTTCAAAAACTTTAACCACAGAGTGAATATTTGTGGACGCCGCCGCCGACGGAATGTAGGATCGCTATGTCTCGCTTTTTCGACTAAAGTCGAAGGCTCGACAAAAATGAGGTCAAGGTAAGATGAAACCTGCCAAACTGACATGCACCCATTACAATCATTCCATACAACACATATAGTTTACCTACTGCTTATATTATCTGAGATAAGGACCTAATCACATAGCTTTAACCTTGATCACTGATCCATAAAATGAGGTCGAGGTCAGGTGAACCCTGTCTGATGGACAAGTAGACAATGAGAGGAACCCATATACCTAATAGACTTATCCTTTTTCTCATAATAAATAACTCACATTACAACTAGAGGCTCTCAAGAGCCTGTGTCTCTCACCTGATTCTCTTTTGGTTTTGGAAATCATGTAAAAATAGATTAAAATCATAACAGATACCCTAATAATCAGAATAATGATTGAGGCCAAATTTGGTTTAATATTGGCCCCACAATTTAATCAAAAGCAGAATATTTTTGTAAAGTTTACAGAAATTACCAATAAATTCATTGAAATTGTAGAAAATGACTTTATAAGGACAATAACTCCAACAAGATGTCAATTGACAATTTTGCTCATGTTGACTTACTGTGGATTCATTATTATTCGTTGGATACCAATTTTCGTGGGTTTCGTGAGTACAGGTGAACCACGAATTCAAATGTTCAACGAATAACATATTTTCAATAGGCATTGTATACAGAGATTGACAAATCCACGAAATCAAATATCCACGAATATGCAAGTTTTCAGCAATCCACGAAAATTGATACCCACGAAAAATAAATGAATTCACAGTATGTGTAGATCTTCTTTTCTTGATATTTTTGCAGTTTACAGTATATCTCAATCTATAAAGATACATGTATTAAGGTCTTCATCAGCACCTCATAAGGAACATTTATGCCATGTTTGGTTTCATTCCTTTCAGTGCTCCTCTAGAAGTAGCATTTGTATGTATTTCCCACAGGGTCTTATGTTAAACTAAGTCCCCTGCTTGTGGCCATCTTTGATGATGGTTCGGCTACAAAGTAACAACACTTGGTCAGCACCTCATTAGATACATTCATGCCATGTTTGGTTTCATTCTATTCAGTGGTTCTCTAGAAGAAAACATTTGTATTTCCCACAGGGTCCTATGTTCAACTTTCTCCCCCTGCTGGCAGCCATCTTGGATGACAAATCAGCTACAAAGTAACAACACTTGGTCAGCACCTCAAAAGAAACATTCGTACCATGTTTGGTTTCAATCCATTAAGCGGTTTTCTAGAAGAAGACATTTGTATATATTTCCCAAAGGGCCTTTGTTAAACTAAGTCCCCCGTTGGCAGCCATCTTGGTTATTGGATTTGCTACAAAGTAACAACATGTTGTCAGCACCTCATAAG